GTACAGGATTGGTAATATGGCAATCTGTATTTGTACTTGTACCAGGAAATGATTTGATACTTGAACCAATCATCAAGTAAATCATGTCATCTATTGATTATGAAGGTATCCTTACAGTTACAGGGTTGAAATAGAATTAATTCATTGTAAAGGATAGGTATCTATATGGCAATCTGTATTTGTACTTGTACCAGGAAATGATTTGATACTTGAACCAATCATCGAGTAAATCATGTCATCTATTGATTATGAAGTTATTCTTACAGTTACAGGGTTGAAATAGAATTAATTCATTGTAAAGGATAGGTATCTATATGGCAATCTGTATTTGTAATTGTACCAGGAAATGATTTGATACTTGAACCAATCATCGAGTAAATCATGTCATCTATTGATTATGAAGTTATTCTTACAGTTACAGGGTTGAAATAGAATTAATTCATTGTAAAGGATAGGTATCTATATGGCAATCTGTATCTGTACTTGTACCAGGAAATGATTTGATACTTGAACCAATCATCAAGTAAATCATGTCATCTATTGATTATGAAGGTATCCTTACAGTTACAGGGTTGAAATAGAATTAATTCATTGTAAAGGATTGGTATCTATATGGCAATCTGTATCTGTACTTGTACCAGGAAATGATTTGATACTTGAACCAATCATCGAGTAAATCATGTCATCTATTGATTATGAAGGTATCCTTACATAGTTAAAGGGTTGGAATAGAATTAATTCATTGTAAAGGATTGGTATCTATATGGCAATCTGTATCTGTACTTGTACCAGGAAATGATTTGATACTTGAACCAATCATCAAGTAAATCATGTCATCCATTGATTGTGAAGTTATTGAAATATAATTAATTCATTGTAAAGGATTGGTATCTATATGGCAATTTGTATCTCTACTTGTACCAGGAAATGATTTGATACTTGAACCAATCATCGAGTAAATCATGTCATCTATTGATTATGAAGGTATCCTTACAGTTAAAGGGTTAAAATAGAATTAATTCATTGTAAAGGATAGGTATCTATATGGCAATCTGTATCTGTACTTGTACCAGGAAATGATTTGATACTTGAACCAATCATCGAGTAAATCATGTCATCTATTGATTATGAAGTTATTGAAATAGAATTAATTCATTGTAAAGGATAGGTATCTATATGCCAATCTGTATCTGTACTTGTACCAGGAAATGATTTGATACTTGAACCAATCATCGAGTAAATCATGTCATCTATTGATTATGAGGTTATTCTTACAGTTAAAGGGTTGAAATAGAATTAATTCATTGTACAGGATTGGTAATATGGCAATCTGTATTTGTACTTGTACCAGGAAATGATTTGATATATGTACTTGAACCAATCATCAAGTAAATCATGTCATCTATTGATTATGAAGTTATTCTTACATAGTTAAAGGGTTGGAATAGAATTAATTCATTGTAAAGGATTGGTATCTGTATGGCAATCTGTATTTGTAATTGTACCAGGAAATGATTTGATACTTGAACCAATCATCGAGTAAATCATGTCATCTATTGATTATGAAGTTATTCTTACATAGTTAAAGGGTTGGAATAGAATTAATTCATTGTAAAGGATTGGTATCTATATGGCAATCTGTATTTGTACTTGTACCAGGAAATGATTTGATACTTGAACCAATCATCGAGTAAATCATGTCATCTATTGATTATGAAGGTATCCTTACATAGTTAAAGGGTTGGAATAGAATTAATTCATTGTACAGGATTGGTAATATGGCAATCTGTATCTGTACTTGTACCAGGAAATGATTTGATACTTGAACCAATCATCAAGTAAATCATGTCATCCATTGATTGTGAAGTTATTGAAATATAATTAATTCATTGTAAAGGATTGGTATCTATATGGCAATTTGTATCTGTACTTGTACCAGGAAATGATTTGATACTTGAACCAATCATCGAGTAAATCATGTCATCTATTGATTATGAAGGTATCCTTACAGTTAAAGGGTTAAAATAGAATTAATTCATTGTAAAGGATAGGTATCTATATGGCAATCTGTATCTGTACTTGTACCAGGAAATGATTTGATACTTGAACCAATCATCGAGTAAATCATGTCATCTATTGATTATGAGGTTATTCTTACAGTTAAAGGGTTGAAATAGAATTAATTCATTGTACAGGATTGGTAATATGGCAATCTGTATTTGTACTTGTACCAGGAAATGATTTGATACTTGAACCAATCATCGAGTAAATCATGTCATCTATTGATTATGAAGTTATTGAAATAGAATTAATTCATTGTAAAGGATAGGTATCTATATGCCAATCTGTATCTGTACTTGTACCAGGAAATGATTTGATACTTGAACCAATCATCGAGTAAATCATGTCATCTATTGATTATGAGGTTATTCTTACAGTTAAAGGGTTGAAATAGAATTAATTCATTGTACAGGATTGGTAATATGGCAATCTGTATTTGTACTTGTACCAGGAAATGATTTGATACTTGAACCAATCATCGAGTAAATCATGTCATCTATTGATTATGAAGTTATTCTTACAGTTAAAGGGTTGGAATAGAATTAATTCATTGTAAAGGATAGGTATCTATATGGCAATCTGTATCTGTACTTGTACCAGGAAATGATTTGATACTTGAACCAATCATCGAGTAAATCATGTCATCTATTGATTATGAAGTTATTCTTACAGTTACAGGGTTGAAATAGAATTAATTCATTGTAAAGGATAGGTATCTATATGGCAATCTGTATTTGTACTTGAACCAGGAAATGATTTGATATATGTACTTGAACCAATCATCAAGTAAATCATGTCATCTATTGATTATGAAGTTATTCTTACAGTTACAGGGTTGGAATAGAATTAATTCATTGTAAAGGATTGGTATCTATATGGCAATCTGTATTTGTACTTGTACCAGGAAATGATTTGATACTTGAACCAATCATCGAGTAAATCATGTCATCCATTGATCATGAAGTTATTCTTACAGTTACAGGGTTGGAATAGAATTAATTCATTGTAAAGGATTGGTATCTATATGGCAATCTGTATTTGTACTTGTACCAGGAAATGATTTGATACTTGAACCAATCATCGAGTAAATCATGTCATCTATTGATTATGAAGTTATTCTTACATAGTTAAAGGGTTGGAATAGAATTAATTCATTGTAAAGGATTGGTATCTGTATGGCAATCTGTATTTGTAATTGTACCAGGAAATGATTTGATACTTGAACCAATCATCGAGTAAATCATGTCATCTATTGATTATGAAGTTATTCTTACAGTTACAGGGTTGGAATAGAATTAATTCATTGTAAAGGATTGGTATCTGTATGGCAATCTGTATTTGTAATTGTACCAGGAAATGATTTGATACTTGAACCAATCATCGAGTAAATCATGTCATCTATTGATTATGAAGTTATTCTTACATAGTTAAAGGGTTGGAATAGAATTAATTCATTGTAAAGGATTGGTATCTGTATGGCAATCTGTATTTGTACTTGTACCAGGAAATGATTTGATACTTGAACCAATCATCGAGTAAATCATGTCATCTATTGATTATGAAGTTATTCTTACATAGTTAAAGGGTTGGAATAGAATTAATTCATTGTAAAGGATAGGTATCTATATGGCAATCTGTATTTGTACTTGTACCAGGAAATGATTTGATACTTGAACCAATCATCAAGTAAATCATGTCATCCATTGATTATGAAGTTATTCTTACAGTTACAGGGTTGAAATAGAATTAATTCATTGTAAAGGATAGGTATCTATATGGCAATCTGTATCTGTACTTGTACCAGGAAATGATTTGATACTTGAACCAATCATCGAGTAAATCATGTCATCTATTGATTATGAAGATATCCTTACATAGTTAAAGGGTTGGAATAGAATTAATTCATTGTAAAGGATAGGTATCTATATGGCAATCTGTATCTGTACTTGTACCAGGAAATGATTTGATATATGTACTTGAACCAATCATCAAGTAAATCATGTCATCTATTGATTATGAAGGTATCCTTACATAGTTAAAGGGTTGGAATAGAATTAATTCATTGTAAAGGATAGGTATCTATATGGCAATCTGTATTTGTACTTGAACCAGGAAATGATTTGATACTTGAACCAATCATCAAGTAAATCATGTCATCTATTGATTATGAAGGTATTCTTACAGTTGAAGCACTGAAATAGGATTAACTCATCGCAAATTAAAAATAAAAAAAACTCTCATAGACATGAAACATGCTCACTTTAATATTTCTATATGTCTATATTTCTATACGTCTATACAGAACAATCCAATGCCCATTTATTTTTTAGCTTCATTTTATTTTAACAGGTCGTTTTAAATTTAATACCTGGACAACATTACCTCAGTAGCAGTGAATCAGATATGTAATTCAATTGTTCTCTATCTTTTTATGTGAGTTCTGAGTTTATTTTTATAGATGATTGCGTTCCATATATGGTTATTGGTTTTCACTCAGTTTGTATCTAATTATGTATTTGAATTTGAGCAGAGGCTGCATTTTTGAACTTCCCGCAGCGCAAGCAAATTCCACAGCACTTAATAAGCCTATCATGAAAAAGATCAATAGGCCAGGCAGTGCAAATTACATGCTCACACATTACTCCATTTAATTCCGCTGTGTCAACCTTGTCAATCACACCCACACTAACAAGTCGCTGGTACACCACAGGAGTTCCATTGCAATAAACCTTGATGTCTTTCAAAAGGATTACATGAGTGTAAGTGTGCTTGGATTTGGCTTCACCATTCTGAGCACTTTTAGAGTGATTTTGGCCATTTTGGGGCCAAAGTTGTCAAAATCTGGCTATGGGCCTGAATAGACTATAGGTTCTTTGGAACAGCAAAAGGTATCAAAAAATGTTGGAAAGGTCTATTTATAAAACTGCATATTATCTTACCTATAGGCTGCTGCAAACTTGTGAGGCAAGCTGTGTTCACTGACGATGGATCTAGTTTCACTTTCTTGGCTTTGTTGTAAGCAATGTCCTGAAGATGAAACGATATATTAAAATGCATTTTGTACATGTACTTAACCATATGGTCCCCTGGAGGAGCTTCATTTCTGTTTATTAAGTGGATATTGGCATTTTCATCCAGATTCTTCACACGTAACCAGTCAGTCTCATCTACTTCTGCAAAATGGTTGACATTTACATTTTATGAGATAAAGATGAAATAAAGATGGCAAAAACTTGTTTCAAAGTCAGACAAAAGATGTCATGATTGAACCAATTACATTTAGAACGAGAGGTTGTTTAACTCATTCAATACTGAGCCAAAAAGCACTAAAATACTGACAAATTTGAAATAATATATGTAGTGTATACATGGGCATACATATATAGTGTTATATATCATTTTAAAGCATATAATATACTCTTTCAGAATGAACAGATTTTTAAGTCCAATTTTATAAGTTGTCATGGTTACAAGATTCCAAAAAATACATTGAGTAGAACAAAAAATGTTAACAAAAACAGTTATATAAGATATCTATAATTTTCGCATTGGACTTGATATCACGTCCTTAGTAGTCAACGTATGTGCTTTATGACGTCATATCACGTCCTTCGTAGCAAATGAGTTAAAACATCTTAGATGTTCTAACAGTGCTGGCTACTGATATGCTTCATCAGCAGTCTCACTCCTCCTGCTTTCGGGGATTAAACTGAAGCAGGTATGACGAGGAGTTACCCCAAGCAGAGTTGATCTGAGGCTCCACCAGCAATTGATACAATGTAGCCATGCAAGATGGTAGGTTAAAGGGGCGATGGTAGGTTAAAGGGTATGGGTTTAATAGAATAATAAAAACAAAAACCTTCTCAAATGCATATTAATCTAATCTCAGCTTACCATTACACAACCTATGAAAGGTGGATAGTACTGGATCGATGTGGATATCATGTTATTTAGACTTGTCTCTATTTGCTCATTGAGGATCCCTGCTTCTCTTTCAGTTTTCTGATGTTCTATGGCATCATATATGGCTTGGAAGAGGTTACTGAATAAAAGCTTGGCCAATGTACTGTCACGCTGAAATATACAAATAGACAGAAGACACTATAGCTATGTATTTTCCTTATCCCGTTCCTGACTGTATTGCAATTTTTGGCAGAAGACACTTTAGCAATGTTTTTTCTGATCCCCTACCTGACTCCATTGCAAGTTTTGGCAGCGATGTAGTAAACATTATTAATTCATTATTTTCTTAATTTAGATCAGTGATCAACACACATGTTAGCTTTGATCTCAAATGGGCAGATACGCTGTCTTCCATTTCTGGTTTTGTGGCAAGTAAATATCCTTCATTCTCTGTTTTGCAGAGTTACATTAATGTTTGGTGGAGTAGGTTCATTTTTCATTCTGGGTAAGCCACTTTTCATTGGATTTTTAAGGCACACTACATTCTCCACTTTTTCACTTTCTAATCGTATTGATAATTTAGATTTGTTTGTAAACAGCTTATGTTGATAAAAAACGAACTCCAGACCTACCATAGCTAATGCTTGTAGTGGAGCAATAATGTAGGAATATTTAATCTGTATATCTGGTAGGTCACCTATCCGATACTTGCGATACATTGTCACCTGACTTTCCCTCTTACTTCTCTGCTCTTTCAGTTTCTCCTATAACATATAAGAAACAAGGCATTAACATGCAAAATCTCACCACCTACCATTTGTTACAGATGCCTAACACTAACCACTGAACATGAACACCATCCACAAAAAAAATTGGAGATTACAATATGTCACCACTTTTTGTGGTGACGTAACAATACATGGGAAATGTAATTCAAATACACTGCATGGAGATGAGTTCTATTCAGAAAATACAAACAAAATCTTTCAGCTCATAAGTGAGTACAAATATTTTACATACACATTTACACACAATCAATGCTCCAGTGGTTCATGTACAAGAAAAAATTGCTAAAGTATTAATGAGAAATCATATTTATGTTTGTTCTGTATGTATACCCACACAAAATAAAATATTTGTGCATACTCATAAGCTGTTCGATTTCAAAGCAAATACAGGGTGTTAAAAAAACACAACCCAAAGAAATCGCTATATCTTGGAAAATACTGGTCCAATTGTGTTCATTTTTTCAGGAACGAAAGAAGAGACTGTGTATGTTTAGCTCATTTTGTTAGTTAGTTGTAAAACATGATGCCTTGGACAAATGCTCAAAAGACATTAGTATTGGAAAGATACGAAAAACGCAGTCAGAGACGACTGCCACAGCAATAAAACCAAATAACTTTCTAACCATAGTATTTTGGCTATTCAAATTTGGCACAAATCATCTTCATTCAATGTATGATAAATCTGTAGAGTGAAATCAAAATCACTTCAGGGACTTTACAGTTTTGGTCGAAATGCTTTCAAAACTCAGTCAAACACCCTGGTTCAGCCAGACTTAAGAAGGCATTTTGACCATGCCTGTAAAGTCCCTGGAGTGATTTTAATGAAACTCCCCTAATTCACTACACATTATATGAAGATAATTTGTGGTGAATCTGAAGTGCCAAAACACCATGGTTAGAAAGTTATTAGGGTTTATTGCTCTGGCAGTCACCTCTGATTGCGTTTTTCGTATCTTTCTTATACAAATGTCTTTTGAGAAGGTGTCCAAGGCATCATGTTTTACAACTAACTAACAGCAGAATCTATACACACATAGTCTCTTCTTTCTTTCCTGAAAAAATGAACAAAATTGGACAAGTATTTTCCAAGATATAGCGGATTTCTTTGGTTTGCGTTTTTTTTGAACACCCTGTAATATGTGATTAATTTCAAAAAATACTTGAAGGTTTTGATGTTTGGAGACGTGATTTACTATTATTGATATGCCAGTATCAGCACTAAATGAGCTAAGGTTATAAAGCTTCAATATAAAATGCAGTCATGAGTGGGTGGGTGGCCTACAAAAAAAGAGTTGCATACAGAGTAAAGACCAAAATATTTTTGATAGCCCTTAAGTTAATTAATTAATTCTTTACAAAACCATGCATACCTCTCGTATTTTTTTCATTTTCATCGACCTTCTTGCAAAGAAATTCCTGGACTCTGCTTGACTTTTTAGGAACCGTCTCTTCAAACGCAGCACTTCAGCTTGACTTTCGCCACCTTAATACAAGAACATGTAATACAATAACTATTCCACATGGTAACTGGAATAATACAAGGGCTTGATCATGTTATAAGAAATAAGTATTTTCAATAAAAGTTCAATACACTTTCCATAATTTGATGAAATATATGGGTACTTTTTCTCACCCATGTACAACATAATATTGTACAACATACTATTGTTAGACAATATGTGCAATATGTACAATATGAGTCAATCAGTAGGGGTTTTCTCAGAAACAAATTCAATGCCATGCTTTTTAAACTTTTTAAGAAAGCTGTTATTGAAGATTACAACACCTTGTTCCCCATCAACTTGATCTTCTCCCCGTCTTGCTCCACCTAACTTTGAAGTACCAAACCCTGCTCCTGGATGAAGTTTTCTTTTGGGTATTGCTCTTCCTTTCCTTGCAGAGCTCTTCCCAATGGTGAATAACAGGGATGAGGCCCCCTGTGTCTGGGTGGTTGTCATGGAGAAGCTCTGGTCTGCCTGGAGAGTGTCCAAGCTGCTCTGTGTAAGCCAATTGTAAGGCCCTTTCCCTCCATCAGCTAAAAATGCAATAAATGTCTTCTTGAAACACAAATTTAGATTTAGGATGTTTACTTACACTGAAGATTTATCTAAAATGTGTGACAAGAGGATAGTATGAAACCTTTAAACCCAATACAGATGGAATTTCAACATAAAATGAAGATGGAGGGTATGAGATTGACAAAATAAAATAAAACTCCCAATTTATTTATTCTTTAAATGCTACAAATGCATAACCATAACAATGTTAAACAACAAGTAATATACATACTCATATCTTGAGTTGCCGTAAATTGCTGTACATCCTGTGTGGCACGCACCCCACCTTGCATCAATGACTCCTCAGATCCACTTGAGGACTGTGATTGCATAGTCTCTGCAAACATTGGCATCATTGATGCATGACGTTGTCTCCAGTCAGACTGAACCTTGTAATCCTGGAAGTGTAACAATGAATTCAGTAGTAACATTATGCTCATATAATTTAAACACAGTTACATGTACAATGTACTACATCTTATATTACCAAGCTGATTACAATAGACGACCTTTGACTTAAAAATAACACATCAGTGAATAATTCAGCAAAGCATCATACCTAAAACATAATAATTAGATCTCGGCACTAGTCTGCTCTTGCATCCGTAATAATTTATAATAAAATTGAACATGTATAAGCAGTTTTCCTGGGATTTCGATGACAAAATTTGATTAATGTGGCTTGCCTGCCCAGACAGACAGAGGGACATAAAGATGGATGGACAGACACTAATACACAAATCAGCACAAGACAACGACAATATGAAAAGTGTGATATTTCAATTTGTTACATACAGACCTTCAAATTACTATTACTCCATCCACTTACATTAAATGTGCACTCTGACAATGGGTGCTCAAAAATCTGCCGGTTGAAATCAGGACTCTTTGATGTCATCTCAAGCAGTAGGTTTGTGGCATAGCTTAAATAGTGGCTCTCTGTGGATGGTGAGTACATGGCTTCAAGCATGGCAGCCATGCGCTCTATTGTCCCTGTGGGCAGTCTACTTTCATCACTCCAGAAGTTCTGCACAGTCAACCTGGTGGCAGGAATCAATTAAACATTATGCTATCAACATTGCAGCTTACATCAACTAAATAACAGGAATAGAACACTGCATCAAAAACAATCTTTTACAATCAGAAATGTCATGGAGTATTTGCAAGTGAAAACCATGTTTTTTTAAAAGAATTTGTAAAAAGAGACACATTATGTCATTATATTACATTAATTTTGAGTAGAGTACTAAAATATTACTACACAACAATATTTTTTCTTTATACTGAGCTAGATCTACGTATTAATTTCCAATATGTTCTTTAAATATAATTCTTATCATATGATTTAATTTTTTACAGTCATGTTTTATTTATAAAATATGCACACGTTTATTTTTTCTATATTTCTATATACCTGTTCTTTATGTCTTCATCAGAGAGGCCTTGCAAGAGACACTGTTTGGTGAGGTTCATAATTGTGTGGCCTTGCTCACTCTCTTCCTCCCTATAGAAAGAAAAATAACAAAGCATATAATGAAAAATATTATATATAAAAATTAAGAATTGGCTGAAAATTTAACCAACATGCCCAAAATCAGTTCTAAAGTAAACTGACATGTATTTCATCTATGTATAGGATTACACTACTGTAGGTACTGGTATGTAAATTGCCAATCACTGGCCCCTGGATTCCGTGTTTGCAGAGCGCGGAAAGAATTTGCCTTTGCCCATGGAATTGCATTTTAACTTGCAGAAAACTGGGGGGGGGGGGGGGGGTCAATGTACATATACCATATAGAGGGCAGTTGAAATGGATCTAAAAGAGCTGATCATTTGATACTGTAGGGGATTTATCGGAATTAGTCAAGAGAATTCTATACTTCAACGTGGCAGAATAAAATTGGTTTTCTTTCATATCAGATATAATCCAATGTTTTAATCTATAAATAATGTTTCTTCATACCTTTGAACAACCTTTTTGTTTAATGTCTAAGATATTTGAGATTCCCATCAATAGAAAATATATCAGTATAAGCAGATAAGTAAATATCATATCCAGTCTATCTTAGTCATTGTGACATAAACTGTATCTTAAAACATGATCAAATTGATATTTTCTAGGGTGTTAATCTTCTAAAGTAAAGTTAATTCTAAAGTAATTAAAGCTTGATTTAATTTATATTTGTCAACCAAATCTATTCATCTCAACTTCACTCCAGTTTGGTCATTATTGTTATTATTATATTATTATATTCATCCAAACTAATGTGCTCAGAGTCATCAAACTTTTGGATTGTTAAATGAGTAGCTTTGAATTGCCAATGGACTGGATTTTGTCTTTCCCACATCATTTGAGACTGAATGCTTTTATAACTATATAGCATCCATCCTGGATAGTGATATTGGTTCAGGATTGGAAGGGAGGGGGATGTTAAACGTTTTTTCATGTTAGATCATGGATTTGGGATATACTGTAATTTCTGGTATATTTTTCTTATGACAGGTTTACATTTAGAGTTTGCTTTTCTTGTTAGGTTTCTTTACAGTTTTTGGTCCTCCCCCTTTGGCACTTGTGCTAAGATATTTGTTATTAATTTGAATAGCACATTTACAAGAAAGGACCAGGTTCTTTACTATTACACTTTACTTTACAAAAGCGTCATCAATGTCTCCAATGTTTTTTTATACAAAATGTTCAAGTCCCTTAATCACAGCTGTCTTTATGTAAGCCTTTCAAAATGAATATAATATGTTTAAAATCCTGATGAAGTGCCATACCCTAGGAGGGTGGGAGGTGCCAAAACCAACAAATTACCGCATGACACAAAAAATGACACATTCATTGAATTCATGTGAATTTTTTATTGAAGACAAAACTGAAACCGAAATATATGTAGTTTTCTCCTGGGAACTAATTTCAACATAATGTGATCTAAAATAAAAATTTTAGTTTATTTTAATTTTTAATTATAATCAATTTCAAGTCGACCTGGTATGTTCTAATATGCATTTACAGTTAAATTTTTAGTTTTTTCTGAAAAATTGCCAAATCATAAAGGGGGTGACATTAAACATAGACCAAACTTTGAACAAGGCCTTGAGTAACATTATAAAGGAGCAAACAATGCCATCCTACTTGACCTATGAAAGTCAAAGAAAGTCACTTAGGACTTATCTTGTCGGGAACTTCCATTAGACTCAATGTTTTCTATACGGGCTGATTAATGTTCATTATATCAAGGATGTTCATAGAACATTTACCTGTCAACTACATTCTACAGGTGACAATATCTTACCGGACATTTACACAGTCCAATCATCATTATACTTGTACAACAATGTATTTGCTTCCAATGACCTATTCACATTTAGGAAATGCTTATTGTTCCGAAAATTGTGATATCTTGAAATAAACACCAAGAATTACCCTTGATTTCCTTTAACAGAACATAAATATAATGGTTTGAATTGTTTCAAAAAACTTGATGAAATAATGAAAAAGTTTCCATTTCTCGATAAATCTCAAATAAAAAACTGATAAAACAATGTCCTTTTGAGGTTTTGACTTTCCTGTATCATTTACAGTAATTATCATCCAGCTTTTGAGGTAAACAAAGTGCTTAATATTGTGCCTGGATTACCTAATAAGGAGCAATGAACCTATTATCCAATGAACTGTGCAACTAATGAAAATGCATTCAAGTGATCTAATAACAGGATTTGCATTGTCATCCTATAGTCTTACCATGATGGAGTGTTTTTACTTATATGGGGTAAATGACACTTGATACAATGATATCTGTTAAGCCGTGTGGGTGAAGCTCGATCTTGTCAGCTTTGTTACAGGAAATTTATGATTTATTATCCTATATTTGACAAAAGAAATGAGAGGATCTGATCTTTCAACTTCACCTTTCACATTCAAGGATTACCTCTTATTCATTAAGTGTAGGTGAACATCTCTTTTAAAGTAGCAAAAGAGGATTATCTAAAAGGTTAAGTTTAGAATAAGCTTATACAATGTTATTTGTTCAAGCTATTATACATATCTATCTTTTGTTGACTATATAATCATGTCATATACAGGGTAGGGCAAAAAAAACAATACCCAAGTTTAAGGATGAATATCATAGGATATAACATTAAACCATGCCATGTATTATATATCATTTTAAAGATAAATCATTTTCTAACAATATGACACCATCTGATAGCAAAACCGTTGGGGTGCCATAAGCAACCAAAAATTTATTCACTGCAGATTTCCAAATTGTGGAAAATGGAGGTAAATTTTAACTTTGGCACCTTCAAAAGAGGTACATTTATACAAGTCTTGTGCAAATTTCACCAATAATACTTATATATTTTTAATAAATTATCAATTGTGTATTACTCTTAATAAATGTATGATGATTCAGTCAAGCATAATTGAGTTCAGCTGTGACTGCAATATGGAGGGAAATTTGGTAATTTTTATTTTTTGATCGTGGCACCCCTGATGTTAATTTTAGCCTATAACTCCACAAGAAAACAAGAGTTTTTCAATTGGATGATGTCATATTGTTAGGAAATGATTTATCTTTAAAATGATATACAATACATGGCATGGTTTAACATATATCATATGAATCATTCATCTTTAAACTTGGGTATTGTTTTTTGGCCCACCCTGTAGATGACATATAAGTTACATATAACATGAATAACATAATTATAACACAACACATGTAAGTTCAACAGGGACGGCAATTGTATTATTGCTGAAATGGTTTCTGGCCAGGCCATTAGTCAGGGGGGCTGGCCAAAATTTCTTTCAAAATCATGCCATTTTTCACCATTCTTACTATTTTTTGAGTGATTTTTGGCCAAATTTGCCAAAGTAAACCCCCCCTAGAATTATTTGAAAAAGTGGGCCCCCCTTGGAAAATACGGGCCTGCTGGATAAATGTGATCAGAAGAGAATCAGGATAATGAATATTAGTCTACTTAGTTTATTCTCTCGCAAGTCATGGTCAGGAAAAATATATGGGGATGGGAGGGGGAGGGGGTGGTGAGAGATTGGATGCAACAATAGGACTTATATGTAAATGCAAACAAGACATAGTTGAATGACAATGAGTACCCTCAAATTGTCTGAAACAAAAGCCGAATGTCACCTAAGATTCCAAAACAATAATAAATTGTTAGTATAGTGAGATATTGAACACTGAGACAGTAATTCCCCAACACACCTTCCCACAAATGAATAAATAAAATCCTTAATCAATATCCTATTTTCTATTTTCTGCCATTAATCAAATAAAATTCATTAAAAATTGAGTCAAACTGATGTCATATTTGGAATCTACATGTAACATAACATCCAGAAATATGGTTTTGAAGAGTTTATCAACTTTGAAAATTTAATTTTTTTTTGCAATGTGACTTCTAGGTCGGGGAGATTCCCCATAGACCCCATGTTGTAAAATCACAAAAAGTGAATTATCTTTTCTTGTGTTGGGCAGATAATATTTTCTTTTCCTGGACATATTTTAAGTTGTATAACTATCAGATACATAAGGATAATACGAAAAGTGAACCACTAAAACTGATGAATATTCAAGTTTAAAGGAAATTTGTAAAACCCTGCCATTGATTTCCCAAAAATTAGCCACCTGGTGGCGAAACTGGTAACTTTACCTACTGGCAACTGAATAATAAAAGCAACACTAATTAGTTGCTGATAGTTATTGATGATGATTAGATCATCAATCAAATACACAATGGCAAACCTATAGATAGTAGGAATCAACAGATTTTGAAAGTAATTATTGGCATAGATTTGTAAATCACTATTTTTCAATAATAAGAAATATCACAAATGTGAAAAAAACAATGTCTAATGATGTGATGTAAAAGAACTCTTTCCATTTTCATAAGTATGTAGTATTGATCTTGTAAATATGTAGGCTGAACAGATATGACGATTCGATGGGCTGAAATTTGGGAAATCATATTTTGTCAATTTCACATGGATATCGAGACTTGCAGTTTTAAGACAAAATTTTTAAACCAAGAACTGTATAATTTTAGTAATTTCTATTTAAATGTTTAACAGTATGTGATTTTATATGCAGACGCACCTTGCATTATAAATGTTGCTGTTCTAATCTACTTATATTACTACAAAAATACCAATTATAGAATTCATTTAATCTTATGCATAAATCCTTAAGTCAAATAAGTGAGTTACATGTATTTATATGTTTGAATATTATGAAACTACATGTACATACAGTGTACACCAAAGCTTATATGTTTAACATTTGCATAAAACACTACTCAACAAAAGTGGAAATGTGCAAGCTCAATTAAAATGGAAATCATATCACAAGAACAAGAGTTATCTACAGGTAATTATCTGACTACTGCGAGGGACTAGAAAGGTATATAACACTGAGATGCGGTAACAGATAAATTAGATTACAAAGCAGCCAGAGCAGAGAGGATATTATAGCTTTTATTCAATATAACTGCTATTGGATCAAAAAGTTTCAATACAAAAATCTATATTCAATAAAAAGGAAAATCTTAGTTTGCTGCAGGGAATTAACTAAGAATATTGTCTGATGCATAATGATTGATCTTGAATAAAATTAAAGTTAACAATTAAAATTAATTAAAATTACATAATGAACAGATGCGGTTTAGTAAATACTGAAATAGAATAAAAGCCAAGTAAATCTAGAAAGAATATTTTTATATAACGAACAGATGTGGTCTAGTTCTAGTTTTAGTGCATGAATACAATGAAAAAATAGAAATTCTGAACAAACACAGTAAGGAAAGTATCAAAAGATAATAAGAACTTCATGAATAGTAATTGACCATAACTTTAATTATTCAAAAATGAACTCAACACTGTCTCTGCTGGTTGTAACCATAGCAACAACAATGAACATAACAACTGATGATGTAATGGTGAATAAAACAACAACTAAGATGGTCAGTGAAGCGTCAAGTATTAGCAATGCCAGTGGAGCAAACAAATTTATGGACAAAACAACAGAGATGTCAGCCAATGTTACCCTAACAACGGGTTATTTAAATAACACTGATTCCCCAGAGAAATACGATCATGAAGAGAGTATCACGATCACGTCATACTACATTGGGGTGATAGTTTCTCCAATAATTATCATCACAGGCGTGACAGGAAATATTCTGGCCATTTGTGTCCTGACTAGACCCGAGCTTATCAAAACTCCATCAAACTATTTCCTGATTGCTCTAGCATTTGCTGACATGGGTCGCATTCTGATAGCTGCCGATTTGCCGTACTTCTTGAAGGAGGCAATCAAGTTTGACTATGGACTCCAAGGAACTTGGGCGTGTAGATTAAGAACATTTTTCTACTACTACTGGTGTCAGTTGTGTGGTTGGTTCCTAGCCATGTTAACGATATGGAGGTTCCGTTGCGTCTATTTCCCACTCTCCGCTCGGGCAAACAAAAACAAAATGTTGTGTGTTGCATTGATATTCACGACGATAATTGCAATTGGACTCATTGACATGCCATTTTTCTGGGCAGTTGAGCAGACATATAAGGATGGACAACCACAATGTAAGGCAGTAAATGATCAGTATGAAACATACAAGCACAACATTAACCCCTGGATTGATCTTGTCATCGCTTGCCTCCTTCCCGCTGTCATCATATTCTCGGGGAACATGGCTATCATTGGCAAACTTTTGAAATTCAGAAGCAAGCGTATGAACATGAAGCAAGGACAAGAAAGGGATGACGATGACTCCAAGGCTCTTCTGATTATTCTTATTTTATTAAGTGTTGCATATTTCCTGTTAACGTTTCCCCTGCAGGTGTACCTGATCGCAGAACCACTCGTCCGTGATACTCTTTTCGCTGGACCCAAAGGACATGAGCTCAGTATGAACCTCTGGTACGCTTCAGAGGAGCTCTACAGCCTCAACTCTGTTATCAACTTCTACTTTTACGTCGTGGGCGGTGGTAAGTTTCGTGAACAGCTGAAGATTATGATATGTTGCGGAAAATACAAGGGGAAATCAGGAGGAGAAATGAAAATTCTGACATCAGATACTACAAATGCGGGAGCATCGAATGATAATTTGGCAAATGGATCCAACATTTGGACAGTGAACAGAAGCCCATCCAACACTGTTTGAGATGTTGACAAGTATGATCCCACAAACAGATTAATTCATAACATTTTGACTTTAATAGGTATTGCAGAACATTATTTCTCTAAAAACTTTAACATTTTTAACTCTAAAGACTGACGAGATCTGATCCACATCTCTGTTTATAACAGACAGAGATGAATTTTGAATCTTATCATCCCAATACGAGAAGTTAGTATATATTTGTGGAATAAAATACATGTATGAATGATGTAAGAGACATTATACCACTCTAAGTCCGATTACAGTTGTATAGCATGGGTCTATAACAACGATATACAGTGGAGAGTGGTATATCGTCATCGTATACAACTCCTCCGTATACACTCCAGCGTATACCACTGTAGAAGTTCATTCTGGGAACAAATGAATATTGACCGAAGAACGAGGTGTATGTTTTGTTACACATGATTTCATAGAATCAAGTGACGTCATAAATGGTTCCCACATGATTTGCTATACTCTCGTGAGAATATAATATATTCACTCGTTTGCTACGCTCACTTGTGAATATATCATATACTCACTCGAGTATAAACACGATATACAGAAAGAACCATTATATAACCTCATATTATTTATTCTAAACATTATATAAAACATTAAATAATTAATGTTATTTATTGTAAGGGTTTAGTCAAACTAGTAATTGTGTTGAATAATATATATGGTACTGAAAATAATCATGGAACTGACACTATTATGCATATACATAATGCATTGAATGTTTTATCCAATGTAAGCAAATGTAAGTAAAATGATTAGTACTATGCATATTGTGCACTGTAAACCATGTGTATAGACATCCTAAGGAGCCACACTAATGCCCGAGTCACATTTGCTCCAATTCATCTTCCCACTCCTGGCTAATTGAGTATTGTGTTCAAATTTATATTCAGTTTTGATCCAAATAATCAATCGGCCAGACACCGGCTGATGAAACAGAGCAAATGTGACTCAGGCATGTTAAAGAGATGTTAAAGTTTACTGTGCTTGTAAACTGCTTTCAGTGTATTAAATGTGTAATTGTAAAAATGTAATTAAATGTTGTGAATGTTATAATACACTTTGAACTGTATATGGCTGTTCTTAGTTTTCATTTCAAGGTAACATCAGTCATCTAACACACTTCAGAAACTGCACGACAAAAGCAGTTTTATAACACTATCTTGGCAATAACTAGAAAATGGCAACTCCACAGAGTAGCAACCACCATGGACGATATATAGTTTTTCACACACTGAAGTATATTTAGCTTATAATTTTTCAAGACAAGATATTAAATTTCTTTTACTGTGCTGTCTAGCATTTCAATAGGAAACAAATACATTTGTACATTGTAGATATGTCAAAATTTCTGAAAACTCTAAAAAGACCAGCTATGGTCTGGCAATATCTTTGACCAAGATGAATACCAACATTTTTCATTAAAATAATATTTCTTGGAAATAAAGTTATCAATATAATAAAAAGATATCAATTGAACTCTAAGAATTTTGGAAATTTCATTGCTTAGTCACCCCATCTCAACACACTTTTATAGGAAAATGCACAGCATTTAGCAAATTGATCACTTATTGCTGGTATTGCTCACCATTTAATATAGAAAGTAGTCTAAAGGATGATCTTGTATACTCAGGGGTGTACACAGCTTGAGGTCAACAGGTAGATGTCTGCCAGTGCACAGAGTTTAGCAAATTGATCACTGTTGCTGGTGTTACTCACCATTTAGTACAAAAAGGGTGATCTCAGAAAAAATACTCAAGGGTACACAGCTTGAGGTCAACAGGTAGATGTCTGCCAGTGCACAGAGTTTAGCAAATTGATCACTCGTTGCTGGTGTTACTCACCATTTACTACAAAAAGGGTGATCTCAGAAAATACTCAAGGGTACACAGCTTGATGTCAATGGGTAGATGTCTGCCAGTTTATAAAGCAATAGTAGAGTTGAAATTGCCACATATTTGTACAAGGAATTTTTTTACAATCTTCTATTTGTATTTAATGGGAAAATTGATATTTTAATTTACTTATCATATGATGATGATATTGGTTTGATTTTGAATATAATACGATTATTAATTCTATTGAGCTGAATACATTTGCATCTTTAACTAGTGATATTCCGCAAAGACAGAACCCATTCAAGCAGAATTTTGATAACTTTAATTTGAAAAAAATTCACATAAATTCCCACCTATTTCTTAAAGTAGTGGCCATTTCAAAAAGAAATCTGCAAACCAATGCACTTTTTACTACCAAAAGTGAATAAAATCAGTCTATCGCAATTTGATTGATGCTCCTGGTGGACAGATGGGCAAATAGATGGATAGACGAATGGCCTCATTATATCCCATTGAAACCTTATTCTTTTGTACATTAAAAGACTGGTTAACTGCCACATAAAGACAACTAAGACAGGAAAGTTCCTGTTCATTTTCAAACCCATCCAGGTTCATCCGTTTACACTGAGTAAAGGGATTGGGTGAGAACATTGAGGTCCATCGCAAGAAGACTACGGTTGGGGGTATGGGGCAAAGGTCATTTGTTTGATCTTGTGACTACAACTTTTTCATTCATGAATTTGCGTTTGGAAACAACATAAAATATTTGATTAAATCTAAATGGTGTTGAACAAAATTGCATTGTTTGAATAATTGAGAAATCAACATTTTGACTTAACCCCTTTTTATCTTATTACTTCTGTGTTAACGATAACTGATAAATAAAGATTATTGAATAAGTAAAAGACTGTGTATTCTTGATTAAAGCAGATATAAATACTTCTTATGATTCTGTACATGCTTATAGACTTGTAAGCAGACAAGAAAAGGAATAACTGTTGGACAAATAAAAATACAGGGTGTTTCAAAAGGAACAGTACTGGTGCTGGCATTTTTTTAAATCCGTGCCAATTTTACATAATGCACTTTCAAGTATGGTTATAGAACCCTGCAAAGATGTACATGTAATCAAACAAATATAAAAGTCGAAATTAAATCAATTAAGGCATGTTTACCATTCTACTTCTATTTAAGCCTATGTCTAAATTCAATGAAACATATGTTATGAGGCAATTCCTATTAAACACATTATTAAAGGAACTTACACAGATTTTTTCTGACATCTTTAAACCGACTAAAAATGATGAATCTGATTAATTAATTGTCAGATTTGATGACAAAATTTGATAGAAAAATGTAATTTGAAACAAAGATAATTTAATGTAAAAATGTTTTAGTTAGTTCCTTTAACTGAATCAACATATTTTTACTAACCTGTAGTTATCATAAATCCACATCATGATGTCATACATAACAGTCCTACAGATGGCGCTGGGGTGTTTGGAGAAGGTGGCGACATCTGGTAGGAAATACAGAAGTTCCTCCGGTGAAATTTTCTTCAACATTCCATTCACAATTTTAAGGGAGACCAGCTGAGTTGATTCATCTCTAAAAAAGTACAAAGGGCAACATAAGAAAAATACATAAAACAGATAACTATAGATCATGTAAAGAAACAAATGCAATACATGTTTCAGAAAACAAGGTTTTGAAAATAGGGACATACACTTGAAAATGCAAATGTAGAATCTCTCCTAGAATATAATTTCAAACTGCCTTAGAATTATTGATGGCATGAACATACAAACTTCCAAAATACAATGTAATGTAGCTGGCAGATTTTAAATGATGTTAAAATCTAATGATCATTCGAATGAATATGTGTCTTTCTGCTCATTTGGAGAAAATTTAGGCCCAAAAGCAAACATTATGGAATTGATTCCTTGCTGTACCAAATTTAATTGAATATATCAGTGAACACACAGATGCTATCAAAACTGATAATGACCTTCCCCTATGCATGTTTTCGTCCATTAGAAATTGATTACTGGGGAATCATCTCATCTTGTTAGTCCTAATTAGTAGGTAAAAGCATTGATTACAGGTGGCACAAATGAAATGATTTATTGGAAAGGTCTATTGAAGGAGCATCGGTACACATGATTAACATCAGGGTCAATTAGACATGACCTCAAATTGTTGTCATATCTTTGGGACAAAAACCTAAATAACTAGAAAATGGCAACTCCACAGAGTAGCAAATTCCAACAAACACTTTATAAATCATGAATCTGTACAGTCACAATGTTACCATTATGGCAATAATGCCATAATTGTGATCTACTCTGAAATTCCTTCAATTTGAATATAATATAGCCATACTTTTAAAAGATTCGAAAATAATTGTGAAATCTCACATTAGGCCGCCATTTTGAATTTTTCGAGACCCGAATCAAAAAAATGATACAATATTTGTAAGCTACTTTAAATTGTCTTTCATTTGAGTATAATAAAGCTACACTTTAGAAAGATCTCGATTTAAAGCAAATTCCCATTTTTCCCATTCATGGCCCCTGGGGGTCAGGGTGAAAATAATAATATTTATTATTTTTGTTTAAAATGAAAAAATACGATTTTTGCAAAAAATTCCAAACTGGCGGACATCTTGAAAATATGTTTTGCATAAAACTATTTACCAATATACATCTTTCCACCAATATGAAGAAAATCTGTTGTCTAGTATTTGAGATATCTTCCGGACAGACGGACGGACTGACTGACTGACGGATCTCTAAATTTATTGAATTCATCTTTTATGAGTATAAAGATGCAGTATCACTGATTGGAAAAGTTGTTACTTGTTTCCTAAATGCTAATATCCTGATATACATATACGAGCCATTAAACAATTACATATGACACTAATCTGCCAAAATGAATCATTCTATTTCCGTCAAATTTAATTCAGAATATGATCAGATAGAAATTCAAACTTAATCAAGAATAAAAGTTGATCATCCATCAATCTGCTATCTTGCTTATATTGATAATGAATTGATTTTTTCAATAAACCATTATGCAATTGCACTTTATGAGGTGCACCAAAACTTGGTTTGTCTTGTGTTAGCCATACCCAGTATGCTTTATACATGTACTTTTTGAATTCAAAACAGCATTCTCTCTGGATGGGTTCAAAAGTTTAACCAGAGCAGCACATAAATAGGAATGATAGTAATTCCTTTATAAACAAAGTCTGTAACTTGAGGCTGTAACATATCCATTATATACTACACTTGTTGATCTCAAAATTCGCAAAGTAAATACAGTTGATGACAGGGGTGACCTTCAAATTACAAGAGCTTTAGGGGAGGATCAAGGAAAACTGACTAAGTGGATCGGATAAGTCATAAAAACTTTTAAACAAAGAAAAATCAAAACATGCAAAAAAGTCATACATCATTTGAAAATGTTCTTTGACAATTCTGATTCTTCTTCTTTTGGCTGAGAAATATTTGACAATTTGTGAGAAACGCTAACCCTACACATTATACTTTGAGTGATTCACCCCAGTTGATTCAGTTCTAAACAATACCAGGCAAAATCAATTTGACTCTTGGACCGACAGCATCAAAACTTGAAAATGGTGAGTTTAAACAAATAGGAATAGACACATTAAACTAAAATTGTGTTGAACAAAGGTACATGTGGAGAGGGAATGTAATGAAACAGGGATTATGAGAAATAATTATCAAAAAAAAAAAAAATCTTATTCTGTAACAAATACAATTATCATTTTCAAACATAATGCAGTCAAAAGCTGATTTCTTATGGTTATCTTTAAAGGCCCCATATAAAGTTTAAACCACTTTGACTTATATTACAGTTCAACAGAATGTTATTACTGCTGTGTGAAACTCAATTTAATATCAAATAGGTGATTTTGAAGGAATTTTTGATAAATTTATTTCAATTCAACATTTAGTTCATAGTCAAGCACATACATTGCTAAGTAATAATTTACTTAACTGCATAGCATATATCAAACCTATTTTGTGCTGAAAAAAGTAAGAAAATAGGCTTAAAAAAATAAATTAAGAAATTAATTCTAAGTGCAGAAAAGTGGTTCAGAGAAAAATGCATTGAATCTAATGGTCCACAAATATTTAAAATCTATTTTGAGTAGAGAAATATTTTTTTCCTCCTGACTGTAATTGTTGTATTTGATGATCTGAAAATCTGAACTTTTGTTTCTAAAATGGCAGGAAATTCAAATATTTGAAAAGTATCATATGAACAAACAAATTTTTAAGTCATGCTAATATCAAAACTTACACAGGGCTGTTTCTCACGATAGTTTAACGTATATGACTCTAAAATGACTTTTACATTATAGGTTACGATGCTGGGTCTAATACTGGTATTGATGGTTGGCAGTATGGCTGGCATGAAGGCTCACAATGAAGACCTACACGACACAGTAAGCACCCTTGCCAAGCAACTTATGATGCAACAGCTTATGTTTGAAGAGAGAATTCGCAGTGATGGAGATAGCGGATTGAAGCAATGTCGGGTAAACAATGGAGGTACAAAGCCCTACCACATGCCGTCATATTCATCTAAGAAAGGTGCTGGGTCATGTCATGATCATTCAAACCATATGAGAACACTTGGAATTGGGGAGTTTGTGGCAGTGTTGAATGGTGTTGAATTTCGCACAAGGCACAATGATTATCTCCTGAGAATGCCGAGCAGATCATCTATCGAATATGAAGCTATGGAAGATATTCCATTCCCGGATGTTCCCCAATCAGTTCTGGCACAAACAAATGTTAAGGATCAAATCCATGAGATGCAGCAATATTTCAAAGCTTTCCAAAACCAGGACAGTACTATACGAAATTATAAACCATATTTCAAGCCTGTACTATGCTATCTTGAAGGAGCATGGACCACCGACTCAGATGATACTATAACCGAGCCATACGAAAGTGATCGTCATTGGTTAGATGCACACAGTTGGAAAGACTTGGAACAGAAGATACGCTTCAATGCATATGCAGGACGCAAAAGCACCCTTGAAAACTATGCCTTCTTACCACGGAAAATCATGAGCCTGATCAATGACACAATCCCAGTAATGGCCCAGTGGAATTATCGCATACTCTGCCATCCACTAAAGAAAGACCTTCCAACTGATCGATTCAGGGTGGTTGATGACCTAGGTACACGTATGATGTTCTACCGTAACTTAGATCAACACACAGGGTCGAGAAGAGCAAGGTTCCAGCTTCCAACCAAAGATGCTCCATGGAATGAGTACTCAGATAAGATGACCTCTCATAGAGAACTCTTGGATGAGTTAATGGAACAAATACCCGGCAAGGACAATTATGGTGCCTTTCATGTAGATGAAGCATTTGGTCTTAAAGCACATAAAGTGAAATCCTTGGAAACAAAAAATGCTGGGTATTATCACAGATGGTACCAGACTGACAAGAAAGGTGCGATGGGGCTGTCTTTACGCCATCGAGGTTTCGCTGACAAAAATGTCTTCATGGCCATGACACGCCAGACAAAAGTTGCCCCAATGGAAGTGGAGGACTGCAAGGGAGAGGGCAGTGATAGGGTGTGTAAGAAATACAAACAACGATGGACCTATGCTATTCCACTTGAAATTGTCTACATGACCCCTTTGTTGAAGTGGAACCCATATGATATAGAATATAAAGGGGATGCCAGCTCGCCTAAAGGACAATCTGTCGAGGAAAATGGTAAACGTACTGGAGGTTTCTCCAGAGCAACAGCATACAATGGGACTCATCACCAACTGTACTACCACACACCAGCAGAATTCTTCCAGGGACGTGTGGTAGACGTTGATAAAGCAGACACCTTCAAAGGTTCATCAGGTGTCCTGGACAAACGTGGTATTGTGCGACCGATGACATCATCAGGCACAAGAGTTGTGCTCCCAAATATCCCATATATCGGAATGGTGCGTCAACGCTATCCCATAATGCCTATCCACAGTGAAGGTAATGCAATATGGAAAGAACTTTCGGCACTTAAAGATATAATCATGGACCTGAAACATTATGGATACATGATGGAGAAACTTCCGGATGGTTCTAAACCTAAGCTTAAGGACTACCTTAAACATTCATACAATGAAAAAGGCTACAAATTCTACCTTGACTATGCAAGCGGTGCCCCAGGAGCCTATGTTGGTCGACACAGGCATCATTTCATTCTCCTAAAAGAAGACATGGAGACCCTGAAGAGCAGAAGGCCAGTCACAGTGATCACAACAGAGAATAACGGGCATTCCCATATGATCACTGTAAGAATCCCAGGCAGTAGGGCAGTGGGGGAACCTAAAATGTTCCGCTGTGACGGAGAAGAAGTTTGCTGGGATGGTCACACAAGAATGATGCATATCAAGCGTGATGGTGAAGCTCCAAGATTTTATAATGGAAGAAATTAGGGTTTGACTACAGAACTTGACTTTTCAGGCTATACTGAAAGTTACATTAATCATACATGTATGATGCCATAGTGCAAAATTCAGCAATTATACTTATATATTTTTAATTAATTATCAATTGTGTTTTACTCTTAAATGAATTTGTGATGATTCAGTTAAGCATATTGAGTGCAACTGTGACTGCAATATTGAGGGAAAGGACGATTCTCGGTTTGGAGAACAAAGTTCATCAATCTAAATGAGCATTATCCCTGCTTCGGACAAATTTGATTTTTTTTACATAATATAGATTTGAATGGCTTCTTTTGAATAGTCATAATTTAATTTGGGTAATATTTCTAGATTTTTCGCAAAAAAATATTAGCGCAGTACACTGATGAACTTCTTTCCCCAAATCGAGACTTGTATTTTATTAAATCGGTCTAATTGAGCGTTATCCCTGCTTCAGACCAATTTGTTATTTTTACATCTTGTAGATTTAAATGTCCTCTTTTGAATATATTCATAGTTTAATTTGGGTAATATTTCTATATTTTTCATGAAAAAATTATTAGCCCAGGAGACTGTTCTCCAAACCGAGAAATGTCCTTTGGGAATTTTCACTTTTTGATTTTCGGTCACTCACGGCACCCCTGGTGTCAATTTTAGTCTATAACTCCACGAGAAAAACAAAGGTTTTTCAATAGAGTAGATGCGAGTAGAAACAATCTTGATTTACGTCATTAAAAATTCAGTCAAACTGGTGTCATATTAGAATTACATCTAGAAATGTGGTTTTGAAAAGAGTTAATCAACTTTGAAAATTTAATTTTCTTTGAAAATGTGACTTCTAGGTTGGGGAGATTCCCCATAGAGCCCATATTGTAAAATCACAAAAAGTGAAATATCTTTTCTTGTGTTGGGCAGATAATATTTTCTTTTACTGGGCATATTTTAATTTGTATAACTATCAGATTCAAAAAGGTAATATGAAAACTGAACCACTAAAACTGATGAATATTCAAGTTTAAGGGAATTTTGTAATACCCTGCCATGTTATTTCCCCAGATTCAGCCACCTGGTGGCGAAACTGGTAACTACCTACTCGCATCTGAGTAATTGGATGGTGTCATTTTGTTAGGAAATGATTTATCTTTAATATGATAGTAGCCGAGACAACACAAGTCCCAAGTCTGTATATTTACTCTCATTTCTTCACTCTTAAGAGTCAAGTTACCACATTTTGCATGCACATTCCTTGGAGAAATCCTAACATAGAAATTCATTGGTTTTGATTATAATTCATTTGTTAAATATAGGGAAACATTTGATTTTTATTGGTCTATAATCAAAATTTTCCATTTTGTGCGACAAATGCAACATTTTGACGTAATTGATAAAATCAAAGTTTTAAATGACAGATACAATATGTTGTATCCAATCTTATTGACAAATAACTATCAACCTAGTTATTTTTTACCAGTCATCAGATCATACATTAGCTATAGTCTACATTGGAAGTATGCCTCAATGAGATTTGCATTCATTGATTGTGGAAAGTAGTGAATTGTCAAAAGAATATTAGAGTTGCACCATTATTTTGCCACATTTTGTTGCTTCTTTTTCCATTTGAGGTTGTTTGGTACTATTGTGATGTCATAATATATAATCTGATGTCATAATATGGGTACCAGATTGAAGCACACATTACAAGTTTTAAGATGATACCAAACATGTCATCATTCATTTGATTAAAATGGTAACTGAAATAAGCTCAAAAGGTATGCCACTCCCCTACCCCATCCATTTTCAGGCCATTGAAACACGCCAAAATTTCAAATAATGCAGGCATCTCCAGGGGTTGTTTTTTGTCCTGTTTTGTTAAGAATATCATGTTTCTGCATACCATTTTTCTCGGATATGTCTCAGTTACTTAAAACAGTTACACTTGTGCTGAATAAGAAAACCTTTGGTCATTTTGGAGGTATTACACCAAAAGTAGAGACTTTTATCAATTTCGTCAAAATGTTGCACCTGTTGCACCTGTTGCAAAAAAATGGCAAATTTTGGTTATAGACAAATCAAAATCAAATGCTTCCCTATTTTTAACTAATAAACTATAATTAAAACCAATGAAATTCTATGTTAGGATTTCCCCAAGGAATGTGCATGCAAAATGTGGTGACTTAACTCTTAAAAGTGAAGAAATGAGAGTAAATATACAGACTTGGGACTTGTGTTGTCTCGGCTACTATATACTACATGGCATGGTTTAACATCATACATGTACATGTATGAATCATACATCTTTAAACTTGGGTATTGTTTTTTTGGCCTCGGAAATCAGAATATCTGGAACATTTAGCATATTATTGTATAACAGTATTATAAATTACTGCACAATTAAATGAATACAAATCATACACAGTACATGTACATTGAGGACTACTAGTTATGAAGGGATCAAATAAATATTTCAATGTTATTCAAAAATGTAGATTAAAGACACCCTCACTTTCCATAGAATGTTGTTGAACATATAGTTTTTGAAAAAATGTTTGTACATCATAAATTGACCTTGTTCCTAAAATACCCGCAAAAAATCCTACCTGTGACTGAGCATTGTTAGGAACCCCTTAGCTTTTAGTTCTATGAACAGGTTTGGTATGTTATCAACTCTAGAAAGTATGGCCTCTAAGGCATGTGTGCGGTATTCACCATGGAGACCAGGCAGCATAAACAACAGCTTTGTCATGAATCTGAAAAATAAGCAACAGTTTATTCATAACAGGAGTAAATAAACAAGCAGCATTCTCCTCTATTTAACCAATAAATACATGTATGAATATTCTGTAAATTTAATTCTATTTTATGACAATAATTTTTGTTCAAGTAGTAAATAAATTTTCATAATCTTACTTGTCTGTGATTGGTGGAAACTGCAGCGCCATCTTGTGGACCGATATTATAAAATTGTCCTTCTTGTGCTGCGACATGTCATTGAGCAGACTAGTAATAAACTTTATATAGCTGTTGAGGTAACCTGAAATAATAAATAATTATATGCACTTTATGTTACTTGATCAGTATTCAAATTTATATGAGCTCATCCTAGGTGTATTCAATTAAAGGGACAAAGTGCGTAAATTAAGTCTCACTTTTGATCTTCATAGTATTTCCAATGGATTAATAAGTACCCAATCTTTCATTTGAAACCAAAAAAGCTCAAACAGACCACATCAGAGTTGACACTAGATCATGACAAAATATTTTTGATCTATCAATTTATACATGTCAAGTTTTTAGCAATGCCATAGAAAGATGGCATTGTTGTTTGCATTAATTATCAATTCATTTTTGACAGGATTTTCAAGCATACGCCATCTTTTAATCCAAGAGTTACTTAAAACATACACTATTTGTGAAAAGTGGTAATTCACTTTTTTCAATCTCTGAACTTCAAATGCTGTTTTCTATGCGAGTAATTTTTTTTTCACTTCAGTATTATCCCAAATTAAAGTTTTTATCATATTTGATTGACTGTGTGAGTGACATGTCTCAAACAATATGTTGTCCCTTTCCTTCAAAAATAGGCGCATTGCCTGTTTAATAATCTTTATTTACAAGTTTGACTTGCTACTTATAAACATGGGCTTTCAAGTCTGTATTTGATTGGTAGTCTGTTTCTGCTTACAATCACCTTTTTGTTGAATAGTTTGAACATAGTCACTATAGAAAGATGGCAGTAGAGTAGAGGTAAAGAGAAGATATAAATATAACCAAGACAAACTAAACTGCCATCTTTCGATCTGAGTGAAAAATTCTCTGACTAATATATTTGAAGGGTTAAAGTAACACATTTACGATTCTAGGCCGAATTTCGACAATTTAAGCGAAATGAGTCAAGAAAATAGTCTTACCTTTCTATTAGGATGGGTTCAGGTGTCAAAAATAACTGATCCATGGATATATATCATTTTGAAATTTGGATGTAAGAAATATTTTTTCGGAGCCATGTTTTTTTACGACTCGTAACGGGAAATAGATTATCTAAATGAAAACTGAATTTACATCATCAATCCTGGTTTTGACTTAAAAATTTACCGAAATAGATATTTAAATATTATTAAAATGATTATTGACTATTTTCTTATTAATCTTATGCAGTGATTCGACTGTCTTCTAAAATTTATAACATAGTTCTAGAATTACAGTGTCATCTCATCATGCCAGTGTGGCCTAATGGAGTAAGGCACTGGACCAAGGTTTTGATCGATCGAATCCAGCTGTCGGTGGTTCGATTCTCGGTCAAGACTAATGTTTTTTTCTTTTTTATTTATCTCTCAGACACAATTTTTTTTAAATCTCTTTTTATACAACATATAGTCATATCTATTACTTTTTGAGGTTTTAGATTTTAGATACATCGTAAATGTGTTACTTTAATATGATATAAAATGTTCCCAAGTACACTGATTTGTCTAAAAGCAGGGAACTGTTGCTTACCCTCTGGATGTGATTTAGGGTTATCTGCCATGTGCTTTAGGGTCATTCCTACCACCTCAGCTGAAGCTGCATAAACAGACTTGTACTTAAAGCCCATGTTATTGGCTAAACTTTGGTAGAACCTGCAACATGGAACATTAATTTTATGATACAGCCTACAGCACAGAACTGTCCTTATGTAAAGGTTATACACTGGGGAAGGGGATACACAAGTATGTATGATAAGGTATATCATTGGGATACATTACAGAATGTGTATAATATGCAAACACAACAAAGGAGCATAATTTTGAGTTTGTTTTAAATTTTTTCAGTAAGAGTAAACAAGGCTAATTAGATTATAATACAGAACACTTAATTCGATTAATTCTAATATAGAAATTCAAATTGACAGATGCAAACATCTCTCTTCATATTAGGAAACACCCGTCTCCCATTCATCCAATGACTAGCTTACTTGTCTCTTTCCACTGATCCAGTAGGTTTATAGGGAGTGAGTTTGTTTGCCAGAAGCACTCCTAACATCTGAATCCCAGTCTCATTCTCTTTACTAGCTAGATCAACCTTACTGAACTGACTGTATAAGACCCTGAAATCAAAAAATAATATGACATCAGTGGTATCCATCAATCAACAGTGTAGCCCAGTGGTAGGAAGAATAGTTGGAAGAGGTGTATTTACACTTCCTGATTTCTCTATAACCTACTCTATGATGTTTAGAGCCTTCAAACCCATACTTTCCTGGGTCTTATACCTGACATTGAGTCTGGAAGATAGGGATTCCTTTCATCAAAATTCCTATAATAACATGTGGGATTATAAACAATGCGATAAATGCGTTATGTGCATTTTACACCAAATGTTTTGTGGTGTACCACTAAACGAAAGTTTAATTTTAAGATCATCAATACACCACTTTGTAATGTACTCACATTATCTTTTACACTCCATTTGATAGATCAAGTAGAAAAAGCATTATTTCAACAATTTAATTTAATTCTTATGCATTTATTAGATTTCATAGCATTTTCTTAAATCTGTGATTCAACGATCATTTAGGGTGCATTTCCGAAATGCATTTTTTCATTTTTGAATTTTATTGTTGTATATTGCATGTTAGTGCAATAATGTTCTTTGGAATTTTAATGACTTGAACTTGGATAAATAATTTTATAAAAAACACAGACTGGATTTATGGTCACAGGAGTGACATTTAAGGCCAAATGCAAAATGAAATGAAACATTAACAAAGGCACACAGTCCTCTTTGTGACATTATTGTACCTTTAGGGTATAATAAAAGAAACAAAAGGGATTTACACGTGAATAGTTTTAAGAATTGAGAGAAATTAAATGTTTTTTACACTTTATTCATGTACTTAAAGGTCTTTAGAATATAAAAACGAAAATATATATAATGTACATCAAACATATACAGCTGGTGCAGTATTACACATAAAAAAACTTATCAATCACTCTCAGCATACATGTATATTTCACTTGGAGCATATTTAATTTTAAAGTCAGATCTGGTATTTAATTGCAAATGGGGCAATTTAAAAACCAATAAATAATATTCAAAGGTAAAAAGGCCCCATGGCACAGTAGCAACTTATTTTTTGTCTCCTACGATACAATGTTAATTAAAATGTTTTTCCACATGTTTTTAATGTTCGTTTGTTCATTCTTATTGTAAACTGCCATGGAACTGCTAATGTTCTTTAATTTCTCTGGTGTCATAGCATGCAAGATCTCTGCTAGGTGCTCACCAGAGTTGTAATATGTAATATGAGGCCATTGGTAGAAATCACTGAACTGCAGCCAGTATTTGACAGCTGTTATATTCCTGTCACTATTAGGATCAGGGATCCCAGATTGGACACCCTGTATTCTGGATTTCAATGGAATTTTACCGAATGTTGAATCCCATGTTCGCTCTTTGAGAAGATTAAACTTAACATGCCATTCACTGAGGGATTCTAAAGATGGGACGAATAGGGGAATGTTCATTCTGTACTGTTCAAACAGGCTCATAACTGACACCTGATAGGGGATATGTATGATCCCTGGGTGGTTTGCCAGATCTGAGTATTTATAGTGCCCATATAGAGTCCTCAATTGAGCCACTTTTGCAGTGCTGTTTATCTCTCTTAGTCTTTTATCAAGGCCCCTTTGGACTCCTGTTGAGGCCACATTTCTAGCCCTGGTTGATGCAAACAGAAATTCAGGTCTCCTTGGATGGTATGATTCATTTGTGTATCCGCAGTAACTAGGAATTAGTTTTGTTTCTATACCTGTGAAATACTTGATATAATTCGTGTCATATAGATTATTCCCACCAATTACATTTCTCGGATCCTTGCTTACATTTCGTAGGATCTCATTATATGTGTGCCATCTTTCATTTGGCGAATTGCGTCCTAATTCATATCGAATTGATGATATGATAATCAGTGGTTTCTTGAACGGCCTGAAGAGGTCACACATTGCAGGTGGATGGTAACACACAAATGCAGTTACAGTTTTCATTTCGGAATCATTTTTATAACTCTCATAGAACTTTGAAATCAACTCTGGGGTCAGATGGAATCCATTCCTCTGAGTTATGACCCGTAGAGGCGGAACTGGGTTGCACGTTTTTGTGATATGGCAATGAGACGAGAGTGTTTTGTCGATAAATTTTACTCCCATTGGCTCCAACAATGTTTTCAAATCATGGATAGGAGATATATGCATATCCTGATTCCATAATGTAATTGGTCTTGTAATCCGTCCATCTTCAAACAATGCACCATTTGATCCTTTTAGGCCTTTAGTTGATACCGTTGGTGCAGATTCTGTGCTGTGTGACAAATGTCCCATAGTAGTCCTGGTCAATGGGGACGAAAGTGAAGTCTGTGAATAGGATCCCTCAGGTTCATGATTCGATGATTCCTCAGGTTTTCCTTTTATGCTTTTATTATAATATTGCTGTTTTGCTTTGTTTAATGCTCCATTCATAAATATCTTTAATAAATAGAGTCCAATAAATAAGAAGATCAATTTGTATGAGGTCCTCATTCTTGTATAGTAATAATACCTTGCTTCAGTTATATTTCTCAACAGAAAAACACAGTACATGTGTAATATTTAACTGAAGAGTCATATTAAGCAAATTTTAATTCATGTCCAATAAACATAAATCAATCCACAACCTGAGGGGTATAAATCAAAAGTGATTTTAACAAACCAAAATGAGATAATATTAAAGCAAGCACGAGACAACAATCAATAAAAAGTTCATTTTTACAATTTCAATTGATCTAATGATAGGCACATGTAATTAGATAATTTAAGGCACATAGAGAACTTTTGATGACTTTTTGCAAAAAGCGATTTTCTGTGAGTTTCATTTTTAAGGACATACACCTATTTTACTAAATAATGTATTGTTACACTCATTAGCGTACATCTTATTTACCGTAATTACAAAAAGTTATTGACCCACAAACATAGCAGTATAATTAATTAATTTAATTAATTTTGTCAATATTTTTTCAGATTGTCATTGAGAAAAGCATTTTAAAAACCTTTCTAAAACTGACGATATTTTCTAAAATTAATGATATCATTTCCAAACAGTAGAAACATTATTTAGCTACATCATGAGATGAGCTTCTTTATTTTGCTGAGTGACAAGTTAATGTATGTTTATGTGCTAATTAAAAACAACTGTTGTAAAAACCAATATGGACTGACTTTTTCAAAAAGTTATATATTCTTCATTAGCTGAATTAATTTTCATAATACAACAGGTGTGAAAATCAGTTTCCCAAAATATAACTCCAATTCAGTGGCTTTACACAATCAAGTGAGTTCAATTAACCACCTTATGCAAACTGTACATGTGGTCACATAGTGCCAAATAGAAATGGGAGTTGAGGTGAAGACAATTTGGGCTATAATAAACAGCTGAATACTGAAGAGCAACAAGGAATAGCAGATCCCATCGAACAACCAGGAAATATTACAGTAGTATTGTCTGCTTTTGGAGAGCTCTTTAATACCCATCAGTCGATTAAATTAACAATCACCCAGAAGGATAAACGAAAGGACAGATGGACGAATGGATGGATAGTTTCTCTATATCCCTATAATAAAATCACCTAAAATGCCAACAAGTGTCAAGAAAGAGTAATTACAAATTTGAATATACAAATTAAAGGAAAATCTAAGATATAGAGACAGTTCAGTTAAATCTCAGGACAAATGACATCCAATACTTAGACTGAACTGAACTTACATATTTTCTGATTTAATAATCATCTCAAATGTACTGGTACATACCACATATAAGCATATATCAGGCATAAAACGTCTATGCCTAAGCATTCAATTCAATTTGCAATTGATTTATATGATTTCTGCCAAGAATGTTTTGACCTCCTCGCTTCTTAAAAAGAACATATTCTCATTTCTCGACTCATACAATAATTCTACTTTCTGTCTACCAAGAAAAATCTCAAATGAAATTCTTGGAATTATTTTCTATCCTCAGTTTAAATATGGCTTTTAAAAGTTTAAACATCTACTTTGAATAGACCTTTATGCATATTTCGAAAATAGATTCACGAGAGAAGGTTTTAGATCAGACAATCATGTCTATAGCCAGAGAAATGTTATTTTCAACCATTTTATCCTCTATAAATCCCAGTGTGCCTTAAATAAACTGACACAACAACAACAACAAAACATTTGATAAAAGAACATATAAAATTCTTACTTAGTTGGGACTTCAATTCTAGATTTCCAGCATTCAATGAGTGTCTTTAACATTTCCAGGTTGTTCTTGAAGACCTGTTTTGTTGGGTGATATGTATTTGCCATAACAAACTCGACCAGCCTACTTGCCATGGCGCGATCAACTGTAGTGTCCTGAAAATATTCATGCAATATACTTCAGCAGCAGACTTTATGAACACCCTATATAACACATTGATTATTTTTGACTTTGAATGATCACTTAACAAAACAAAATCACTTCACCAAGTAGCAATGCAAAAGGTAATGCATCTAAAAGAAATATAAAACTTGGTCCCCTCCTAATATGGTGACATGGCATTTTCCCTGAAAATGCAGACAAAAAGTGGAATGCTACCCATGATCAAAGTAATGATTGAGACCACTCTCCATCATGACGCTATCCCATTGTGTGATAAAATCATTCAAATCAAAGGACCTCCCTACCTCTGGTATGGCAACAGTTGCCCAAGAGAGGAGCGTGACAATCAGATCAACTGCCATATAGTGAAGTCCAGGGCTCGTATTGTCACCTCCAACAATAAGCTGTACAATCGGGGACAACCAGTATTTTGCATATGGGCGGAACAACTGAAATGAACATGGCATCAATTTACATATTGTATGTGAGTTATCAAACGATAAATAAACAAGGCATTAACATGACAAAATGTCATCACCTAATTGCTCATAATATATTGAGTTCAATCTCAAGTCAGATTTGAATTTCTGACAACTTGTAGATGATTTTTAAAAAAAATTGGTCAATTTGAAGGAAGATTAAAAAATACCTTTTTTGACCTTGAGAAGGCCATTGAAGGTCAAATCTTTTTTGACCTTGAGAATGTCATTGAAGGTCAAATCTTTAGTCAGATTTGAACTTTTGAGAACTTGCAGATGATTTTGAAAAAAAAATTGGTCAATTTAAAGCAAGTTGAAAAAATGACCTTTTTGACCTTGTGAAAGACATTGAAGGTCAAATCTCAAATCTTAAGTCAAATTGAACTTCTGAAATTTGGTCGATTTGAAGGAAGTTGAAAAAAGACCTTTTGACTTTTTTTACCTTGAAAAGGTCATTGAAGGTCAAATCTTATATATAGTCAGATTTGAACTTCTGAAACCTTGTAGATGATTTTGAGAAAAATTAAAGTCAGTCTATATAGTATTTATTAAGTTATTGGAAGTTGTAAGAATTTGTTACAGATGCCGATCGCCAATCGCCAACCGCCGATTCAAAGCTTTTAACATTGGCTGACATACCTCTTCCGTATTGATGATCAGTTTTGCTATGAACAATTTAATGTTGACATGAGTTGTAGAGTCCTTCATTTTCTTCTCCAATGCCTCCATCCAGCTGGGCATACTTGTCACCTAAAGTTATAAAATGATTTTCTTTTTATTGAAACAAATAACTGCCCACCAAGAAAATTGATTCAAATAAGGACACCGACTGCTTAGTATAAGCATATCTACTGCTAAGTACAATTTCCAGCATACAAGATTCATAATAAGTCTTCATCAAATAATAGCAATGTATAAATTAAGTTAAAATAAATGAAATTATTATAATACTTAATAAGTATAACCTATTACTGCTCATGAAATTAGAAATCAAAATGAACCAACTTTACATTTTAATATTTGTGCAGTATATAGTAGTGTAGTGTAGCATGAATCATTGGTACCTAAAGATGAGGAACAATTACTCACAGGTTGTGAATCTGTGTATATATTATTGAGCTTCATGTGTCTGAGGATGCCAATCAATGGAGCCATACATTCATGCTGGTTCAATGGGTCCATCTCCATCTCCATAAAATCACCCTGCACTACTACAGTTGGATCCTGAAATACAAAATTGTGATCCAACAAGATAATCTGATTCTCAATTGAAAAATATGATACATGTACATTGAAATATGATATGTGGAGAATTAAAAAATCAGTAACCAGGCAACTCATCCCTGACAACTCATTCCCAAGACAACTATCAACTAATCAACTGGACAATTACTCATCCCCTAGACAACTCATTAACTGGACAACTCATCCCCTAGTCAACTCATCCCTGGACAACTCATCAACTGGACAACTCATCCCAAAGACAACTAATCAACTGGACAACTCATCTCCTAGACAACTCATCCCATGGACGACTCATCTCCTGGACAACTCATTCCCTAGACAACTCATCCCTGGACAACTCATCCCCCTGGAAACTCATCTCTCGGATATTTCATCCCATAGACAACTCATCAACTGGACAACTCATCCCTGGACAACTCATCCCCTAGACAACTCATCAACTGAACAACTCATCCCTGGACAACTCATCCCCTTGGACAACTCATCCTTGGACAATTTATCCCCTGGAAAACTCATCCCCTGGACGACTCATCCCCTGGCCAATTCATCCCCTGGACAACTCATCCTTTGTTTGTTTGTTTGTTTGTTTGTATGTATTTTGTTTACCACCAATGGAGGTGAACAAAACCTCTTGGGGATATCCCGTATATGTAGTCGCAATTTACGCAAATTATCCTGAAAGACAGAACCAGAAACACCTCCTTGAAGGAATCCTGTGTTCTTTTATGTGCACTCATACAGTCCTGGACCTGTGCCTAATTGGTACACACTCTACCACTGAGCTATAGGGTTGGACTGGACTTTGGCATGATTGAGTAATTTATGTTATATTATCAATTCATATTTGATATTCAAATGATTAGATTTTTAAATGTTTTAGTTTTGATCAGTTTTGAGTTTCAAAAACATACATTACATGAACAAAGACTTTCTGGAGGAGAAATCTGGAAAATTGTTAAAAAACTCGATGATATTGTCAAGGCGATAATCAACCAAGTAATCTGTGTTTTGTTTTGTCAATATCAACTTTTAATTTTAATTTTTTGGTCTGAATACTGACAAGGAGCGATGGGGCCAAGGTAATGGATTATGCAATTTATATGATATGAATGTCAAGGATTCTATCCAGCATCGTATGTTTGTATGTCCTCATTTTAACAATGAAAGAACTAACTTCTTTCTGAACATGATAAACTCCTGTAATGAACAATTGACATCTAGCCTTATTTCTGCTAATATTCCAATTAAAATATGCTTGACCATAAGTGATAAAGCTTTCATTGACTGGGGAAATGAACAAGGTCATATTTTAGATCAGTGTGTAAAGAAATATCTGAAAGCAATATATATTCCCTATACTAAGGATTGATGTAATTTTAGTGACATTCTTATGTATTTTAATTTTGACTGTAATTGTATAAGCATGTTTGTATATGGATGCACTACATTTTCAATGTGTGTGCCACTGTTTAAAAGTGATTCCAATAAATAAATAAAATAAAAAATTTTACTTTTAGTATACAATTTCAATATTTTATTAACATTGATTGAAGAAGCTCCTTTGACGTCATAATATGTTTCTTGTTCATAGCTCAAATATTCTTTAATCAGAAGATTATTTTTTAACAGCATTCACAGATGAAGTTGCTTAAGTTCATGTTTCCAAGTAATGCAGAAAGAAATCTTTATCTTTTGTCATGAAATATTGAGTCATTCAATATAAGAAGAGATGAGAGTTTTACTGGCACCATTTGACTGATGTAAGTACTTTTCATAATTTTATTTCAGTAAAGTGAAAAGAATATTTTGAATGATCCAAGGTGTATTTATTCAATATTTCTTTTCCAGAAACACTTAATAATTTGGCTTCATGTGATAAAGGATGAGTTGTCCAGGGGATGAGTTGTCTAGGGAATGAGTAGCACAGGGGATCAGTTGTCCAGGGGATCAGTTGTCTAGGGGATGATTTCTCCATAAGCCAACAAAACTACATGCTAGTAAAGTTTAGTTGTTGGTAAAGTGACATCATCATTACGTCACATGTTTAATAAATGTGACATGTGACGTTTAGATTATTTGTTTATTTAGTTGTTGATGGGGCAATAGAAAATGCAATGATAATCAATCCCATCATGTGACGATTCGACAGTTACATTGATGACTTGCCATAAGTAAGCTTATTTTTGGCAGGGCTTGGCACTGGAAGTCATGTGAATGGTCTAAACACAATACACAAAACATGTGCCGCATTCTAAAAGTTGCTTTTACTGGGTCTCTATGATACAGACTCTTCACTGCTATTGATCTGTGATGCATATCTAGTTGGCGAATGTAGGTCTTGAAACATTTTCATTTACATTGATTTTTGATCATGTTTTCATCTCCATAAAATCACCTACTACCATAGATTAGCTATGTAATAAATGGAGGTTATTACTAAGAGGGAATGAATATAGGTTTTATACTGAGTGTCAATATGAAATAGCATATTAACTGAGGTATAAAACTTATATTTCAAGGGCTACAAGAATCATTTTAATCCATGACATTGAATGATTGAGTGATAACTTTAATATCAGAAGATTGGCATTAAAATAATAAACTGCATGTGTATAATTTTTACACTTATTGTTTTAGATTAACATTTAATAACTTTTTATCAAAATGATTTAACTGTCATTTGCTTATAAGTTTTTGTTGAAAAATGAATATTTTTGGAAAAAAAGATATGCCATTTTGCTATGGAAAAGGAAGGGAAAAGAAACCTTTTGAGTGTATGCATTTTTTGAAATTATGATTTCAGTGTTTAAATCACATTCAACAATCATGTAATTCATTCTGGACTAAAGCTGAGGCATCTAGTGAATGCTCAAGTTGGACACAAATAAATTCACTAAATAACTTATATTGAATCATAAATGACTTTATTTTCTGTCTCTATGATTCTCCTACAACAAAAATAATGCTGTACATGAACATGAATAAATTACAACTTGTTTCAGAAAATCACAATCAATAGAATATACTGTATGTACACAATGTACAATTATTTACAGTGAAACCTGTTTATCTCTGAAACATTTTCTAAGTCTTTATTTCTTCAACTTGATTCTTATTCCTGTGAAGAACAATGTGGCATAGATCCACAAGAAGTTTACCAAGTTCATAGAGAGATATTAAGCTTGCTCCTATATAAATTCCAAGTGCTCCTCCAATATCACATATCAGCTGAGAGACATTATAATCAGCCTCTTGCTTGGTCACTTCCGTTGTCATCTCTTTAAAGTACACAATCAAAGATGCAAAGTTTTTATGCATCATAGCTGATTGTGTTATGTTACTTATTTGAAATTCTTTCGCTGCTAGAGTTGTATAATTTATGATATGAGTTTCAATGAATTTCCAAGCATTATTTTCATTCAAGTCGATATCGCTGCGTTCATAGATAGACCTGGCAAAATAGCCAAGTGTCATATCCCCAGGCCAATAAGCTTGGGACTGGACGTGTTCGTAGTCAGTTTCAACACAAGGTGGCAAACATTCAGTGCACGGTAGTCTCATATTTTTAATATTCACCAAACATTTTAGTTTGTCTAGGTCTTGAAGTAATATAGATATATTTCCTAGATTTCTGGAACCATACTGCCGTTGAATCAGTTTAAACATATTATCCAGGTCTAAATGTTCACAGAAAACCATTGTGTTGTTTTTTGGAATTATAAAGTCATACGAGACACAACCGCACATGTGCATGATTTTCTCCTGGTAGCATTGTGATACACAACCAGCCTTAGTATATGCAAAATCTGTCCCATTCAAGAATAGTTGGTCTTCACATGAATTCCATGGCTTCCCAAGACGTGTCCTCTTTTTCCGTTTTAATGTTACATATGTAGCATATCCTGGGGGAATCTCAAACCCGTCTTCAATGGGGAAAGGAACTGATCCAGGCTGGTGAATGGTAACATGGAGTCCAACTATACCTCCTAAAGGGTCTTTGTTATCGTAGAACATGCCATTGGGAAATGGTATAGGTTTATAGCCATCAAGAAAAACTTTGAAATGAAGACCACTTTTTGGATCTGTGCTTCTTATGGTCATATCCTGGTCCATTTTCAGGCCAGCACCATTGAAAGTAAAGCATCTTCCAAAACTAGGATGTCTAAATTCAGTAAAGAAACTTGAGTTGCAAGGTTTACCTGCAAATCGGCACTGAATAACCAGATTATTTATATTATGGAATAGATAAGCCATTTCTTGATCTGGTACATGAGCATTACCCATCTGCTGTGAAAATAAAACATTTTCAAAAATGTAATCATATCCGTCTTGAAGTTTGAAATCAGATACAGAAGTTTCAAGAAGATTTTTAAGTAAGTATCCATACGAAGTGAGTGAAGCATATCGATACAGACTAGGAGCTCTGAGGATGATATCTTCCTGAAACACAATAGTCATTGGATATGGTAGTGCAGTACATATAGACACAGAAGGCATTTCAATAGCTCTCTCCTCTATGGATATCGTATCAATGTAATGGTAATCATAATACCGTTTTATCTGTTCCCAAATATTTTTTACGGCAAATGTTGCACAAGTTAATACAACGGCAATTGCTAAGATTTTGGAATATTTGTTCCCCGAGCGTTTGATAAGTCCAAAACCATGGGCAGTAGCATCATCTGCAAACTCAGTCACTAAATCCTTCGCCTTCTTTTTTGTTTCTTTTCCATCCATCTTGGAAATTCCCATTCGGTTCTTTTAGTGTTAATATTCATATGTAAGAACTGAGTGTAAGGTCTGACTTATACCTCAGTTGTCGTTGTCCAAAGTCCTGGTTGAATCAACCGTATAAAAATACTCTTTGTCTGGGGTATTGAAAATTATGAAATAATTTGATTTATGAACTGAATCGAGTTAAAAGCATTGAAAAGGAGTTTGAAATTGGTGCCTAAAAGCTTAAGCGTGTTTGTTTATAAGGCCATTTAATATTAGTTATATGTTAAACATCCTGACAAGGGAACAAATGTTAGGAAAGTCGAGGTGAATAAATGTACCTTTGTTTCAATTGTCATCTGGATTTGTTACAAGGAAATATCTGGACACTTAAAAAAATGTTTTCTCAAATTTTGCCTCAGTCAGTCTTGGAAGGGAGGAGACATTTAACATATGTTTCATTTTGAATTCCCTTGGTGTATGGAGATATTAATGCAAGATCATAATGTATTTCAAGTATTTTCCTTTTAGTGATCTCATTCAATATACCTATTAAATTCTCAATCATCTGTCTAAATTACTTGAAATAATAAACTGATTCAGAGTATTGAATATTCTTAATGGACCTTATTAACATTTGAGTTTTTCAAATAGCATTGTATTGTAATGTATTTGGCAAGAGTCATATTATTTGAACCATTTAGGTACTTAGTGTCCATTAGTGACCTCTAAACCTAGTACATGTACTTCTAGTCATGTAGTCTTCATGTTAACATTTATAATCAATGCAGCTAACAGGATATTCTTTGATTCTGGCCATAACAAAACAAGTAACTGATGCCTGTAATCTGAGAAGTCTCAATAATTTCCCTTCATTTGAACTATTTTGCCATTTTTCATTGACATGTATACTCATTTTAAGTAACCATGGGGGTTGTTCCCATTTGAGAGTTTTTTAACCTTAAGCAAGTCTTTCACACAGCTGCATGCCCGTAGCCTAACCCTGCGACCCCCCCCCCCCCCTGGCCAAAAATTCTTTCAAAATCATGCAGTTTTTCACCATTTTGAGCACTTCTCAAGTGATTTTAGCCATATTTGGACCAAAATTGTCAAATGTGAACCCCCCCTGGAAATGTTTGAGAACTGAACCCCCCCTGGCAAATCCTGGCTACGGGCCTGCAGCTGTATACATGTAATATGAAAACATTTATAGCCAGAAACAAGTGTTCAGTAGGAGATATCATTTTACATAATTTTGGAGCAATGATTGATTTATGGACTGACTTGTACTTGTTAAAACTCTAATAATTAATTAGGAAACCCACTTCTAGAAATTTTCCCCAAAAATCTTGGTGGTTGAAGAGGACTAATACTACCCCCTAATCACATTTCTCATTGCCCATTGATGCATGTACAGTACATTGGTTTATTTTTGTTATGAGAGTATTATAACATTTTTTTCATTTTTTTAACCTCTTGAATCCCAGGTTCTAAAATCAGTTTGAAACCAGAGAATTTTTCTTTTTTGCCAAGTTTTGACATTTTACTACTACACAGGGAGATATGCTGATTACTCAATTAGTACAAAATTAGTACTAAATAAGACTGGCAAAAGTGCACTCATGAGCACTCATGTCACGAGTGCTAATTTAGTACTAATTCATGATATGAGTACTCATTTAGTGCAGAAAAATCAATTTTATCAGTACTATTTTATCACTAATGATTTGAGCACTCATTTTCAAAATGAGTTTTAAGTGACTCCACTCAAGTAATATTTCGGTCAATGGGGGGTCAGTTTTTCAAAAACTCCTAGGAGAGTTCAGATTTGACTATTTTGTCCCAAAATCGCATGAGAAGTGCTCAAAATGGAAAACACTGATTTTGATTTTGAAAGAAATTTTAGCCCCTTATTCCCATCATTTCATACAGATGTCAACATTGTTTGCTAAAAGAGGTTTTACTGTAATTATTGCTAAAACTTAAAATACCTGTTCATCATTTGAGCTGTGCCTTCTCTCTGTAGCTCTGCTGGGGGCTCTCTCAATGCTGCTACCAGAGAAGTGTTGAGTGCTACTGAAGTCATACTGATTCAGGTCAGAACTCAGGCTGCTGTCAGCGAGGTATTGTGACGCTAAATAATGCACTGAAGAAGGCATTTGCGATTCTGTGACATCATCAGTCTGAGCCTCTCTCACCTCACTGCGTATCGCCACAAACTTTTTCTTACGAGAAAGTGGGGACTAAAAGTAGATGATATAATTTAAGTAAGGGTTTTCTTAAAAATCAATGTTCATAACCCCCTCGCATCAAGTCTCTAGTATATCTATTCTCCTGCCCTGTTTTCAGAAGAAATTTGGGGATGGGGCTTGATGCAAGACTATGTTTCATAATTACAATAACAAATCTTAAAAGAAGATTGTAATCCCTTATTGTACTGTTATTTTATAAAAAAGTTTACATCTGGTTGAGGCAAATTGTCTATTTATAAAGTTAAACTTACTGTTAATTCAATATCAAAGGTGTATGGTTTGTTTTTGTCTATGATGTTGTCAAACATGAATTTCCCCTGAAATATAATAGTAAAATATGTGCATTTTCTTTAAAAAAATTCAACAAAAATAAACATGTTAAATACAAGGATTTCATACTTAATTTTTGTTAAGACAATCTAATGTATGTTCACTGAACCTCTCTTAGTTATATCTTTGAAGACTTTTCAGTGCACATCATACAATATTTAACATCAAATGTTTTTTTTTATTTCTCTTGAGCTCTTAAATAGATGACTTGACCATAAAGACCTAATCAGTCTCTATAAAATGTGCCATATGTCAGATAAAAATATCTATTCCTGATTTAATTTACTTTCATCAAACATTTAACTCTTAACCCTTTCCCGACGTGAATATAAGAGGAAAATGTTGGCCCTGGTGACGTTGACGGATAAGTAAGAGCAGTTTTTAGGGGAAAACTGAAAATTACCTATGCCCAGGGACCTATACCTTGAATTTTATCACTGAAATACATTTTTTAGTAAGAACTATCGTATTAGAACAACTTGTCAAAATTTGGTGTAAAAATATTGAATAGAACTGGAGATATTATCATTTCATCGATGTATATAAATAAAAATTATGGTGCCAAAAGGAGCCTATCGTCCTGAAAGGTATTACATAATAGGGCTCCATATGGAGCCCATCGTCGTGAAAGGGTTAATTTAACATTTCACATCTGACCTGTAAGCATTGTTGGAAAATATCAAAGAGTACCTTTGCCATGTCATCCTGGAATGTGAATGTAGAGAAGAACTTCATTGTAGTCTGAGTACAAGATGTCAGTGCAATAAGACAGTTACAGGCGGCACAGTGGTACTGACGTCTTAGTTCCTCAAGGGTTGTCTCTCCCCTACAGTCCTCCCTTTTAGCACCCAATGCAAGTCTGTGGGGAGAATGGGTGATAACTATATTGAGGAGTGTTGCATCATGGGCTCTATCAGGTGGTAGAGCCCATGGTTGCATATAGTAGTCCCTGTTTAATCTCAGACAAACTGAGGGAATAGAGATGAAGTAGAGGCCAGGGGTTCCTTGTAAGATTAGCTGCAATTTTAATCTTTAATTTTTGGAAGTTCATCTTTAAACTGACTAGATATTAGTTGAAAAATATGATGTACTACAATACTTTTTTCAGAGTGTGGGGCTTGCTTATTCCATAAGACAGGACGTAAGAGGACATGTCTTACTTATAACATGGATGCAAGTCATGTCAGATAAAAAAACATAACTATTTTTAATTTTTTACCTTTATCAAACACCAAACATTTATAACACTATTATAGACATACAGTACTGATCACATTGTTACAAATTATATAGTATACTGTACCTTCGCCACATCATCCTGGAAAGTGAATGTAGAGAACTACAATAATTTTTCAGACCCTGGGACTTTGTTTACCTCTGGTCTCTAATGCGACAGGACATATACTACTTATTAAAAACAGCAACATTACACCCCCAATCGGCACTCTAAAGTCTCTAATGAGACGGGACATATACGACTTATTAAAAACAGCAACATTACACCCCCAATCGGCACTCTAAAGTCTCTAATGAGACGGGACATATACGACTTATTAAAAACAGCAACATTACACCCCCAATCGGCACTCTAAAGTCTCTAATGAGACGGGACATATACTACTTATTAAAAGCAGCAACATTACACCCCCAATCAGCACTCTAAAGTCTCTAATGAGACGGGACATATACTACTTATTAAAAACAGCAACATTACACCCCCGATCGGCACTCTAAAGTCAGGGTATCGTATGGTACATTAAGAGTATAGTACCATACAGTACCGTTGGAGTATAGTGCCAACAAGTGTTCAGGGTACCATATGGTACCATTCTAGTCTACGGTTCCATAAAATGGTACTGTTGCAGATTTGCTGTGTAGAAGCAAAAAAAATTATAGAAAATAAAAACTCCCTCGTCTAAATCACAAATAATGAAGGATGTGCATTATTTTTTGATTAATGAGAATGAGGCACAACCCGTCATAAAATGACATTTGCACTCCTATAAGTGAGATAAGTGTCAATACACTCAGAACCCCTTCTCTCATGGGAAATGGACAAGAAAGGCACAAAGCACAAATGAGAGAATGTAAGCACATTGAAATGAATACCTACCCTGCAATCTTAACAGTTAGTTCTTTTCCAGTCTTTGCATTATAATCCATGTAGCGCTCATTTATGATAGAGTCCTTGGTGTTGACATCTTGGAGAGTAAGACGTGAATACATCACCTCAATCATGCCATAAGCACATATTCTATTGGTCAGTTGAGTCTCAAAGGCAGTCTCTGGTGTCTGAAATACATTTAGAATACAAGGCATTAACATTTAAAATTTCAACATTTTCCATTTGTTATAGGCATTGAACGCTAAATGGCAAACACCTAATTCTGGCCATCAACAAAAAAGTTGGAGCCTTTAACAATATGTCACCACTTCTGGTCTGGTGGTGACATAATAATATACAATTTACAGTAAACTCTCTTATCTACATGGGTAAATTGAAGAATTAAAACTGAGTTCATCAAAAAGTTTTCAGATAAGAGAAGTGTTTGGATATACAGGGTGTTCAGTAAATAAGGTGACTGGGTCTGGTATTTCAATAGTATTGGTCCAAACATTATGAAAATTGGTGTGTATTTATATTCAGGTTTTGCTCTGTATGTTCTTATTGTTCATTATTCTCTAGAATCAAACAGCTGAGTATGACGCCTGATAAAGTAACAATGAAAGAGGATGATCCGTTCGAACTTGAGTGCACAACTGAATTTGCAAATTCACCTCAAGAATCTGGCATAGAACTATGGGTATGTATAATAGAACTATGGGTATATCCCAAGGGAATGGGGTGCACAGGGTGCGACCGCAGTCCCTCTTTGAGCTAGATTTTATATGTTACTTTTCCCCAAGGATTTCATCAATGCTGCTGAGCTGAGGAGAAGGAGACTTGGAAGCTTAGAACTATTGTGTTCTTTTGAAAGAAGTGGAGAAATTAGAAGGCTTACAGTACAAGCAATGATTTTTTAGATGTAGTCACACCCCCTTGAAAAAAAAACAGGGATACCCCTGTCATGTAGTAATTTTTGTATAAGATGATCACAACAAATGTCCTGGTTATTGTGCTATTGCGCATTTATTCACAAGGGATCATCAAGACACACATGTGAAGGGATAGGTTACCCACTTGCTGGTGGCAAATTTGAGACTACAAGTTTCAATAGCAGCCTTAATGGCTGATATTTATATATTAAATTGATAAGAATAATAAGTAAATCTTGGAATTCTAATCCAGACCCTTTTAGAAAGATTATCACATTTATTCTTTATTAGCATTTGTAAGATTCATACTCACCTTTCTTAAAGGACCATCAACCATTGCCATCAGTTCTTTGATATGTACAACAAAGAACTCCTTTAGGGCAGCTGAGTGTACCAGATGCATCATGGGAAGACATATGCGTTCTATCGAGGCCCGTCGTATAACATTTGGGAAAGAATTCTGTTTGGTGAAGTAATTCACTGGAATATCCAATGCCTCTTTCTGTTTGTCTTGTGGTAGTCTGAAATATTTGAATGCTAACATTTCACATCTAGATATTAACCCGATTTAGTCACAAGCCCGTAGCCAGGGGGGGGAGTTCAAGGGGGTTCGGGCAAACCCCCTGTCCAAAAATTCTTTCAAAACATGCAGTTTTTCACCATTTTGACCACTTTTTGTGTGATTTTTGGCCAGATTTGCCAAAGCGAAACCCCCCTAGAATTTTTGGAAAAGTGAACCCCCCCTTGGAAAATTCTGGCTACGGGCCTGAGTCATAACTGTGTTTTAGATTCCACAATACTAATATACGTACATGTATATAAAGAGTGATGATTTAAACAGATACGGCAGTAAAAAGTACAATAGAATACAAAACTGTGAATGTTTCATTATTTTCACAGGGTTTTGTTAGTTGGGTACAAACTCTTATTTTACAGTATGATAGTAAAGAATACCCAAAGCTCCAGTCAAAATTTCTACATTTATAATGACTAAAAAATCTCACTTGGAGTCAAATTAATCTCTAATCAGATTTTAAAATGATTAGAACTTAGAATACTGGGAGTTTCCCGGGGTTCACTCTAATTAATTTGGGTAGGTATGTGCGCAGCATGGGCAATTTTGGCATAGGGCATAAACCATGGAACCTGGCCAATCTGAGAGGAAAAAACATGGTTAATTTGTCAAAGAGAGAGCCTTTTTAAGGCAAAAATCAGTTTTTCTAGAAAAATGCTAATAAATTGATAAAATCATGTGGCGAGGTCTGAGACAAATCACCCAAAAAGTGGATTTTGTAGTTTATATACCAATATTTCAGGAAATTTACTCCCTTTTATAAGTCTGAGAGGAAGTACATGTAAACATGGAAACTTTCAATTTTGAGAGGAATGTATGTATGTATGTACATGTATATTGGAGTGAAACCCACCGAGGGAGTACCTTTTAATGAATCTGGTAAGGGTAAGCTGTATTTCATCCTCATGTATATGGCTGGCTTCTCTGCACACCACACTGATGAGTAGATCCAGTAACATCAGACTGCCTGACAACTCAAGACTGTAGAGCAACTGCAAATAGTTATTATTCCAATTCATTGATTCATTAAACCTTTCCCATACTCTACCAATACATGAACAAGTTAAAGAATAAAGATGCAAATCAAGAATTTAGTCTTTGAAAAATGAACAGTGATATCCAATATTCTAAACTGTAAACATTGTTCAGTTTAGAATACTGAAAATCACTGTTCATTTTTCTCAAAAGTAGCTGAAATTATCGATGGATATTGCCATTAGTTTTTTGTTTGCTAACATGGAATATTGAACCATAACATTAAATTTTAATTTCTAATATATTGCACATTCATGCTAAAATGCAGTTTATATTTTTAAAAAAAAAAACATGTCCTCATACTCTACCTTATTGAGGGCTGCTATATAGTCAGTGTGTTTAGGAGTGCCGATTGTGAACTCTGAACTGCGGGATGGAAAGTGGTCCGACACAAACCTATCCAACCGTTCCCTAAAGCAAAATGAGGATACATGGAAGAGCTCTGTCGGTGGAACAGGACTGGTGGAACAGGCTCTAAAGGTCCTTTGGCCACTTAATTTAATGTTGATGAACTCATTTATGAGGAACATCTAATTAATGGAGCCCATTTTGTGGTTCCAAGTGTGTTCCATGTAGACAGGTTTTACTGAAACTTTATATAGTCTTGTATTAAGAATTTGGCACTCCCCTCTCAGCTCTACTTTTATTTAATTGGAAGGGGAAACAGAACTTATGTAAGACTGAGTTAGTCATGAAGTTGATCAGATCTGTAAAATGTAATTTCACATAGTATCTAACAAATTCTCAAATTTTATGCTAAATATTAAGAGCTAGTATGAAAATTTGAGAACTGCATGCATATCAGTGCTGTCAACCCCTTAAGATTTTCTCGCGGGACAGATTTTTTAGACCCAGTGCCCAAAATTCGCGGGATTTTGCGGGACATCTACGAAATTCGCGGGATTTTGCGGGACATTTAAGGGATTTGCGTGATTGCGCTAATAGGTACGAAAAATTTCGACAGAATGCGTGACATATCCGTAATACGCGTGAAAAGTCCGAACGAAATGCGCACGTTTTTTTCCCGTCGTTCGTATTTTTGCTGTGTAGACGATCTTTTTTAGAAAATTTTCTACAGAAAGATTTTTGCTTGACTATTACCAGGTAAAATGCGTATTTGCGTGACATTTTCTGTCACGCAAAAATAACTGCCGTGACTTCAAATTCTTCAGCAAATGCGTGACAAATACGCAAATTGCGGGACAGTTGACAGGCCTGCAAGTTTGAACCCAGCATGGAGGATTTACTACAAGGTACCCAGTTTTTTCTACAAACCCTTTCTAGATATCAGCGTCCATTTATTGTTACTCGCGTTTGCTAACATTTGCTCAGTTCTGAGATGAAGGCCACACGGGTAGTAAAAAGGCCAACGTTGGAACTATTTGTGACCTACATCCCTATTTTCGTAAAAAAAATGAAAGTTGAACCCTTCCCCTTTATTTTGATACCAAACAACAGCATGCTACATGTATAGGTACTTAAAATTAGGTAAACTTTACTCCTCAAAAGTGCAAAAACTTAGCTTCTCATATAAGATAATCACAATATAGGGGATTGCAACAATTTCGGAAATTCGCGGAGGTCAAAGCCACATTTGCGGGACTTCGCGGGACATTGCGGGACACGCAAATTAGCCTAATTTTGATCAAATTCGCGGGATAATCCCGCCATTAGCGGGACACTTGACAGCTCTGGCATATGCTCTACCATTTGAGATACCAGATCAAATACAAGTAATTTGATGTACAGTCCATACATAATGAAAGGATATACTTACTTAAGCTTTTCTATGTATTGCTGAGGCAGAACTGTAAAGAATGGAAGCAAGTCTAGCACCTTAGTCTGAAATGTACAAACTTCAAAAATATTGATATCAAAATATTTAGCCTAAAACATAACTGCACAAACTTCAAAAGTTTTGATAAGAACAATACACATACGAATTATTAATATATAATGTAAGAATTATAAACATTCTATAGACCTAAAAAAAAACTATGAAAAAAAATTATGGTATTTCATGTATGATGAAATCAAATGATTTTTTAATATCAATAAAGTCTACATACATGTTCATGAATTTCGAACTCTGAATGCTTCCTTTCAAAAGGAATACATGTGGTTATGGTATTAGTTAGTGAGGTAGCACCGAAAAATGTACCCGCTTCTGAACAAATTGAAATTACTTGTTTCTTATGTATTTTTATGTGATACTTCAGAAAAATTTTGTCTGATGCGCCGTATCCGGGGCGAAAGTTGTCAAAATTGGGTTTTTGACCCTAAAAAGGAAAATTACAGGGGGTACATTATCATCATTGAATAATTCATTTTATTATATACCCAATATGTAACACTAATCCTGATTGGTCAATACCTAGTCACGTGTTCCGAGATAGATTCACTATTTCCCTTGGAAACTTATATTCCCTCAAATGTGACGTCAGCGGGAATATACATTTGAACTATTGCCCGCTGACGTCACGATTGCAACTTCTATTACCCTTGGAAACGTCTGCGCATCATCACTGCGCAGACGAAAAACAGAAAAATGGAGGATGAGCACAAACACAAATCAACTCCGTTCACCATGACAGACGTGCGTGAACGATACAGTATAAGCAACGTGTATAAAGTTCCCTAAGCTCAATACGTCTGTGTAATTTCAAGTGTTATGATAATCTATTCCGCGTGTTAAACGCGATTGAATTTGTCAAGTGAGAGTCTCAGAGGCAAAAATTTCTGTTGAGCATCTGATGACGTCACAGCTTATAATGCTTACAATGGACCCGGGGAGGGGGCTTTCTAAGCCTTTTTGGCCTTCGCAGAGGAAACGGGACAAGAGTCAGTATAGGGTATATAATAAAACAAATAGTGACTGCCTAATTTCGAGCAATAGTGTAAATGATTTCCCCTTGGGAATATCCTCTACAATGTACTATTCCCTCAGCCTGCGGCTTCGGGAATAGTACATTGTAGAGGATATTCCCTCGGGGAAATAATTTACACTATTGCCCTCAATAGCAGTCACTATTTGTATACAGTTGGTCTTCAATCATCATAATAATTTTATCGATAGTTGATGAGATCATTTTAAGGTAGTATGCAAACTTTCAATGGTCTGTCACTCGTGGTTGCCATGGAAACCACAATTTTTGCTGAGAAAATCCTTAATTTTGGTAAAACCTGTACCTGTACATAATATAGAATGTGGATTATTTTTTAAATCAACAGATATCAGAACATTTTAGCATTTTCAAAATTATCAGGGCAGTTCAAACATTTATTTAAATATAAAGGATATTGCAATTAACATAACTGGGGAGTGTCAAAGACCATACAATTACATAAGTGATCAAAAGTGGGCGTCGCCCTTATCATAGTAGATGATTGCCATTCTCTAAAAATACAGAGTCTTACTTGACTTTTGAGATACATTTATAATGATGTTCTTTGGTTATACTAAATATGAAGCATTTTTGGTAAATAATGTACATGTAAGTGTTATACTTATTGCATTGGGGAGGGGGTAGATGGGGGGGGGGGGTAACAGAATTGGAAGAGGGCAAAGCTAATCACCCTTAAGTATAAATCTCATCTACATAGTTCTGGATTTCATGGGGTACATCTTCTGGGTCTTCTTCACATTCATATAGGATATTATAATTCTGCATGATTGGTAAGTATAAAGACCATAGAATTACTCAAGTGATCAAAAGTGGGCGTCGCCCTTATCATAGATTCATTCTCTATAAATACAGAGTCTAAGTTGACTTTTGAGATACATTTACATTACAACTTCTTTGATTATACTTAATTTCAAGCATTTCTGGTTAGTAATGCACATCTAATTGTAATAGTTCTTGCCTGGGGGAGGATGGGGGAGAGTAGTAACAGAATTGGGAGGGGGCAGAGGTAATCAGCCTTAAGTATGAATCTCATCTGCATAGTTCTGGATTTCATGGGGCACATCGTCTGGGTCTTCTTCATATTCATCTCAATATATGGGATATTACAATTTACAGGATTTGTCAAACACCATACAATTACATATTTATAAATGATCAAAAGGAGTGTCACCCTAACAATAGTAGATGATTGGTTCTTTGTATAAATACAAAATTGAACTTGACTTTTGAGATACATTCATAGTTATACTGAACTGCTGTTATTATAATTTATGTCAAGCATTTCTGGTAAATACACCTTTGTAAGTATGTATTATAGTTTTTACATTTGGGCAGGGGTGAGTAGTAACAGAATTAGAATGTGTAGATCTAATCTGGCTTAAGTATCAATCTCATCTTTTTAATTCTGGATTTCATAGGGTACATCTTCTGGAGTTTTCTGATTCATCTCCTGGTGTTGCTATACCACCAATCTCTTGTATGAGAATATCAGTCAATACCCATTATAACGATGGAGTCATTTAGTTTCCATTCAAGTCCATCTGGTGGTTCACTACGAGGATTTGCAATATGGGCCATACAGACAATAAGTGCTTTATATGGATGAGATGGTTACAACAATCTATTATCTAGAGATGAGATGAGTGTGACACCCATAATGACCTTGGAAAGGCACAAATAGCAAGTATAGAAAAAGACATAAAGATGACAAAAACCGCAATCAAAGACTTCCTTGATCCATTTACCATTGAGGATGAAGGTCATCTCTACGGTGTATCATAAGGAAAATCTGTGCCAAATGATGTCGCTGCAGATCTCATCTAATTTTAGTCAAAAGGGGAAATTGCATGAAGAGATACCATCTGAGATTAGTTGAAAAAAAGATTTCATGATCTAATAAAACATATGAAATTGAAAACTATAGCAGCAAACTACAGCAGCAACAGTGACAGTGACAGTAAAAAAGTACTCAGAACAAGCTTATACAAATACATTCTGAATGAAACATCTTTGAACAGCTTTGATCTTGCTTAAGAACATAAAATTAGCCTAGAATGTCTCCTGCAGTTCCTATTGAGCCCTGTGCCTTGGGCTCTAGGAACACTGACTGGACTTCTTGCAAGAACAGAGAAACGCATTCCTATGCATGAACATGTACCCACAAGTGCCAAAGGGAAAGGACCAAAATTTGTAATAAAACCCAGCAAGAAAAAGAAAACTTCTAAATGTATACAAGTCATAAGGAAAACAAACCCCAACTTTCCCAAACCATAATTCAACATGAAAGGTAGTTTTGTTTCTGGATCTGGCGGAGACTGTTTCAAGATTCTACAATTGCAGATTGATTAGTTTTTGTATGTGATTATTACATCAAAAATTCTATAAAGGAACCTGAAAGAGGGGAGGGAACCTTGCCCTATTTAAGGTAGAAAACACGAGTCCCTAAAGATTGGAATTAGTTCTTGTATGATGATGAAAACAAAAAGCAAATACAGCAAAGTGTGCTGCTGGATACTTGAGTTGGAAACAAATGAAGACTGATGTCAGTGGTATTTCCTCCAATATAGACCCTGACATATATGCAGCCTTCCTAGCACTTCACACATTCACAGATGAAGTGCCATGCAGAAGGGGCAATAGCAATAGCACCTTTTTAAAAGGCAAAGGTGGAGCGCCATATAGATACACTCAACTGGATGACTCTCAAATCTGCAAGTGTAGTGGTATATTCTCCCACATGATATTGTTAATATATTAACATCGGGAGGTGAATGAAAATGATCAGACTATGATATTAATACTTAAGACGGACTGGCCATTGGCTCTGCCCCCTCCCATTTCTACTACTACCCCCTTGCCCCCCCCACAGGGAATAACTATTACAATACTAAATGTAATCAAAGAAGTTTTAATTTAAAAAATAAATCTTAAAGTCAAGTTAAACTCCATATTCATAGAGAATGAATTATCTACTATTGTGAGGGCTACACCCAATTGAATGGTCTTTGAAACTTACCAATCATGTAAATTGGAATATCCCATATATTGAGATGAATGTGAAGAAGACCCAGAAGATGTACCCCATGAAATCCAGAACTAAGTGTATTAGATTTATATTTAAGGCTTATTAGCTCTGCCAATTTCCAATTCTGTTACTCTTCCCCCCCCTCCTCCACCCCCAGGCAATAACTATTACAATAAGATGTATATAACTTACCAGAAATGCTTGACATTAAGTATAAATCAAAGATGTTTTTAAGTAAATATACTTCAAAAGTCAAGTTAAACTCTGTATTTATAGAGAATGAACCATATACTATGATTAGGGCGACGCCCACTTTTGATCACATGTTTTATAATGTGGTCTTTGACACTTTGACACACCAACCATGTAAATTCTAATATCTTCTATATTGAGATGAATATAATAAGACCAAAAAGATGTACCCTATGAAATCTAGAACCATGTAGATGCGATTTACACTTAAGGCTGATAAGCTCTGCCCCCTCCCAATTCTGTTACTACCCCCCCCCCCACTTTTGATCACTTATGTAATTGTATGGTCTTTGACACTTACCAATCATGTAAATTGGAATATCCCATATATTGACATGAATGTGAAGAAGACCCAGAAGATGCACCCCTTGAAATCCAGAACTAAATAAATGAGATTTACATTTAAGACTTATTAGCTCTGCCCATTTCCAATTCTGTTACTCTCCCCCCCCCCCCCTCCTCCACCCCCAGACAATAACTATTACATTCAATTAGATGTACATATATAACTTACCAGAAATGCTTGACATTAAGTATAAATCAAAGATGTTTTTAAGTAAATGTACTTCAAAAGTCAAGTTAAACTCTGTATTTATAGAGAATGAACCATATACTATGATTAGGGCGACGCCCACTTTTGATCACATGTGTAATTCTATGGTCTTTGACACTTACCAACCATGTAAATTCTTATACCTTATATATTGAGATGAATATAATAAGACCCAGAAGCTGTACCCTATGAAATCTAGAACCATGTAGATGAGATTTACACTTAAGGCTGATAAGCTCTGCCCCCTCCCAATTCTGTTACTACCCCCCCTCCCCCCTGTCTCCCCATGCAATAACTATAACACTTATATGTAAAAATGCTTGATATTAAGTATAACCAAAGAAATTCAATATAAATGTATCTCAAAAGTCAAGTAAAACTCTGTATTTATAGAGAATGGCAATCAACTACTATTATGGGGGCGACGCCCACTTTTGACCACTTATGTAATTGTATGGTCTTTGACACTTACCAGTCATATAAATTGCAATATTCTTTCTCTTTAAACAAATGTTTGGACAGCCCTGGTGATTTTTAGAGTGCTAAAATGTTCTGATATCTGTTGATTTGAAAAATAATCCACATTCTATATTATGTACAGGTACAGGTTTTACCAAAATTAAGGATTTTCTCAGCAAAAATTGTGGTTTCCATGGCAACCACGAGTGACAGACCATTGAAAGTTTGCGCACTACCTTAAAATGATCTCATCAACTCTCGATAAAATCATTATGATGATCGAAGACTAACTGAATGAATTATTCAATGATGTTAATGTACCCCCTGTAATTTTCCTTTTTAGGGTCAAAAACCCAATTTTGACAATTTTCGCCCCGGATATGGCGCGTCAGACAAAAATTTTCTGAAGTATCACATAAAAATACATAAGAAACAAGTAATTTCAATTTGTTCAGAAGCGGGTACATTTTTCGGTGCTACCTCACTACCTATATGTAATACATATACAAATGTACTAGGCAAAGCTGAATACTGAATGCTTACCTTGAAAAGGAATACATGTGGTTATGGTATGTAATACAAATACAAATGTACTAGGCAAAGCTGAATACTGAATGCTTACCTTGAAGACGAGGGCTGTTTTAGGATCAGTGAGAAAGAAGCAGTATGTGTCAAACATAGCCTTGAATCCAGATTGGTCAACATCAGTGGATGCCTGTTGGACAATAATGGAACATAAAGACATGTACATTATATATGAAATACTTCATCCATTAATACTACAAAAGAAAACAATGGTCTACCTCTGGATAAGCAAAATGTAAAACAATTCATACAAAGATAATTTTACATACTGAATTAGAATTAATCGATGATATTTTAACATAAATCATGAAAAATTATTGATACATAATAGATGGAGGGATGGCCACACAGATATCTGTATGGATGGAAGGACTGGCGGACAAGTGAACAATTACTCTATCAGGAAAGTATTTACCTTTGAGTCAATGAGTAAGATCTTTGTAATGAGGGCAAGGATGATTGTACGTTGTTCTTGTGTTGCATCAGGCTCCCACCAAGAAGATAGATGGTGCCACTGTTCTAATAGCAGATGCACAAACTTTGAACCATGACTGGAACAAAAAAAGAATTATTATTGTGTGTTACAATTTTATGTTATCCTTAACAAATATTGAGATGACTGTTACTTCACATTCAATTAATATTCTATTGATAGATGTCAGGACAGATTAAGCAGCTTCTATTTTTGGCAAGTGCTCATTTCATATTTGATACAAAACAGCTTTCTAATGGTACATGTACATGTGATCATTTTTGGATTTGGAAATTAAGCTGTAAAGTTGAAAAAGATGAAAAGTCCAATATTGTGGACAATACAGATGTATCTGAAGATGAGAAGATTGACTTTAATATAAGGTATAAAAGAATCCTCAAAGGGAATGACTTCAAAAAACACTTTTTCAAAACAAAAATTTACCATGGAGTGTCAGTACATCTATATTTTACTCACTCTTTTCTTTGTTGTTTGTTCCTGATGAGTTGATCAAGTGTACCAGTAAGTACATCTGATACAATGAATCTCTCTTTTGCTGCTTGCTTCAACAATCTACAATGTGTGAACATTTTTTGCATACTCATTGCATCACTTATACAGTTTATAAATAAGTTTACCAGCTGTATTGTGGACTTTAACACATCGTGGTATTAGCCATGCCTTCACCATCTCTGTCCCTCTGTACATCTATGATGCGCAGTGAGAGAGATGCCATGGGCATCAGAATGACTTTAACAGTAACACAATATAATAGCTACAAAGCTGAACACAATATTACAGCTATACAAGTACAGGAATCAATATAACAAGAAGTAAGTAGTTAAGATTAAAAAATGCCACCCCAAAGTTACTTAACACTAGAACTTGATGCAATCTTATGTCGATACAATTTCAAACTAAAATCAAGAGCTGTTTTTTCCTATATTGAAAATGACCACCAAAACATCAACCGCAAAACATTGACCACCAAAAATTTGGAGACCATAACAATATGTCACTGCTTGTGGTGTTGACATAAAAATTAAATAAACTTACTTTGGGAGGACAGAGTCACTGTGTAGGATCAGATGTTTATTAATTGCATTTTGGAATAGAGAGTAGAAGGTGACACCAAGGTAGCTGGTGGTCTGTCCAGATACATTCAATATTACAGTCTTATCAAGAATATATGCTGTTAGATCATCTGCCTGGAATTTACAAAATTTAGGTTTCTAGAGAGTGTACATCTCCAACAACAATATGAGTGTCAAACTGAGGCCATTTTCATTATGCCAGTGTGTGGGGTACAAGTACATGTTTGTAGTATACAGAAAATGAGATTCAAGATATTAATGTATGAGTCACTGTTAGTCACTGTGGTAGAGTCGATAAACATTATATTGTGGAACTTTTTTTAAATCAAAATTTGGTAGCAATGACTCAGATCAGTGCTTTAACAGAAGCAATCAAAAATAAACCATAATCAAATAAAAAATTAATATACAAGTTACTGTACTGTAGTTTATAATTTATGTATGAGTATACAAATAATGCTGAACTCTTACATTGAACCCTGTGAGTATGGCAAACTCCAGTAAGCACCTTGCTAACTCCAGTGCTGAGGGTGACAGAGCCTCCACTCTCATTTGTGGTCCCTCTTCTATAGTGATGCCCTAAATAATAAAAGCAAATAATGTAATAAGAGAAGGGTTCCACACAGGACTTAAAGAGACATTGAATGAAAGAATCATACAAAGGCATCCGCAAGACACATTTTTTGTTCAAATAATTTGAAATAAATTACATGTATAATATGGACTATATGGATTTAGTGGGCTTATTTATTTCAACTTACTTTGATGACAGTCTGGGCCATCTGTTTAGAAAGTCCAACTATAGTCGCCTTGTCTTGTAGGGCTGGCAAAACCCCCGAGTTGTAGAGCTGTTCATAGCCATGTATTAGATGTGTTGTGTGTATGTGGTCTAGAGCTGGGTCTGATAGCTGTATTGGCAACATCTCTGATAGACTCATACTCCTGTAAAATAATCTAAATATGTCACACCATATTGAGAAACACATATCCATATAGGCCTATTAGTTGAAACATGTAAATGTGCTCAAGCTAGAGCTTGTATACAGAAATCTCATCTGGATAAGGCATTTACCTCTTGCTTGACCTACAGTATCAAAATTCTGCATTTTTAACCTTATGCTCAGTTTCCATGCTGACTATTAGAATACAAGACACTGACACGCAAAATGTCAACACGGGCCATTTATTACAGATGACAATTGCCAAACGCCAAAAACCGTAAACCGCCATCCACAAAAAGGTTGCAGGCTATAACAATGTGTCAACACATCTGACGGGGACATAATAATCATTTGTCTGTTTTAACCTACTTGTCTGTTATCTTGGTCCTGATTGCTCTGTAGAAATCTTTCAGGACAGACTCGGGAAGGGATCTCTTTAGTATAGTTAGCAAGCCTTCAGTCTGGAACAAATAAAAAAATTCCTTTATATGTAATTTATCTGATTCAACAACATATAAAAATATTGAGACTCACTAATACAACTAATCTGAATCCTTTCACTATGGAGTGAAAAGAGCATCCCTCACAATATAATATTTTGTTGCCAACTCATGAATATTGATATCTGTTCTCTCTTGCTATGCTCACTCATGCACATTTGGAAGGATGGACAGACAGAATGACCAGATTGGCAATACCATACCATATGAGAGAAAACGTTGCTGTACCAAAATATGTAAAGAATCAACAATGTGTCACATTTTCTTGTTCATGACATGAATGTTATTGTTAATTGTGCCTACCTCTTTAGGTAGTTGGATCATAGTCTCCACATCAGCCATGTTGAAGCCCAGGGAGGCAGGGTTCAGTATGCACAGGATAACCATGTTCCACAGGGGGGCACTTAATAGGTCCTTGTGCATCACCTGTGATTAGAACACACATTCAATCAAAAGATTTATGAAATGTCTAGGATAGTTTCTATACTACTGCACCTAGAAGACCAGGCTTGAAAAAAAATTAAAAACAACAAACCAAATCCACAAATGGGAACAAACAGTGCAGTATATGTTCTGAATTTCCACATTTTGATTTCACATCTGTAATATTAAAAAAAATCAAAAAGAGATCATATTTTTGTAATCCATTCTTCAGCTCCTTTCACAATTGAACATAACATGCACTTTATCAAGGGCCCAGGAATATAATATAATAATATAGGGAGATAATAAATGTTTGAACTGCAGCTGCAGAGTTTTAGCTTCACTACATATAACACATTTACCTTGAGAGTGTCAGCCTTATGTTTAGGCTGTAGCACAGCCATCAGAAAGTCTAGTACTCTCACTATTGTGGTACACTTGGCCCTGAAACACATACAGAACTATAAATTCATATTATTACAAAGAAATGACTGTTTGTCAAATTACTTTCAACCTGGCCAAGTGTTAAACATAGAAATAATCTGAACTGGTCTCAATGCTAATTAGTGGTGTCAATTAACCGCTTGAGCATTAACGGGTTAACCGGGGGTTTTTACCAGTTAAAGTTGGTTAACCGGCGGGAAATTTGAACTTATAATTTCAAATGAAATCTTCATCTTCGATCTTGAAAGTTGAAAAAAATTGGAAAAATGATATATCGGCGTTTATTTTTTACGTTCGTCAAGCTTTACGCTATTCTATGTAAGTAAGTGCGGGAAAGCAATGTGGCAGGGATTAAAGTTGCTGATTGGATGTTTGTAAGGAATTATCGGACCTATCACATGTATGAGTAGCTCACATGAAACTGACGCTTGAAAACAAACAGATTAAAATGCAAAGTAAGCGCAGGAAAGCAATGCGGCAGGGATTAAAGTTGCTGATTGGATGTTTGTAAGGAGTTATGGGACTTATGACATGTATGAGTAGCTTACGTGAAACTGACACCATAAAACCAAACGGATTAGCATGCAAAATAAGCGCGGGAAATAACAGAATTATACACGGTCAACTAACCGCCCATAAAAACTCAGACCGGTCAAGGCATTATCGGCGGTTAACCGGTTAACCGGTTAATACTTGACACCTCTAATGCTAATGCATGGTATGATGAAAGTATTGAAATATTCTAAGGATGCTACTAAATGCCTGACATCTATCTTTCAATACAACAATTTTTTCTTTATGGCTAAGAAGTAAAGTAAAAAGTATCATGGATTTAACATGAAAAAATGTCACCATTGGCAAGTTATTGTGAATGGTTACAAAAATGCGACAACTGTTTACAGATGGGGAATACTGAACACTGATGCTGAATGCAAAATGCTAGTCACAAAAATTGTAGCTTAACAATGTCATCGCCGCCTCTTGTGGTGACATAAAATTCAAACCCAATGCAAACACACATATCCATATGTATGCCACTGACTTCATTCAAGAAATCTGTAAATATATTCCACTGACCTGTTAAAGTCATCCACCTCCTTAGGAGTAAATATGCCAGTTTCATGCTTCTCTTTGAACAGTTTTGCAACACCATCTATATTCTCTAGGGCTATTTCCTTGGTGAAGTGACATAGAGAATCAAACAACACAGAGCCTCTCTCTAAAAAAGACAAATTCTAAAAAAATTGATATTATGTTGAAATTGTAGGGTCATGTTTTCCTACATTTATCTGATGTATAGTTTTTTTTCAACATAGAGTCATCAATTATTTGTTATTGAGATTCTTATGTCATAGAAATTAGTTTATTTATTTCCTTCATAACCATAGGTAGTATTAAAACTAAGATTGTACCTTTATCAAATATGATACTAGGTTTACTCAAATCCTGCCCAAACAGCCATGTATAGCACTCTAATGATGCTTGGAGCAGGTCAAACCACTCCATCACCTTCGATATGGAGAACACAACATCCATCTTATCTATGGTTGATCGTGTAGTCAGGCCTATACGATACTCTTCATTCATGTAAGATGCCCCTTCAAACCGTAGGGTGATATGTTTGCTGTCTTTGTTCATGTGCAGTTCAATGAACTGCTTTCCAGACTTGATATCAACACCTACACGTATAAGCAGATAGTCATCAATTCTAATCCAACTCATATAAATACGATTAACAACTATTATAAAACTGTAGACACATACTGTACATAAATAAAACACACAGTGAAAGTGATAAAATATTGCACATTGAAGAGGAGAATGGTCACCATGTAATTTACTCAGCATGGCAAAAACCTAAACGATTTTGGCTCTAGTACATGTATGCTCTTGCATCAGTAAAAATTTGAAAGGTTGAAAGGGTAAGCGACATTTTCCAAGAATTTTGATGACAAGACTTATTTGGCGTCTGTCAACACACCCAACTGCACAAGATGACCAGAACATAGCACTTTTTTAAATTGCTTGGTGGCATTGTTTGGAGGTTATTTTATATCAGTTATTTACATCTCTAAAAACACTGTTTTTTATCCAAATTACATACAAAATCATTTTCCTTGAACTATCGGTAATGATTATTATCTAGAATGAATGGAATATAAAGTGATTAATTTTATTATTTTATCAAATTAAGACCTAAATTAATCAAATAACACTATATCAGAAGGTAATTGGAAAATTACTTTGATAAATGAATGCCCGAAAGAATAAATCACTTATAAAAATGACAGAGCAAAGTAGTAAGCATTACACCTTGTCACGACCGATCAAAGACATATTTGATATTAAATAATAACCACAATTAACAAATCCATAATAAGGGACTATTTAGTGAAATTGGTTGTTTGACTCGCATAAGGTCCTATTTTGGTAATGTGTGTTTAATTAACATTGGCTATAACAAGTTGTTGATTAAAGGGTTCACAGAATTAATATCTCGAATCATCCATCATAGATACCATAGCATATTTTTCATTAACATGGAATATTTCCAAACTTTCTACCACTATTAACATTAGGAACAATTGCTGATATCTACACAAAAAGCAAGGGTAAGACACTCACTTGTTTCATAATCATATTAATAGAACTGTTATTTCCAAACCTTGAACAAGAGAGATGGAGACATTTCATTGAAGAACTTATAATTCGTAGTAATTTTTCTGTTATGGAAAGTTTTGGGGAGTTGGCTATAATATTTTGAATATCAAAAAACATTATCAGTGAATTCTTTTTTTCCATTTTCTCTTTATTTTGTTTCTTGCATATTGTTTCTTTGTTTTCATAATTTTCAATGTTGTTTTGTGGTCTTTTCTCATCTTCTTGTCTGATTAATGTTAATAGAGCCAAGCCACAAGTGTTCAAAGTTGAAATGAAGGTTCAGGATTAACAGAATTGGAACCATTCCAGGTCAAAGATATATACAACTCAATGTCAGTTACAGGTCAAAGTGACATTTAAAGAACACTGAGAAACTAGGACATGAAATATGTCTTTCCACATAGAGAAAGGTCTAAAATAAGAGGAAGCGGAAGAGGGGATAACAGATTAACATACACATATAACTTTATGCAAGGTTAAAGAAAAACTGATTTATAGCAGTAATTTAGAGCTGCTGTATGGTAAGATAAAACATAAAAATAATGAACTGAATACAAAATATTCAATGAATCTATTCCCTTTAAACAAATGTCTTTAACTTCAAATATCTCTTTCTATTTCAGATTCTCAATCTACTTTTTTCTAGGAATCACAATTTGATTTGATTTCCTATTTTATTCAAACCTCTTAGATCAGAAGCAATGAGATGACTTAATCATTTGAGACTAAAAGCTAACTGTAAAATAAGACAAAGCTACACAGTTACACAGTAATACATACAGGCACAGATTAATCCTAATCTCTGAGATTTATTCCCCTCACACTGGTACCTAAACCTCAATATTTTGTTATCTTTTTCTCCACAACGTCGCAGGAAATTACTTAATTGCACTGACGAACGGCATTACCAATAGGTACACATACATTAATTAGATAATGGAAAACGTGAATTTGTACAAAGTTATGTAATTATTCTAATATTTATCGTGCTTTAATTCATGGTCTTTATAAATGACATCCGCGTTTCTCAAGGGTATACCAACTACCTTCATCAAATATTTTTACTCACTACTTATTTCAAAGTTAGGATGACCAATTCTCGTAAACATATTGCCCACAGTTTCCGGAGTTGTGAGGTTCTCTTACGACTATTATTCAATATACACTACGATTTTTACAAATAATATGTCAGTTGAAGTGAGATGAATTCTCCAATGTTAACCTATAAAAGGAGTACAGTAGAAAGTCATGCTATTAGTTCATAACACCTCATGGCCAAATCTGTAGGAATTTTTAAAATACATTTATGAGGAGGCCTCAACTCTGGACATAGGAAAGACAGTGTAAATAAGGTAAGTCTGATTCACTTTGTGCAATGTGTCAACTTATTATTTTCTTATTAAATAACGCAGGTGCGAGTAGCTAGTTACCAGATTCACCACCAGGTGGCTCGTTCGGGTCAGATAGCATGGCGGGTATAGTAGAAAGTTCGCTTAAATTACATCTTTTTGCGTGGTTCAATTTTCATATAACCCTTATGTATCCAATAGTTATGCAAATTAAAATATGTCCAGTAAAAGAAAATGTTATCTGTCCAATACAAGAAAATATAATTCACTTTTTGTGATTTTGTAACATGGGGTCTCTGGGGAATCAACCCGAACAAGAAGTCACATTTTCAAAAAAAATTAAATTTTCAAAGTTGATAGACAATTTTCGAATACATATTTCTGGATGTACTTTTACATGCAGATTTCAAATATGACATCACTTTGACTGAATTTTGAATATTTAATGACGTAAATCAAGATTATTTCTACTCGCATCTAGTCTATTGAATCATATTAAAACATTCTACTCCTGTATAGCAAATATCCACTCTGTATGCAGAAGTATAAAATGCAGGAAAGCGATGACATGATAATATGATCTAAAAAGTGATTACGGTGTAACCATCGGGATGAATCACACCATCTCATTTCTAGCAGTCCTGACTTTATATATATATATTTTAATTGAAATACAGAGAGATGGGATGAACATGAGAATGGCTTTTATCGAATTAAAATAAAATCAGGTTCACTACTCATAGGATGATAAACTGTTAGTTGAGTGTTATTTTTCTGTAGAGTGTTATTTTTCTTTTGCATCTCATGTTTTCTGATAGAGAATTAGAGAACAAAGCAGACTTCTATTGATTGAAGCCATCAAAATTCTTTTTATAAGCCTGGGTTAAGTACTGGGTAAACATTTTGCCCTCTAATGTTCAGAAATGTGATAATAATGGATTTTAAAAATTATTTCAAAAATTTAAATATGAAAGATTTTCTTAAAAAAAGATGTTATAGAAGGTGAATAAAGAATGGATAGAGTTTCCTAGATCCACGACATATTCCTGCATATGTTCCTAAAACCTCAGTAGGTATGAGATACATAAGAATACTCTTTGGTTAGATGATCTACAATGAAACATTTGTGCCAATAAACCAAGCTTATTATACAGACACTGCTAGTACTCTTCACAATTAAGCTCATCTTCATCTTCTCTTTAACTGTTATCGATTCTTTGATGTAGCTAGTCTTTATCCAATCAGAATACAGAACAGAATATAGAACATTTTCCGCTTACAAGAAATTCCACTTTTAAACACCCATAAAAGGCCATGAAAGTTACATTTGAGGTCATTAAGATATTCATATTATCATAACTGTGAAATCATAGGAGTTACAGTCAGAGTGTAGTGCTGCTAGTTAAATTGGATGCAGGGTATATACAGAGGAAGATATGCATCAAGCTTCACCTCTTCATACTTCCCCCTAACAGTTGCTCACAATCAATCCCACAATATGTCAAAGCAATTGCAAATTGCCATTCAGAGCAGGTAAAGCCATAAGGAAGTGGAGGATCATGGGATAACACCTCCACTGTTTCCTTCCCAGGATATGAGTTCAATGGTCGAGGAGCTACACTTTTAGTAAAACCAATTTATTTTTTCAAGTATGCAATCACTTCAAATACACGATGCAGGAACAGTTAATAGGGAGAGGTACGTATTATATAATCTCACAGCCTTCGGACATGTAATTTATTCAATGCAAACGTTTCATTTAGTACATGTTTAGAATTTGAGTAATAAGGAAAAATGATTTTCAATACTTTTCACCGGTGTAACCAGGCAACACTTTGTAAAACTTTTAAAAAGATTATTAATTCAGAAGTTTGTTTTTAATTGAAACTATGAAAATATAGTCTTTTGATAATAGTATTTTTCCCTTCAAAGGAGTGGTATCGATATGGAGAACTGAATTCAACAATGTTTTTCTCTTAAACCAATCATTGAAAACTTTCTGTAAAAAACACTAATAAATATTTTATATAACTGTTTTTGTTAACATTTGTTGATTGATAAGTGCAATTGTTTTTGCTCCTGTGTACTCTTTGCAAAGATCAGCCTGCTTCTCTAAAGCATATCCTGAGCTCATGTAATGTTGCACTGGGAGAACACCGCTACACTTGGAGGCATGACCAGGTTCTGAGAGAAATAGTCAGACAAATAGACAACATTATTACTTGCAAAGCCAGCCCACAAGTAAAGGAGACAGCACAATGGACGTCTTTCCTAAGAGAAGGTGAGAGTAAAGGACCCCAACAACAGAAGCCAATCAAGTTACCAGGTATCCTTCAGACTGCAACTGACTGGAAAATCGGAGTTGATTTGGGCAAGAAGTTAGTATTCCCCCAAGAGATAGCTACCACCACACTAAGACCAGATATTGTCATTACATCAGACAACAGGAGGTGTGTTATCTTAGTAGAACTTACTGTCCCATGGGAAGAAAGGATGGAGATTTCCCACGAGATAAAACAATCAAAATATGAGGATATCATCACAGAGGCAACGCAGAACGGTTGGAAAGCCCACAGCTTTCCTGTGGAAGTAGGATGTAGAGGATTTGCCGGGAAGTCAGTGACTTGGATGCTGAAATCCCTTGGAATGCCATCTACCAAGAGGAAAAGAGCAAGTACAGAAATCGGAGCAGTAGCAGAGAGATGCTCCAGATGGATATGGTTGCGAAGCAGTGCTGCATGGTTGCCTCATTAATTCGACATCTTGTTTCTACCACTCTAGCTTGTTCTCTGTGCATGCGTTGTGTCTCATTATGGTTTCCATAATGGGCGGGAGTTAACAGCAGAAGACGCTTACGGATCCACCCGGTCTTGCACATTGCATGCATTTAGACTCGAGAAGCTACAGAGCGAGTAAGGAACAAAGTGGGGTAACAGCGCATGAGCGTTTAATTCAACATTTTATATAACTGTTTTTGTTAACATTTGTTGATTGATAAGTGCAATTGTTTTTGCTCCTTTCTACCAATTCTTGAGAATGAAAAAAAATGTCTTTCCGAACCTTGTTGGAACAAAATAGCACATACAACATGTTTTTAGACCTCTCAATATTACAGTTATACAAAGGAATTTTTGGTTGATTTTAAAAAAGTATTCAATAAATTAAAACAAAATCCCCCCAAAATAGATAAAAATCAAGATAAACCTTTTATTTCATTAACAAGATACTTTTTTAAAATCAACCAAAATTTCCTTACAATTACAATATTGAGAGAACTAAACATGTTGTGTTTATGTCCTTTTGTTCCAATGAGGTTTGGAAAGATGTTTCATTTCACTCTGGAAACATGATACCAAGAACAAAACAAGTGTTTGATGTGTTTTCTAAAACAATATAGATGAAAGTATATATATATTTTTCAAATTATATTGTTACCATTCAAAAGATGATTTTTTATGACTGGTTTAAGAGAAACGTGTGTTCTCCATATCTATACCACTCCTTTGCCTTGCTAATTTTTCGATCCTGGCAACATGTCTGATCTTATATCACAGTATGCCTAAACCAGGTATCATGATGAGTACATGTCAAAGTACATGTATTGTCTAATGGAATAATATTCACTTAAAGATGTAAAAATTGAACTGAACACACAAAATAAATGTGTTTCTAATGATACTTTAGGAAGAGAGTTCCATGTTGGGAGAGATCATAAGGTTTCAAGATGTTGCAGTAATTGAGTTGTGTGAATTCTCGTAGAATAGTAATGATGCTTCTCATCTCTAGTACTGAACCAGACAAAACTCAGCTTATCTTGTAACTCACTCAAAAATACATCTATATTCTATGAAACATGTTCTTTCAATATATACTAAACCTAAATATAGGATATTTCCTCAGATAGTTGAATGCGAAGTTTAAATTTTATTGGGAGTTGTTTCTTTAGATTTCTCTTATCACCTATTGTTATTTGAAAATGAGATGTAAAACGATGTTATATTGCATTGAATTTCATTGAATAATTTAGTAGTAAGGTCATAGTGCGCTAAATATTTGCAAGAAACTTCATAACAATGATGGATCACTAACATCTGTAGGAATAGTAAGTATTTAAAATTACATAGGTACATAGTACAAATACATAGAAGAGGTTATTTACTGGGAGGGATTCAATATGGGTTTTATTCCAAGGGACAATATGATATTTCCAGAGGGCTCGGAGGATCAATGGGAAATATATTGTCACGAGGAATAAACCATTTTTTATACCGACCAGTAAATGAGCTTTTTATCGTATGATATTCAATTAGTTAATGAAAACACAGAATGAAATCCTGTGCTAACTCTCTCCATAATAGCATCAGTTAAAAATCCATATCTCATTTTTGTATGAAACAAAACCAGACAATATATTGAGTAAAAGTATGACTTAACTTCATGACACTTTGAAATATAAAAATGTTATTGTATAAATACATCAACATCAAAAACTTTAACAAAACGAATACATGTACATCACAGGGCAGTCGCATATTGCTCAGATTTCTGTGACGTTGACTGTCCGTGGCAGTGCATGATGATGAAAATTACAATTTAATTCGCCTAAAAGGCTTACAATATTCATTAAACAGTTACTGAATAACAAAACATGTCTGCGTTACCAATAACATTATAATCAGTTCCCCCGTTCTCATCCTGTTATTCTAAGTAATTTATACTCAATTATTTAATAGTAAAATTATTCACTAAATACTAAGATAAATCACATCAGAATTTCCAATTTCCAACAATTTGGTTTGCCTGTGCAAGTAATAACTAGAATGCTAGGAAATATTTAGACAAATGGGATTTTCATGAGATTGGGGAATTTAAATCTGCCTAGTAACTCAATGGCTTGAAGAATATGGTCTCAAAGTCATCCCAAGTGCTCTATATACAGGGTCAGCCAAAAAGAGTCATTTAAAGAGGCCATATACTTTTAACCCATTTATTACTTGTTTGTGTGGAGAAAAAATTGAGGAAAAAACATTGAGTTTGAGGAATTCTACATGTATGTTGATTTATTTGAAGATTTATTCTATGTGATTTAGACAACTTGAATTGCCAAGATATGGGATCTGTACTTTGAAATCAGAGGCTGAAATGCACTAATGACCCTGATATTTTCATTGCCATTATAATGCATGATAAAGCATCATATAAGTCAACATCATAAAAACATTAATACTCATTCCTTTTTTTACTTTCAGATTTGTTATGTCTCCAGGATTGGCCAATCAGAGTAGAGTAAATGGTTCAAATCAGACAACAGATCCTATATTCATAGAGAAAGAAATAGAAAATATAATATGGGACTTTGTTCCACCATTTATAATATCAATTGGAACTTTGGGAAATGTGCTCTCGCTGATTGTGCTCCTTGGAAAGAAGCTACGAAAAACCACCTGGAGTTTGTACTTGATTGTGCTAGCTGTATGCGACACAATTGTGTTATTCACGGGGTTGTTCCGGCAGTGGTTCTGGCGAATCACACCATCTTCAATTGATGTAAGAGCATTATCAAACACTGGTTGTAAGATCCACACATTTCTAACATACACATGTACCCAGTATAGTTCATGGATTCTTGTGGCATTAACATTTGAAAGATTTGTCACAGTATATTTTCCACTCCGATCAAAGACTCTCTGTACGAGGAAAACATCAATCAGTAGTTTAGCAGTATTCCTAGGATTGATAATATCTTTAAATCTTCATTTCTACTGGACTGTTAACATTGGAAAATATGGATGTGACGTGTATGATCATAGCTTGTTTAGATTTATGGGACTTATATGGCCTTGGATTGACTTGTGTGTCACATCTTTTCTTCCGTTCATCATCATGCTCGTATGTAACACAACAATAATCATATGCCTCGTTAAGGAAAGAAACAAGAGACTCCACCTGACAAAACTATCAGAACAAACTACAAACAACTTGAGGAAAACAACGGGTGCAACAATAATGTTCATCACAGTCACTTTCACATTTTTAGTCCTAACATGCCCGCTCGCCATCTATTTAACTTTCTGGAAATATTGGTCGAAAGGTGCAACACCACACACTAAAGCTGTACTGGATTTGGCATGGGCAATTATAAATATGTTACAATACACAAACAATGGGATCAACTTCTATCTGTATTGTTTAAGTGGACCAAGGTTTAGAGGCGAGTTGAAACAATTATGTTTTGCTAGGAAAAGAAATCTACATGACGGGAGGAAAGTAGACAATTCAAAATCAACTCGGTCAGGAAATAGGAGCCCAACAAGTGTAACAAGGACAACCGTTATACGCAGTACCTGAATACAGGCTACTGGGAACCAACAATTTATATATAAGATACATCTAAGTTCATGTAAAGACCGGGTCACAAGTGAGAACATATACAGTTTATAAATACTGATTTTCAGCATATTTTTATTAATAAGGATGATGTGCTTAGAGTTAAGCGATATAAAAAGCTTATATACAAAGTTTTCTGTTCCACATACATGTATTATACATTTATTGGCTGCTATTACTGTACATTTCAAGCAAATAGATCAATTGACCTTTCATAAAATAATTATTTATCTCATATTAATGAATTTTGATTCCAGTGATTCATATGATTGGCCCATAAGAGAAATACTGAGGTAACTTTTAATTAGTTTCTGAAAAATCGCGCCCTTCTTCAGAAAGTATGGTGGATGTGGTGGTTTGGAATCTTATTTTCTCACAAATCAAATGTTTTATATTCGCCCAAAAATCTATAACTAAGCAATACAAAATGTTCCAGAAAAACTTCAAAATATAACGAGGCATTAACATGCAAAATGTCACCAGCTGCTATTTGTTACAAATGTTGATCACCAAACACTGTCACCAACCACCGAATGCTGAACACCAACCGCTGAACACCATCCACAAAAATGGAGACTATAACAACAGAAATGATACCTACTTTTTAGTTTAGAACAAGGAGCCAGAGTGCAGAAGAGTTCCATACATACATGACGACACTCAGTCTGTGGCCTTCCACACTGTCTCAGGAGCCATTTAACTGCATAGAACAAATTCTTCCGTTTCCAATCCCTATAAAACATAGAAACTCAATGGGCTCTAATGGTGACTTTCAAACGTAACATACCTAATGAAAACACCAAACTTATACAGTATGAACTTAAACACATCGTTTTTGTCTAAATCATTTGAGTCACTCAGTATTGATTAGATTATTTGCAATTTGTACTATAGTAGCATTTTCTACTCACCCTCCTGCTCTTCTGGATTCTTTGTCTTTGTGCAACATGTCAGCTTTAGCCTTAATGATGCGTTCAGCATGATGTATTGCCTGCTTGCATTGTTCTTGGGTGCCTACACGTTCAGAATTTACATGTTTGACATTATAAATTTCCCAGATGACAATGTGTCTCACCTGTACTGATATTTCACATTCCAGCAAAGAAAACCCTCAAAACATTCTTCTACATTGGACTAATCCACAGAAGAAGTAATATCTGTATCACGTTACACATTAGGGTTTTATTTCTGTCTACTGCATTTTTAAAGCAGTTTACAAAGAGCCTTATACATAATGCAAATTTAGGAAGAATCCACCAAATCAAACATTATTACACTGCAAGACTGCAGCTCAGTAAGAGAAGTTTCATTTTAAATTACTTTAATTTTGCAAAAATAAGACCTTACCAAGGGACTTGTCATCTTTGTGAGCCATAGCTAGACTCTCCACATAAACAGCTAGAATCTCAAATATGAAAGTATCCACAAGTGAGTCAACCTCCCTGGAAATAACAAAAGAAGATACATGTTAGGATGGTGTCCAATTCTTAACAGTTGTGGATGAAAAATTGCTGGATTAAACAAGTTTTTTGAATATTTCATGAAAAAGTAATGAAGTATAAAACACTATTAATGGTACAGACTAGTATGTGGTAGAAAATGTAATATTTTGACAACAAAAAAGTGATTTCTCCAAAACCAGGCAAAAGTAAGAGTTGGATCCACTCGTATAAATTACCAGTATTAACCCCAAAATTGTGTAAAAGCATTAGTTCAGATGAATGGCTGTTTTCATTTGTCGATGTTGTCAGACAAATGGAGGACAAACGTGGGACAAGAGGGCCATTCCATAGGCCACTGTGAGCCAAAATTACACACATACCCACTTCTTATACCCTTTTCTTATTATTCAGATCATGTATAGACATTTATCTACAGAATTACATTTTGTCTAATATGCTTTTCACACATCTCACATCATTAGTAAAAAATTCAAGCAATTTTCTGAGTGGCAGCCAATTTGAAAAAATATATTTTCGTGTAAAATCCATTTTTTCATTATACAATTTTCTCACAGATATGAAACAGACAGACTGATGGACGGAGTGCATTACAATATCTTTACTAAACTTCATTCACATTGGTAGTAGAACAAAATTGTACAAAACATGTACCTGAACACTGTGTATATAGCATTGAAGCCTAGTGCAGATCCAAGCCGCTTAAAGGCACTCGGGTGGAGGGCATTGCTATACAACCGCTTCAATATGGACTTCACATTTATGGGTTTCTTCTCCAATTGCTGAAAGAACACACAGTAGATAAGTTGCAATGAGGAACCTCATCAGAATAATATTCTAGGTTATATAAAGTGACACCAAAGACAAGGTATTGTAAAATGTTGTGCGCAATCTTATCAAAAAGTATAAGTATCTGATAAAAAGCATTTCATAAAAATAAAATTGAGATACTGTATCTGGTCAAAAATAGAAGTTGAAAAGAAGATGAAGAAATGTCCAAATTCCATAAGAAATTAAATTCTGTTTTTATTCAAATTATTGACAATAATTTCATTTATGGCAATGTGAGAGTCGGTTAAGGTTTAGGTATGAACAAGCCCTGAGAAGACCATTCCCCGGTTATCCCAGGTAAATGTTTCTGGTAAGTTACACTGAACGAAACATCAAGCTTCAGATCTCGAGAGTACGAGATGAGACTTCAGACGAGATATCGATAGGATTGAAGTTGGAGGGTCTTCTCCCTAGGTCCTTAAAAAATCCTTAAACATCAATGTAAGTTATACATTTCGTTTCTTTTCCCTCACCTCCTTCCCCAGCTTACACCACCAGTTGGAGCCTTATTTTCGCCCAAGAAGATGAGTTGGAGATGGTATTATAATATATCCAATTGAGCTAATTAACAGTTATGTCAAATTCTAAACTCTTGTAGCTAATTAACTTAAATTAGCCATTAATTTCTTAGGTATTGTGTTTTGTGTTAATTGGCTCAATATTTATTTATATTAATTTTATATTAATAATTTTACATGTACGACTCTCACAGCCATATTTATACTCTACATGAACATAAAAAATATTCTTACCAGATCACCTTAAACATCTATGATGTAAAAGTTGTTGGACTTTTAAAGAAATAGGCATGACATGAAATGAATTCAAAATGTGAAGATTTTTCAAAACCACTCTCAACAAGTCTAGTCTAAGTGTAGCACATTTAACACTATGATATATCAATGGAAAGAATAACAAAAGACCATTGGAAAAGTGCATTATTCCTGATCAATGTTAAAAGCAAGATCCGGTCAGACCTACTTATATATAGACCACTATTAGCTAAAATGATATGAAGTACCCAGATCTCTACAGGCTGCTACCCTAATCTACAAAAGCTGTATTGAATGAACAATTTATCGCATAGCTACTATATTTATTCTCAACATGAAGCTGATTTAATTGTGTTTGAGTGTTTTCCTGTTCAAAATCATATTTTATAATGTTTTCAATATGACCAAACATCAGTCTTCCAAAGTGCTTATTGACCTGTTGTCAGTTTTGATTTGGCTAATGAGTCTGATGAGGTTAAATGTTCCAGTCATTCAAATTAACTCATTTATGTATGTGAAGACTTGAGAAAATGGTGTTTCGGGTTATCACAATATTTTTCATCTTTCATTTTTCATGTGTTACTTGTTCTGCATCTACTTGTTCCTACAATGCACCATGGAAAATATTTACGGATACAAAACTTAAACATCAAGCACTAAATGTGATCAGTGGACAGACAGCTCTAGGATGTGCAACATTTTGTTTTCTCGATGATAAATGCACATCATTCAATCATTAATCAAGAACTGGCAAATGTCAACTGCTTAGGGGTGAACGATTTGGTTCTATAGGGGATGACAAACAAGCAAGTATTGGTTGGCAATTCTATAAAATAGACTGCCAGTTTTTTGTAACATTGGTAAGTTTTGTATTACTACAGTATTATCTTGTCACAGACATGATGAAAATGTGTCCATTCCAGGAATTGGACATATAATCTAAAGATAGCTTAAATTATATTTTCAAAGTAGAGAACTTTTAGTTTGTGGATAAATAAATAGGGCATTAGAGGCTGTTTCTATACAAGAAATAAAAGACTTAATTCAAAACTCAAATTAAAAATTTATTTCTGAGTCAGTTAATTCTTCTTTTTTCTAGGATATATCGCCTTCACCTGGATGCAGTAATATATGTGAGAAAAAAGGTAAATACAATAACTACAAACTTTTACATCAATTTTATTTTCAAGCTCTTGATTGAATTCTCAGTAGTCACAATAAGGCTTTGTCTAAAAGGTTTCATACTAGATTCTAAAGTACACATAAAGATTCATTTTTTAATAGTTAGATCACCAACCAACCAATGTTATAAGATTTGCGGAGTCTGACTTTTGTTACGAATAAACAGTGCTGCTCTTTTAACCACTAAAAGATAAGCATAGAATTCAATGTGAAATGTATGAGATAGAGTGCAAGGGTTCATATGCTTTTTTCATATTAACTGAGTAATTTAATAAATTAAAGTACACATTGTCCAGCTCCAGTGCCACAGAATACATTGTTTTCATAGCAACAGCATGTTTTTTGTTAAATCTTACTATACAATGGGTAAACTGACGCTTATAGTATCATGTTCTAATTAAATACTGTAGATTGGGTTAATTTGGTGCCCGCTTTAATTTGGCGAATTTGGCGAAATTGAAAAATTCGCCAATATAAATCTTTGCCAAAATTTAGAATGAATTCCCGGATATTATCTTTTCCTATAGCCAGGCTCAATTATTATGTATCAGCACTATATAAAATTTTATTGCTGTAAATGGCAAAACAAGCAAAAACTAAGGAATGTAGAAATTGCACTCCTTCATGGAGATGGCTGCATCCACGTGGATAGAAATGATGTCCCTACAAATAGGACATCCTTAATGTATCCCATACTAAGACATGTGTAAGGTATATATAGCAATAATGAGCAGGGTGGCATATAATAATATATTATTGCCACCTTGCCGGGCCAGTTCTAGGGGTTTTAGTGATAGTTTAGAAGGCATTCATTTTACTATATCGACCTGAGGAATATGCGACATCATAGTGGTGGTCAAGGTAAAAAATCCAAGATGGCTGCTTTATATAATAGTTAAATTTTGGCTCCACATATTATCAAGTTTTTAGTATGTTTTTGGACTACAATATCCAATATAAATAGTTCTGGATTAACTATAAACGTTACTAGGACAGTTTTGGATTAACAATACACAAACTGCAGTACCATATCAAGAATATTTGGATGTTTTAATCTGCATTTTAAAACAAAGGATTAAAAATTCTAATTTTGGAACTGCAACAGTTACTGACAATAAACATCAAAATTTACAAGAAAAAAGACCCATAAAGGTGAAAATAACAACTCAGGAAAATAAAGCAATTTTGATTCTCCAAGAAGGTAAATTATCAATTAGAAAGTATTTAATTTGTTTCAAAAAAGGAAATATTCCAGTATGACCTTTTAAGGGAGTAAAAAATAACAGCCTTATTTAATAAACAATAGAGGACATCTATACTACAGTAAACCATGGGCTTTCAACTAGAAGGTAATTAGCAAATGGATTAGTGCATCCCTGTTTTCCAAACAGGATTAAGCCACATCATAACAAACACTTAACACTGTTAAGAGTGATATCAATACTTGATCACAATGGCAACTCTTAGCCAACCTACCAGAACTGATGATGCTCAATCTGTTCCTCTCAATAGTGACTATATTTTCCTGGAAAACAACCCCGGAACACCCAAAGGAGAGAAAAGAAAAAGTTCAAGACTCAGGAAGCAACTAATGAAAGACAATCCAGAAAAAGTTTTCTTCCTCAACTTATACAGTGATATAGGAGACTCTGGGATTTTAGCGATTGATGAAATACAGGGTGCACAACTATATACAGATCGTATAGAAGAATGGGAACGCCAGACTGTTATCTACATGAGTAGCTTCTCATACCTTAATATAAAAAGAGAAATTCACATGGGATGGTCAGACATAATCATTAATGATGGATCGAGAAATAATGAAACCATGGTCAAAATAACTGTTCATTCAAATGGAACTATACTAATCAGTGGACCAAGATACATGGAATTTATAAACCAAGATCTATGTGTGATATATGAATTGTTAGGACCACCACCAAAGCCCCAAACAACTCCAAGGAAAAAGATCTCACAAGTTAAACCTACTAAGCTGAGAAAGAAGCAGACCCCAAATCCTACCCCAGAAGAGCAGAACCCCACCCCTACCCCAGGAGAACAGAACCCCACCCCTACCCCAGGAGAGCAGAACCCTACCCCAGGAGAGCAGAACCTCACCTCTAGCATAGGAGAGCAGAACCCCACCCCTACCCCAGGAGAGCAGAACCCCCTCTCTACCCCAGAAAACCAGAACCCCATCTCTACCCCAGGAGAGAAGAACCCCATCTCTACCCCAGGAAAACAGAATCCCATCTCTACCCCAGGAGAGAAGAACCCCATCTCTACCCCAGGAGAGAAGAACCCCATCTCTACCCCAGGAAAACAGAACCCCATCTCTACCCCAGGAGAGAAGAACCCCATCTCTACCCCAGGAGAGCAGAACCCCATCCCTACCCCAGAAGAGCATAACCCCACCCCTATCCCAGGAGAGCAGAACCCCATCTCTACCCTAGGAGAGCAGAACCCCATCTCTACCCCAGGAAAACAGAATCCCATCTCTACCCCAGGAGAGCAGAACCCCATCTCTACCCCAGGAGAGCAGAACTCAACCTCTACCCCAGGAGAGCAAAACCTCACCCCTACCCTAGAAGAGCAGAACCCCATCTCTACCCCAGGAAAGCAGAACCCCATCTCTACCCCGGGAGAGAACCCCATCTCTACCCCAGGAGAGCAGAAACCCATCCCTAACCCAGAAGAGCAGAACGCTACCCCTATCCCAGGAGAGCAGAACCCCATCCCTACCCCAGGAGAGCAGAACCCCATCTCTATCCCAGGAGAGCAGAACCCCACCTCTACCCCAGGAGAGCAAAATCCCATCACCTCACAGAGCCCCATATCAACCACGCCACAACAGACTCCCTCTCTAGCCATACCACAGCAGAGACCCCCTTTGCCAAAACTCAATTCCCTTGCCAAATCCTCTATGAGCTCTGATGTAATAGAGGAAGATAGTGACATTTCAACCAGTTTTATGGATCTTAGCTCAGACTCAACTAGCTGTGATACCTCCAGAGTCCTCCTTTTAGAGGAAACAATAACCTCTCTTAGGGCTTCCCTAGAAAAAAGCAACAACATGTGCAAACAGCAAAAACTACAAATAGAAAAGCTGAAAAAGGAAGTAATATCTACTACCAAGAAAAATGACAATCTTAATAGTAAGCTCAAGGCCAAGACAAAAACCACTGAAAGCGCTACACAATGGCAAACTGATGACCTGCAGAAAGATCATCCAAAACTGATACATAAGGAGAATAAAGATAAACAATCTGTACAACCAACACCAAGACGAACACCAAAGATGCTATACATTGCAGCCAGTAACGGCTATGGTATATCAGCAGCAATTAACAGCCAATCAAATCAAAAAATCGTTGCCACTGGGAATGTTCATGGAGGAGCAACCATAGAATTTATCAACTCAACTATTCCTCAAACTGTGAGCCAAATGAAACCTGACACTGTTGTCGTCCAATGCGGGACCAACAATATCATCGTCGAGAATACAACTACTACCATATCCAAAATGAAATCTCTAATCACTACCCTCAAATCAACTGGTAAAGCAAACAAGACCAAAACAGCTGTCATAGAAATACCATATAGGAGAGACAAACCACTCTCACACAAGCTAAACACAAAGATTGACGCCATAAATTCAGCAACCCAATCAGAATGCAAGAAGCAAGATGTACACTTTATTAGAATAAATACAACTGATTATAACAAGAGCATATTAGGAAGGCAAGGTCTACACTTTAATATAAAGGGACGACAGCATGTAGCAAGAAATGTACTCAAAACTCTGTACCCTAGCAACGTAACCCTAAATGTCAATGAAATCAACATACCAAAGCAATGCTCCGATAGAAGTAATACAAATCGAATGGACTCCTTGGACCCTATCTGGATCAACAGGAAAGTAATGCAATAAGCAGAGTGGGTCACTATACAACAGATATTGAATCTAAGGTAGCAATGACAGACAAATCAAAATACCCTTGCAACCTCACAGACTCAAAGAATGAATATTCAAATGACACGTCACAAACTGCAATTCCATATGAGAACATTGATATATTATGCTGGAACATTAATAGACTAAGTGATAAACTGACTGACCCAGATATTTTTGAAAATCTAATCAAAAACCATAAAATTGTATTCTTACAAGAAACCATGATCAATTCAAAAGATAACATATTTATACCAGGGTACCATTTCATCAATCATGCAAAATTATCAAAGGGTAATAAGAAACACTCAGGTGGAATTGGAATTTTGATAGAAGATAACCTTTATTGTAACAATGTTGAGGTATTAGACAAAAAATATGATTTTCTCTCATGGATAAAAGTTAATATTCCAAATAATGACCCCATCTTACTAGCCACTGTTTATATTCCCCATAAGAAATCTTCTTTTAATACACTTGACTTTTTTGAGATTCTAGAGACTGAAATAGCCATAGCACAATATAGTACCTCAAACATATATATATGTGGAGATTTTAATGCAAGAACTGGGATAAAGGCAGATTATGAAACAGAAGTATTTGGGTCTGACAGTGAACTGAGTTATTTGCTACCCATGCTCAATAACACTTCATTATTTACTGATAGGGCATCAAAGGATAAAAATAATCAAGAAATTCTCAGAACAAATGGGAAAGAATTACTAGAATTATGTAAGACCACTAATATGCAAATAGCCAATGGGAGAGTGGGTGAAGACAAAAATATTGGAAAACATACCTGCATCAGACCTAATGGTGCTAGTGTGGTAGATTATGTAATTGGATCATCAAAGGCTCTCAAGAACATACAAAACTTTAAAATTCAGGCAAAATTACCAGAATCAGACCATTGTCCTATCTCATTTTCTATACTGACTCCAAAACTGTCTACTTCATGCAACTCGAATATCAATTGTACAGCAGATTTATATACTAACATTACTAAGTTTAAATGGGATGAATCAAAATCGACAGTTTTTCTATCAAACCTGAAAAAACCATTATGTAATTCTATACTCCATGAAATATCACTTGACTTAAAAGACCAGGATTGTCCAATAGAACACATAGTGGATAAACTCAGTTTAACACTCTCACTTGCAGTAGAAGGTGTTTTTGTCAAAACAAAATTAACAAATAAAACCACCAAATTTCCAGCAAATAAATGGTTTGACGAAAAATGTAAGAGCCTGAAATCAAATATTCACATAGCAGAAAAATCAGGAATAGAAACAAGTGCTCTACATAAAGAATATAAAAGTCACAAGCAAAAGTGCAAGCGCCATTGTCACAACACAATGTACAATGATCTATTATATAGCCTAAATCATAACCCAACTCACTTTTGGAATTTATTTAACTCAACCCAAACAGCCAACAGAGAATGTGTCAAAATAAGAGCATCTCCATCTGCAATGTTTGAAAACTTCAGCAAATTAGCCAAACCTCCTACACAATATAATTTTAATGATAAGCACAATGAAAAGATTATTGATTTTCTTAACACTTTTGACAGTAACAAAAAATATGAAAAAATGTATGCAAACGATCCAACTAGTATTCTTAATACTCCAATACTTAATGAAGAAGTTGATGAAGCAATCAAAAATATCAAAATTAACAAGTCCCCTGGTTTGGATGGTATTCCTGGAGAATTTATCAAATCATCGAAATCTATCCTTAATAATATAATCACCCAAATATTTAACAATATATTCTTCACAAATGAGTATCCCGAACAATGGGCTTTTGGCTTAATTTTTCCAATCCCCAAAACTAAGAAAACAAGTGACCCTGATACACTTAGACGAATCAATGTACTACCAGTACTTGGAAAAATTTTTGAAGGTGTTCTTCATAATAGACTCGAATTTCATACGGTATCTAATCATAAACAGGACATACTCCAAGGTGCATATGAAAAATTTAGTAGAACATCTGATAATCTATTTATTTTAAATAACTTGATAGAAAAACATGTCTTTATCAGAGAGCCCTTATATTGTTGCTTTATTGATCTGAAAAAAGCTTTTGATTTAATTGATAGAAACATGCTCATATATAAACTTATTCAAAGAGGTATCACAGGCAATATGTTAAACATCATTAAATCAATGTATTCTAAATCAAAATCTTGCATTAGAACTGATGCTGGTATCACCGATACATTCACAAATGAGGTGGGTATAATTCAAGGCGGAACCCTCAGTACTTTCCTCTTCAAATTATTCATATCAGATGTAAAGGATGCTCTAAATACTGAATATGGTGCCTTCATCAATGATCTTTCAATAACACATCTTGCATGGGCTGATGATATTGTGCTCTGTGCACCAAATCCTAGTTATTTACAAAAGCTTTTGGATGCATTTGAAAATTACTGCAATTCTTGGCGTCTTGTTATAAATTGTAAAAAGACTAAAGTTCTTGTCTTTGGAAAGAGGAAAAATACACCTATAATTAACTTTTCTATCCTAAACCAAATAATTGAAGAAGTGTCAGAGTAAAAATATTTAGGCTGCATTCTATCTAACAAAAATCACAAATCAAACTCAAATCATTTAGCTCAAAAAGCAACAAAAGCCATTTTTAAACTAAGAGGTTATTACAAAGTACTAGGTAATCTACCAGTAGATGTAGCACTAAATCTTTTTGATAAATTGATTCTACCAATACTTGAATATGGTAATGAAGTACTTACACAATCTAAAAGTTTTGAGATCATAGAAAAATTACAACTGAGATTTTTAAAGCAACTTTTACATGTTAAAACACAAACTTCAAATCTAGCAATACTTGGTGAATTTGGAAGGTATCCCCTCATTATAAGAATGAAAGTTCAAAAAATAAAATATTGGTGTCGATTACTAACTCTTCAATCTCAACACAAACTTAAAATAGCGTATCAACAGAACCTTCAAATCTATCATTGCGGTGGGAAATCATGGGTGTCACAAATCGAAAATATTTTGAAAGAATGTGATTTACAAGATATGTGGGATAATCATTTAAAATCTGATATTAACATTCAATCATATTTAACACTTCATCTTAAAGTATCAAATAAATTAAGATCTCTTTACAAATACCAATGGCTTGCTCTAATCAACGATCACTCAAAAAACCCATGCCTAAGAACATATTCTTTATTCAAAGTTGAATTCAAAAAAGAGCCTTACCTTATGATAAAAAACAGCAAACTTAGAAACATATTATGCAAAATAAGGCTAAGTAACCACAAATTAGAAATTGAAATTGGTAGACACAAAAAGAAAAATGGACAAAAGATACAACTAAAAGATAGACTCTGTTTAAATTGTAACCTAAATCAAATAGAAGATGAACTACATTTAATTTTTTACTGCCCTTCTTATACAAACCAGAGAGCGATATTCTTCAAAATACTAGCTGAAAATATTCCTATTAGCAACTTAATGCCTGAATTTTTAATAAAGGAGATCATGAACAGCAAAATTAACATATTAAAATATTTTGCCAAATTCCTCATAGATTGTAACAATGTAAGAGCATTCATATCCAGTCTTTAACATTGTATAAGTTTGTAAATATTTGTAAATTTAGTTTGTATCATAGAATGTACATTTTGTAGCAATTATGTTTGTCAAGCTTATTTGAAAAGGTGTTTTCAGTCTGAATGTATATATCAACACTACATTAGAATCATGATGTAATGATTTTTGTATTTTCCATTTTGCTTATGACTGTATATTTGTATATAAAACACATGTAAATAACTGTATAGTGACCCATGTGTCGGAGAGACTGACATACATAAGAGTCAATAAAAGAATATATATAAGAATGCATTTAACGACCGGTCGAGAATGCATTTAACAACTGGCAATAAAGTGAAATATTGGACCTTGGGCCTTCGGCCCTCGGTCCAATATTTCACTATATTGCCCTTCGAAATGACGTTATTGTACTATTAATTTTGAGGTAGTCCTCCAGCATCTGCAATAAGTGATATGTTACCATAAACATCAATATTGGATTGAGTCTTTCATTGAGTTTTGAAAAGGATTTCTATTAGTGGCCCAGTAATCTTATTGTATTCAGTAATCTTTTTGTATTAATAGGAGTGTGGAAGAATTTTGCATCTGCCTTTACAAGGGGTAGTGCTGGATCAGACTCGGAGTTAACTGCCACTTGGGAGAGGGAAATCATTGAAAAAAATGACATGGTAAGTTGCCATAAAAAATGAGAATTTGAGAAATTAAAAACAATTTATTACATGATCATGGGAAGAATTAATCAAATAACCATCTTCGTAGACTGTCCATGTAATTTTGGACATTTCAAATCTGCTTTGTTCAAAGAATGACCTTCCGTGACACCAAACAGATTTCAGATATGTGTGAGAAAGAACTACATAAGTTAAAGGTTGCTAATTTTCAAGATATTTAACAATTGATGTGGAAAATTAACATTTGGGTTTGTTGCCTTGTTATCAGTTTACTTTTATAGTCCAAGTTTTCTAACTTAACTTCTTTAATACTTTTTATTTTTGGGTTCTCACTTTTACCATTGTGCTTAAATTATATATTTAAGTAACTTTCACTGTTACCTCTATTCACATTTTTATAACAGGTTCTTGCAGCTCAGTACTGCGATGACAAAATGGCACCTCTTGCAGTGAGAGCCCGCAATGTTCTAACACATGAAACACCAGACACAGAAACATCAAGAAATGGAACAATCTTTAAGCACTACTCTGCTTCAGATGGTTTTTCTTGCAGAATCGAGGAAAATCCTAATTTTGAGTGTGGGGATTATGAGGTTCAATGGCTTTGTCCCAAACTGTAAAATATTGTCAGAAAGTGGCTTTTTTATTTGGATACATTTTCTGTAATGATTTTAATTATCAGCACATTTTACAAATGATGAGGGTGCAAGAAAAAATGGTAGATCAATCAACAAAATATTATAGTGGCAAGGACTTGAAGAATGTAAAACCCAAAATGTTGAAATAAAACAAGATAACATCGAACAGTCATGGCTGCAAGACGGACTGATGGATGGAGGCATTTCCTATTTCCCTTCTAACTTTATTCAAAGGGATAACAATCAAACTTTGGCATTGAATTTATGGTACATGATGGCATCAGAGTTCTGACCTCACAACCCCAGATTCTTGGGTTTGTGCCAAAATGGATCCCAGGGAATTATGTTTGTTTTGTTCAGTGTGTATAAAAGTAATGTGTTATCACTTATTTGGCTATCAAAAAATCAGAATCTATCAATAAATGTAAGAAGTAAAAATATTGATTTGTCGTTCCCAATTTTACTTTGTTATGATATATTTCAACTAGATAACAGCAATGCCAAAGAGTAGCAAATCCCATCAAACAGCAATGGCTGACATTTTTGCAAAATACTTCTACTAACTTTTCAGTTCAAGCAGAAATCATAAAACAACACACATAAAAATGGCCACCATTTTTCAAATTGGCAGCCTAAAAGCTAAAGTGTCATTTTGACAGTGTGCCATGCTTATGAGTATTCATATATCAAATATGAACAAAATTCTATTACTTTTGCCATAAAAAATGGAGACCATAACAATATAGACAATAACAATTTGACATTTTGAATAATGCAAATCAAGATAATTTCAACAAATTATTATTATTTCAACAAATACATGTTAGCCAACATACACCAATTTGTACATGATAAAAGAGTTAAACACATTACATGTTAAATTCCACCTTTAACTGACATTGCTTTATTCAATGATTTCCTTTAAGTCTATTTTTGCCAAAAGAACATGTGAGTCACTTTCCACTCTAGATTTCCAAAGTCCAAATAAGTTGGTCAAATTAAAACATCTGACATTCTATTTAGGATTTGCCAACAATTGGTAAATCATTTCTAAAGTGCTTAACTTCACCTAGCATGAGGTAATGAGAAATTTGCAATTCTGAAAAATAACGCCACTATTTTATTATGTTTGCATTCATTTATAGTACTATTTACATCTTATAACAAAAAAAAAAATTTTAATGAAAATAATTATTGTCTGATACATAAGTTCTACTTTAACAGACATCCTGTCGTGCTACCTTATTCAATAATTTAATACTAACCAAGTCATAATTGCTGAATTATCTCATAAATGGTGATTTCTAAACCATTAACCATTCATTGTTCATCGATTTCCTTCTTGGTATTGAATAATTTGATTCATAAATATTCAAAGCTTCAATCTGCATTTACCTTATACAAAAATGTCGCAGTTTGACAAAAAAACATAATTAGTAAGATGGCTTTTCATGTTATCACAATATTAAGCCTACTTTTCATGTGTTTAGTTGGTACTAATTCTACATTTACTTGTTCATATAATGCACCATGGAAAATATTTACGGATACAAAACTTATAAATCAAACAGCACTAAATGTGATCAGTGGACAGACAGCTCTAGGTTGTGCAACATTTTGTTTTCTCGATGATAGATGCACATCATTCAATCTGGAAACAAGTACTGACCAATGTGAGCTACTTAAGGGTGAACGATTCCATTCTTTGGGGAATGACAAGCTAGCGATGACTGATTGGCAATTGTATGTTATAAATTGCCAGTTTTTTGTTACATCAGTGAGTGTTATATTTCTACTACATTTTGGTCGCAGAACATATATGATGAAAAAAATTGGACAAATAATCACATTTTTTTCATGTCATGAATTAGGGGTAAGGGCATTTATCATTTATAAAATCTACTTGTTTCTGTAGAGATAAGAAATAGAAAACTTAAAGTATATTTCTGAGTCATTTTATGCTTGTTTTTCTAGGACATATCCGCCACACCTGGATGCAGTAACATATGTGAGAAAAAGGGTAAATATAATATTTATAATATTTTGTATCAATCTTATTTTCAAGCTCTTGATTGAGATTCTCAGCATTTAAAATAAGGTAGTATTTTGCAAATATATCCACAATCACGTTCATACAAGATTTTACATAGTCCTCATATAGGTCTCTTTCTAATTGACCAATGTTCAGAATGTGATAATACACCGATCAATAATATTTAACAAAAAATATAGACTGAAATCATGAAGTTCTGATTATTGTTATAGAATACATTGTTTCTATAGCAACAGCATGTATTTTGTTGAATCTTATAATGGATTTTACTCTTAAAGTATCATGTTCTTAAGAACACAAAATACCCAAAGAAAAAAGCCATTTTCCACCTTTGATATTAAATATACTTGTTTTCTGTAAATATGAAAACTTAATAAAAAATTTTGACATTTAAATATCCCATAAATCTATATAAATCTGCAATAAGTGATATATGTTACCATAAACCTAGAGAATTGGATTGACTTCACTGTGATTTAAAAAGGATTTCTATGTGGCCAAATATTATTTTTGTATTCATAGGAGTGTGGAAGAATTTTGCATCTGCATATACCAGGGGTAGTGCTGGATCAGACTGGGAGACAACTGATATGTGGGAAAAGTTAATCATTGAAAAAAATGACTAAGTAAGTTCTCATTACATTAAAATATGTCAAAGAAAATGGGCTTTGATATCGATGTGAAAGCAACCAGATACAATTTGAACAGGCCATGCATTGTTATGCAAAGAAACTGGTTGGGTAACACACCAAGAACGACATCCACAAAACCGACTAACATGTATAATGCACAAATTCATGAACAATAAAATAATAATAATATAAGCACTGTTTTAACTACTGTATAAATGCCAGTATGTAGAACTGAAGCCTATAGAAAATAATTTCTAGCAGCCACCATAAAAGCGTGGAACGATAATTGACACAACAATAAAAAGCACAAAAGCTGAGATAAACCTCAGAAAATTAATAACAATGAATAATAAATAAATAATGAAAATAAAGTATCAAACTAAAAAACAGGAACTCCACGGAGTAGCAAATTCCAACAAACATAATATTCATGAATCTGTATATGTCACAATGTAATATTTACCATCTACTCTTCCTATTACATGACTTGCAGATAATAAAAATAGATTGCAAGGAATATCCCTTATATTTTTATTTGAAGGTTCTCCCTCATAGCCACTGTGCTCAGATCATTCACATGTATATTTAAGAAATAGGTTTCGTTCATTCACATGTTCTTCAAACCCAATTCCAGATTCTTGCAGCCGCGTACTGCGATGACCAACTGGCACCTCTTGCAGTGAGAGCCCGCAATGTTCTAACACATGAAACACCAGGCACAGAAACAACAAGAAATGGAACAATCTTTAAGCACTACTCTGCTTCTAAGGGATTTGTTTGTAAAATTCAAGAAAATCCTAATTTTGAGTGTGGGGATTATGAGGTTCAATGGCTTTGTCCTAAACTGTGAAATATTGTCAGAAAGTGGTAGTGTTTTTCCTGCAGTGAATTGAAATATTAGCACATTTTTTAACTGATGATAATATGGAACAAATAAAGGACCGGATAAATACAAAGTCCAAAATGTTTTAATAAAACAATCAAACATTAACATGAAACTGATGGTAGATGTATGGCAATAGACTTATTATAATAAAATATTATGACATCCTAATGTATAGTGCATAATGATGTTTCGAAACTGCAATGTTGGCAGTGACAAAGTAACACCCAAAGTAATGATGACACGGTCCTATCCTATCCACGTCAACAACAAAGGGCCAAGATGAAGGTTACATAGAGAAGACCATATCCATAAAACAAAGGCCAAACTTTGTAAATATAAAAAATTGAATACCTTTGGTGTTGTTTGCTTGATTGACCACTTAAGGAATTCTTTGAGGCCCTGTGCTGAGAAATCTCTGAGAGCAGTGTCTGTAGGGTGGTGCAGACCATCTACTATGGCATCCAATAATGCAACGGTCTCGGGGCTCTCAAATACTTCGTTCTTAGTAAACCAGTGGATCAACTGCATGGTGAGAGGGTCAAACAACTGTTTAGCTACCTATAGAATACAACATAAATTGAACATAGTAAACCCTGAATTACGATATACTTTAAAACATGGATTTTTCTTCAATTTGTTTTAATTAAGTACAGAAAATATTTGAATTATGGTAATTTTTCCCCCTCTGTAAATCTGCATATCCACAACATGTATGCATTAATTCCAACACAAAACGCAATTTTTACTATATTGTTGAGTAGAATTATACTGTAAATCTTAACAAAAGTATGAAAGTCGTGTATGTGGCACAATCCTTATTAGGATTTAAAATGGGATTATTAACTGATATCAAAAATGATGAGGTGCTACTTAAAAATATTGAAAAGGTCTTTATACATTTGGAGGTATTACACTAGTTCTTGCCCAACATGGCTGAATAATATTTATATTTATATTATATACGTTAAGTGACCTGGCACGTTTATCAGTAATTGTTAATACTAACCTGTTCAACATCTGAGGCAAGTTTTAAGATGACAGGGAAGACCTTCCTGTAGAGAGCTACCATAGGATGTTTCTCAAGAGTGGAATCTGGCTGTATAGAACCTACAAATATTTAAAACACTTTTTAGAGGTTACGCTTACTCATCAGCAGAAAACTGCCTAGAACAATCATTTTACAGTTTGGTGTTTAACCAATCAGTAAGTACCATAGCGATATGGTAATATCTCGATTTATTTTAAGGACAAAAGGATATTATAGGTTCAGTTAATATCTAAGTTAGGTAAAGAGATACGTTATCAATGTGAAGACTTCTTGAACATTTAGATTTTACTGTATACCATAATCAAGATTAGAATTTAAACAAACCTTTTCCCAGCATGAAAAGGACGACAGAATGCAAAAGCTCACAAGCAGCCACTTTAGTTTGCCTGTCACTTGAACCCAGAGAGAGCTCTGTGATTCTTGGTAGGAAAGTATCTAGAAACACAAATATGCTGTTGACTGATCTCCACAGGATCTTTTCTCAAGTGGGTGCATAATTCTTATTTTCTCAATTCAGACCAAAATTGGTCAAATCATGCCCATTTTTCTTGATTTTTCTCATCTTCAAGTGGGTGCAAATGGATTTTCAGGTGGGTGCAAGATGATTTTCAAACCTCAGGTGGGTGCTGCACCCACTTGTTTTAATGATGGGGAGGTCACTGATTGTTGATTGATCAAGAGGAAAACTGAGCAAAGTGTTAACATCTATAGTAAACCAAGATTTTCCTATTGACCAAGGCGGCAAGTACATTTCATCACAAGGGTATTTCAATTAAATGGAAGTACAAATAATATCACTTATTTTCAATGGTAATGTGCTGTTTTATTACCTGGTCATAAACATTAAACATTTATTCACTTATGCTATTCATTGGTTAATGTAATTAAATAACTACAAAATGCTGAATAAAATTCAGTTTTTCTCTAATTGTAACAAAAAACAGCAATTTTATCATTATATAGTATAATATTCTTAAATGGTTTTTAAAGTAATGGATAAATATACAAAATGTGTATATATTACAAGGGCCACTAAACAGGATAAGAAAACACCACAGTCCATTTTTGCTGTGAGCCTACATTTATCTCAGATCTGAATCTTTGAAAAACATCATATGAAAATTTCATATAAACTGGAACTAATGAATTTCCACTTACCAAAGTAAACAGCTGGTTTAATATCCATGAAAGGCACATCAAATCTCAGATGTTTTTCTGTGTCCCAGGCTAGCGCATGTTTGGCTATATCCTCTTTAGTGATTTTAACCAGGTGGATATTGTTGTTGCCTCCAAGTTGCCCTAGCAACCTTACACAGGTCTGCTGGACAACACTTAACTGGCTTTCAGTGGACTGAAAATACAAGCGAAATGCCCTGAATCCCTCAAGGGACTAGTATTCTAGTTTTGATGCGGACAAGACCTTCGTGACAAGATCTTCCTTTTATTTACTAGAGCTACTTCAACATGTGTACTATATTAGCGATATGAACCTACTAAGTAAGGCTGATCCCATAGTAATTGATTTATAATTGGCTAAACAATTTGCTTCTCAGTCAATTTCAATCAGTTCATGTCATAGATGAATTGTTTGGTTAAGGACCAAAATATGACAAATGTCAGAAATTCAGTCTCAGCTATATTTCAATATATATAATGTTACATGCAAACTATTACATAACACCCTAATGGCATAATAATGTGTGAAGCACTATAGAAGTTTTGATCCTCCACAAAAGATGTTGCTTAGAAGTGGAATGACACTTTGATATTTGATTCCCCTCAAGTTGGGTATGTTTCAGGGGATGGTCATAAATAAAAGTTTTTCACATTTCAATCAACTTCATTTCAAAAACATCAGAGACACAGACACATGTATATAAACAAAGCATTAAATAAATCCCTATGTGAACAAAGCAAATTTCTAGAACTATGGTTTGGGTATGAAATAAAATATAGAGAGTGCTATAAAACCAGATAATAAACTACTATTATCATGTTTCCACATCTGAAAGAACCAATCATTTCCAGTACTCCATCTATTTACTTCCTTGTTGAAACAGACTTCCAAATAAAATTTTATTTTTAAATAAAGTATGAAAGCATACCAATAAATGAGAATATATTCCAAAGAGACTTTTGATAATTATAACTATAAAACTAAACAATTAATTTTAAAGTGAAAGAGACAATATATTTGTGGAATTGAGTAGGATGTCATTGAAGTGCAGTATTTATAATTTTGTTTTAACGTGCACGTGTGTATCCTATGATTACCAATCAAAATGTATCACTCTATGAGAATATACGTACCTCCTCATGTCTAAAACATTTAAAATATTAATAATTATGTGTAAAAATGAATAACTGGATCCTCAGAATAAGAAAAGCTGTCAGCTGAGGGAAAGGATCCTGTCCATGCATCAAAAGAACTTACATAAATAAAACAAAATTCTCTAAATGTATTGAAGAAACTGTCCACAACTTCAAAGTTTGGAACATTTCCTGATGCAAATAAACAGGCAGTAGTATTGTTCACTTTGACAAAATCTACATCCATAACATGACATGACTTGGCATCCATATTAGAAATTCACTTGTTAGGTATCAACCTTTCCCAGATTGTGGCATTAAAAAAGCACTAAATTTAGGGCATGTGTGAATTGAACTGAGGACCATGAGATCCAGAGCCCAATGCTCTACCAAATGAGGGTAGCTGTGCTATAGCTATAGTAGCAACTTAATTGCTAGCCAGGCTGTTACAATAGTCCTGCGGAATCGATGGAGCTGGTTGCTTTCTAGGATGTATGCTATGTCTTTGTATTTTCTTCATCTATATGTTATTGGCTTTCAAAATCAGAACTGTGCCGGTTTGGCACTGGTGGGCAAAATTTTTTACAGCCTTGTATAGGTGGCGCCCCCTATGAAATACCCTTTTATTAAGGTATTTTTTATTAAATGATCTTGAGCAGAGTCTTTAACTCAAGCCACCTAGTATAACATGTTATATATCCTTAATAGCATGTCTATTTTTTTTCCTTACCTAAAATCTCATATTTACAGAGAACTGGTCATTTATCCCCCATGATATCACATATATTCCAAGGGGTCACTATGTTTTGAAGGCATAAAATTTTAACAAAGCGTAATTGTGATCTCAAATTATTCATAGATATGACTTGATACATGTTTGGGATGGTGTTAAAATAAAAAGCCTCTGTCTTAAATATCTTAAGAGAAAAAAATTATTTGTTACAGTAAATCCTAATATTAAACGATATGCAATTTGTAAAAAGGTTATATTCAAAAGTCTATTTTGACTAAATTATCCTTAACACCATCATGAATTTAAATACATTTTATTATATGAAGTAACTATTTTAATTCTAACACATGAAAACAGAAATCAAGGATTGAGCACTAATTGTTTAGTATATAACCTATGGTCATGCCACCATATTTGAAGGGGGGAGGGGGTTATGTTACCGGACATTGTGCCATTGAGTAGATGTTAACATGGAATACTTATTAACTTCATACAGGCAAGGCTAGATAGTTACTGGATGATGAAAGGGTTTGAAATACTGACCATAAAAATTTGTGTCTATCATTAATAAATTAATTTACCATCCTTTGTCAAAGATATTGTAGCTCATTGAGTGTCAGCTTTTATTCCGTTAACAAGGGTATCATTTTTGGTCTCTTTATCCATACTTCTTGGACAGCTTGCAGAACAATTCCATCATCGAGATCATCATCATTTGTTTCATTGGTGACTGTGACTATTAGTCTGGTATGTTTACGCAACTCTCTTCACCTTTGCAAAGGCAAAATAAACTGCAGGACAAAGTAGTCTTACAGCACAGACAACAATCTATACCACAAATGATATCATTGCTGGCACACTTCTCACGTGTACAAAGTATCATCTTTAGCACTGAGTCTGGAGCACACAAAACATTTGGTGGAAGTTTAACTGACACTAACATGTTGTTGACAATATCCATTTGCCAGCCATTCTCCCAGTGGTTGCAACTTAGGAGGTAAGGGTTGGGCTGCATGTTTACACAGGGATGTTTGTAGATGAGCATGTTTCCTCAAAGGCTTTGTTTGAAGGTGGCAATGATTGTACTTCTGGCAGCATTTCTCTTGGTCCGCACAGCATATCTAACATCAGATGACTGGATTGATACCATAACATGCTGCTGTGAATTTAGTAGCCTGTGTCTTTCCATCAGATATTGGTATGTAGTCTTCTCCAATCCAGCTTAAAGAAGCATTTCAAGTCTGGTGTTAACTGCTTTAGTCTTGCCTATGCGGTAAAGACTAGATGTTGTGTCACAGTCTGTCAGGCTGTGGGCAGCAAGAAGTTGTGAGGTGACATTTTTGTTGGAAGTTGACACAGACTCCATAGTAACATAAGCAATTAGATGGTGTTTTTCATAGTAGTGAAGCAATAGGATTTAGACACTAGTGTCGTCACATACTACATTTACTTCCAGTTTTGCTGTTCATAACATACTTGTTTGTTGATGTTTTCAGGTTACCATGGGTGCCATTGACCTAGCTCAAATGACTTGATAGTTTTCATATCAACATTGGCTTTGGAAGGGGGAGGGCGCTTGGGGTGACCGCCCCCTCCCTTTTCCAGATTTTTTTTAGGCTAGAATTTGAAAACTCTTGAGAGCTAATTAAAGTCAAATGATACTATACCATTATTTAGTGTATATCAAGCATAGAAGATCTCATTTATCATTAATATATTTACATATGTTATTCTGTACCATTGTTTCTAAAGAACCCATTCAGTATGTAAATACTTTGGAGAATAAGAGCAAAATGTATATTTTATTTAGTAAACTTCAAAGTAGCTCGTTTTCTTGAAACACAATTTTCTCTTGTTTTTATTATTGGGAATGTTGTGCTGAGATGTTCATAATGCATCAGAGAGGATCTAAATCTGAACATTTTCTGAGGGCATGCCCCCCCCCCAATCCACGCTTCACGCACAATCCATCCATGTCCAAAAGTCAACCCCCTCCCTTGCGAAATCCTTCTGACGCCCCTGTATCAAGTTGCCGGTTTATTACCAGGCTCAAACTCTAGAGTACGAGGCTCGATCAGAAAGCAAGTAACCAACTGCTCTTTTTTCTTCATACTTTATTCAATTTCATTGAAATTTTCACAGATAATGGAGAAAATATTAACCTATTAAACAAGACCAAGGATAGTGGGTTAGCATCAATTCCATTGTTATTGCTGTTGCTATGGTGACAATTGTTTTGGGTAGGTGGGGCACCCTGTTTTAAGTCGTGTTTGAAGATAATTTATTGAGTTTTTCTACATGTTTTTCTACATGCTCCAAAGATATCAAATTTACATGTTAGACTACATTTTAACTCATAGTCTTTCAAATTAATCACCACCAAAGTCAATGCAGATGAGGCAATGTTTCACTGTTTTACTCTGTCCTTAAACATGTCATCATTCAATGACTGCAAACTGCCATTGAACGCTTAATGACAGCTACTGTTATTGATGTCCCGTTTAAAACCCCTATTCTAACTTTCTAAAATGAATTCCAGCAATATTACCCAACAGGAATCTACTTATTGAGATTATTTAGTTCTTCTGAGAAATTGAGGATTTCAGCAAGGGTGCATTGACTTAACATGGGGACATACCTGATGGTATCCTCACTCTAAGTCAATGGTCAATGGAATTTTCCCCATGTTCAGTCAATGCACCCTTGCTAAAATCCACATTTTCTCAGAAGAACAGTTGATTGAGTCTAAATAAGTAGATTCATGTGGGATAGTATTGCTATAATCCATTTTCAAAGGTAAGAATAGGGGTTCTTAAACAGGACATTGGGCTTGCTTTGCTTTGTTGGTACTAATAAATGGTCTCTATCATCATATTTAACCAGATTCCATTCTAAATGGGATGATGGGTGATATGCTGTCCTTGGAGAAACAACATTCATCAACAACATTCTGTGGAAATCTCTCCATGTCTCGTAGACAGAACAGTCCTTACTAGTTATATTGTCATGCAGCAAAGAAATATGGAAGCATAGATGGGTCAACAGCAGCCAAATGGAGCAGCCAGTTGCCTTCCCTTTCAGCTCTAACAAGTTGCACCATGATAAATACTAGCATTTGTAGTTTTTCTTTCTGACAATTTAGAGTTAAGAACATCTATGAGTTCCTGGTAGCTGTTTACCTGATGAATTACTTGCCTCAAAAGTTCTTCAACAAGGAGTCTCAATGCTTGAACATTGTTAGGGTAATTCTTGCCTGTTAATCTTGGGTTTCCCCAGCAAATTGGTTATCTCTACTTTTCAACTGTCTGACATTAGGATGCCGACACAACCAACAAAACTCATGAGCATGTACATGACCCAGAGCCTGTTGATGAATGTACAGGGTGGTCAAAAAATGGAAACCCTACATTTTCCATATATCTTTGTCATTCTCGAAAATTACTCCCTGATATTTCACACATTTGTACACCATTCAATTTCCTACCACTCTACCATATTTCATGACCATCAGACTGATAGTCACAATTTACAGTACTTTGAATAACATGCCTCAGGTTTGGCCATCATCACGCCGTAGACAAAACAGCACAGTTATCAATGACCCGAATGCATTCCTCAGCAGGTATGGGGACATTTTAGACTACGAGTACAGGTTTCCCAACAGCGCAAAAGTGGCCACTGGGGTATGTTCTTTAATGTGCTGTAAAAGTGTGACTTAATCAATCATGAAATTCAGTAGGCTGGTAGCAAATTGAATGATGTACAAATGTGTAAAATATCAGGGGGTTATTTTTTAAAATGACAAAGATATGAGGAAAATGGTGTAAGGGTTTCCATTTTTTTGACCACCCTGTATAATAAAGGTTGTTGGGGTCCAGAAAATGACATCAGTGGCTACTTTGTACAACTGCTGGTGCGTTCTAAAAATTGTGTAATCTTGCTTATATGTTTGGGTCAACTCCTTTGCCTGATGCATGATGGTTAACATTGTGCTTTGGTCCACTGGCTTAACATCAAGAAGTGGGCTGTAGGCAAGTTTTATTGCAGGTTTAATGATGGCGCCACTAGTCCTAGCTAACCTAGTATTGTAGCCCCTGAATGATGGTGTCCCTGGTACAGATGTAACACTTCCAATAAATGGTCTAAGATTTAACCCTTATACAACAAGGATGACCTACTTACACTGTCAACAATGAGTTTCTTTCACATTTTAAACGTGTCATCTACCCCCCTCCCCCTATAAAAGGGTATACATTATAATTTTCTGAATTAATTAATTTAAAGAACCTATGTATCTTACATAAATAGCTTAGTTTGATAGATAGACTCACAGAATCTGCTGATATTATATTTTTCAATGTTTCACAGTAATAACAGTGATATTTTTCATACATATTAATATTGCTGAATACAAGGAAGTCTATATTAATATTTTTTTTCTCTTCAACTAAATAAAATACAAGTCTCATATTTTACACTATCTCTGATATGGGTTAACTTAAAGTCATGAATAATTTCAGATCACAACTTTGTTTAGTTTGCAAAATATGCTTATTCAACATAGTGACCCCTTAAAAATAGGTGGCGCTAGGGTAACAAATCAAGCATATCTCATTAAATTTGTGATTCTATGTAATGAAACAAAGTTGACATGTTGTTTAGACTAAATACAGTTTATCTGAATTGGTTAAAGTTTTCAACTGTACCAACAGCCCTTTAAAAAAATTTTTTGTGAAATGGGCATTTTACAAGGGGCGCCACCTATACAATGCTGTAAAAAATGTTGCCCACCAGTGCCAGTCTGGCACAGTTCTGATTTTGAAAGTAATTAACTTATAGATAAAGAAAATACAAAGATATAGCATACATCCTAGAAGGCAACCAAAAGTTTCAATATGCCATTATTCCGCTGGACTACAACTGCAATTCCATGTCACAATAGTATTGCAGAGCAACCTAAGCAAAACATGCATTTCAACAGGAACAATACAATGGCAAGGACACTACAGCATATATATAATATGGATCCTACGCAATTCTGCAGTTGGAGAAGGTTTCTATGACAGAACCGATCAACATGTGGAAACTCACTATGTTTGCGCTTGGTTAGTACAAATAAACTTTTACAAAATATAATCTAAATTACACTAGCATTTATATTACATACTATAAATAAATACATTTGATGCATTGATACATTGGAAGGATTCATTGAATTTACAAATAAAAAATTTAAATGTTTTCAATTCAAGAATTTAAATGTTTTCACTTAAATATTTGAATTAAAGTCTCAAATATGGAATTGTACACTTTATACATAACCTAACATGAAAAAGTACACATCTAAAATAAGCTATAAAAATATTTTTATTCGATAATATTCCAGGAATGTTGTGTGCAGTGGCACTTCTTTGTCCATGTGTGGCTGAAAATGCAGACACAGGTGAGGAAATACATAAATCATTCATTAAAAACAGTATAGAAAAATGTGACAGCATAAAAAACCAACATGTCCCAATATTTTTTCTTTCTATTTCTTCATTAATTGAAATCACTTTCGAAACAGAACACAGCAGAAAACATTTGAGAGTACACTAGTCATAAGGAAATTAAACCCAAATCATATCAAATCACAAACATAAAAAAGAAACAGCGTCGAATTCCCCTCACTGCAATGATATAATCGAACTTTGTTTAAGGAATATATAACACTCTCAGATATTTTTTACACATCAATCTAAAATATGACCTTGGTCAATACCCCAATCAATAAATGCCATGGTCAAGCATATTTTAGTTGGAATACTATCAGAGATAAGACTAAATGGCAATATTTCAAACAAAGTAATATGTGTGAACATATATTTTAACTTTAGACATGGTGGAGCCGGCCAAGGAGCTCTCTGTGAGGTCTGAACCAAAGCCCATAGCTTTCCCAGGAGCAGATGCCATAATGGACGACCTCAACACATTCACCACAAGCTTCAAAGAGTTCCAAACTAGTCTGTTTTCGTCTACATTAGACAAAATCATTGATTTTTTGAAAATGTTAATTGATCTTCTTGAAGCTCTGAAGGTATTGTTCATCACATTTCAAAAAATTAAATTTATCAAATATTTCAGCATTAGCAAAATTTCAGTTTTGAAGAGATGATGGAATTTGGCAATTTATTTTCTAATATACTCAATATTTGACCATAATTCATAAATGGCTACCAAAGTAGATATGTATACCTGTAATTCAAACATGGCCATGCTCTAATTCAATTTCTCAACCAATCAGAATGCAGCATAGCCAATAATGAACGTTCTATATCTCTCCATGCATGCACGACCATGCTCTATTCAATCACCTGGGTTATAAGTTATTGAATGATTTGAAGTCGAGTGCTAATACAGAATATCGAGACAGAATATATCCTCTATTGCACTTCAAATCATTCAATAACGTTTTTATTGTGTTATCCTCTGTATTGATACTCAGATTGTCTCCTCCGTACCTATATTTTCTGTATTGCGACGGAGATGATCAACAGGGACAATCTCAGTAGCAATACAGATTGGTACAGCACAAGAACTGACCAATCAGAGGGCTTCCTTTTACACATCATATGATAAATCTATATATTGTGATGTCATACCTACGAATGGCGAAAATAACAGCAAGTTTCGTTATTTTATGGACCCGTACCCCAATTCCCAATTCTCCAAACAAAGTTTTCGTTTTTATGTTTGAATCAGAATATATAATGATAGGCCATTCAACATGTCAATTCTACACTTGTTGGACAGATTTGTCAGTACAAATGCACTCACCTTCAGTTCATGCTTTGTACGACATTCTGTCCAACTTGTGCTGAATTTCACCATATTGAATGGCCTATCATTTAATTCCTTAAATATACATGTATAGGTATATAATTAAAGCTGTCTGATGGAACACCTTCCTTAAGTAATACCTTGCATACTATGTGTTTAGCTGGACATGAAATAAATATTGAACCATGATAATGCATTCTTCCATTAGAAATGATAATTACACACACATGTAAAGCAAGATCTCTGTAATTAGAGAATAGCTGAAATAGATGTAATTTTTCAGGAAAAACTTAAGAAGGCCATAGACTTCCTTAGCCATCTGCCATTCACTGACAAGCTTGTTAATGCCTTGAAAAATATTTGTGATTGGATAGATAGACTCTTGAAACTGCTCAGAGCATTGCTTAAGGTGTTTGAAGCACTGGACAATTTCTTCAACAAACTCAAAGAATTATTAGGACAAGCAGACGAAAGTTCCAAATCATTAGGTATAGAGTGTAACTTCATAAATGAATCAGATTTTTACATGGATCATAGTACTATGTTCTTTACTAATAAACATATTTTTATATATTTATTAAATCAGACATATTAATTAGTATAACCTAATAAAAAAAAATACACCACTTGTTCATTATACACAAGTAAAAATGATTTGAATGATGATTTGTTTTCACCTGAACTGAAAAAAGTTAGAATAAGCAATATCATTTTAATATTTGAGAATATTGTTCAATTTTATAAAGCATCAGATTTTGTAGGACTTATTATAATTTTCCTTATTGAAGGAGATAGACATGGAGATGTAGATGATGTGCCATCTTTGGATGAACTCTTCAAAATGCTGAGCGAATTCCTGGAAGAACTTAGACGTGTGCTATTCTGTAAATGCCCTTGGCCAGAAAAGCTGGAACATTTCAAAGAATTGATAGAAAGGCTGAGGAGACTAATTGTAAGTAAAGAGTGCTCTCAAATGATGCGCAAATATGGCATCCTAGATTTGGATACAGGATCAAAGAAGAGTCCTTTGTTGGGATAAAAAAATAAAACTCCTTTTACATTCACTTGGCTCTTTTATAAGGATTTCTAAATTTAGCTAATATGGATGGAAAGAAATGTATATCAGAAAGTTTTTGTAATACAATATCTCATGAAGCTTATTTTTTACTTTCAGGAGTTCAAAGAGAGAATAATGAAGAGATTGAGACCTGGCAGCTTCCTGTACCAACTGCTGGAAAGACTGGACAAGTACTTGGAGATGATTCTCAAATATATGCAGAATGCCATTTCACAGGAAAGGTACATCAGGAGATCAAGTAGTAGGGCTTCGAAATATGGTAATTGATTTATTGATATATTTATTGATTTATTTATCTCATCACACACTTTCCAATACTCTCCATATTATAAAAATGCCCATGTACTGGTATAAACCCTTTATTATACAAATACAGCCATAAATTATATTTAAGGACCATTGTGATAGACCCCCATTGTCTTGAACTGCAACACATAAGTGACAGGAAAAAAGAGTGGTTCTGATAAACCTGAATGATTAAGGATTAATAATCATAAATCAATAAACACAAAAGTAAAAGATATAACTTTTACATTTCAGCAAAAAGTATCATTTGGTGCAGAATTCCTGGGATTATATGCATCTGTGACCGACATGTGAACCCACAAATATTCTGGTGCCCGATGCCAAGATACAAGGGATGTTATTGTAGACCTCCATTTCCTCGTTGCATCTAAGCCAGATATATACTGCCGGCTTCTGAATGCCCTGAAATTTCAGTTTCTACGCTGTATATGTACATGTACAGATGTATATGAAATAAATTCAGAATTAAAACCATAAACATATTGTAGTCTTTTAACAGGAAAATTGAGACACCAAATTACAATAATCAACAGTTGTACATGCACTTTGTAAAAAAACACAGGTTATTTAATAGAGTGTCTTCTTAAAGTTTGACAATATATCAAAGGTACATAACAAATTCTCATTTAGAAATAGAGAGGTAATTATATTTAATAGATGGCATCATTGTCCTGGGATGAAATTCACTTTCAATCACTAAAATAAATTCATAAATTATAATCTTGACCACACTTTTTGTAAATTAGTTTTTCCAGATACATAGTCAAAATGAAATAGAATAAAATAATTTGCCCTCTTCAAGTTAGGTTGAATTCCCCTAGAAAAGGAACACGTCATCTTCAGTTTTAGAGATATATAGAGATAAATTTAAAAAAAGTTCCATCAGAAACTAGCCTCCAATGAGGATTGAACTCATGACCCCTGCTCAAGACAAGGCCTGCAACTATAGAAGCTTACTAAAATACCAAAATTAACTATCAAATTATTTATTTCAATATTGGCAATTTAAATTAATCAAACATGTGTGATAGAATGATACCTGCCTCAATTAGAAAAACAGCAACTCCACGGAGTAGCAAATCCCACTGAACAAAACATGTTTTGGTTAATAGCGGCCATATAAATTTGAGCCAAATCCATCCACTGGTATTTGAGTTATCAAAGGACCTTTATGATTTAGACCATTCAATGTTCATTTTCAAAAGTTTTGGAATCATAAAAATCCAGTGTTAAACCGAAAATATTTGAGCAAGCAAGAAATGTGTGATATTTTGTGAAAAATGTTCAGATTAGATAAGTTCATTTTTCAAGTATGCCTGTTCAGTGTTCAAATTGAGAGGTGTTCATACTTCAAAGGTTTCAATTTTGGGACTGAAAACAAGTGTTCAGATTGGGAAGTGTTTGGATTACCCAGGTTTTCTGATAAACAGGTTTCACTGTTTTTGCTCTAGTTCAGATTTCTACACCATATGTTACTAGTATAGTATAGTATAGTATAGTATAGTATAGTATAGTATAGTATAGTATAGTATAGTATAGTATAGTATAGTATAGTATAGAGATGAATTATATCCTAAATATATAGGCCCATATCTTTGTAAGTCTGAAAAATGTGATTTATAGGAAAAAAGTTGTGAAGATAAATAATAAAACTACAAAGTTTAGAGTACTAAAATGTGATTTTATGTTGATATTGGATCAAAATGGTTGTGATGAACAACCATTTAAGCGTGCTGTTAAATTCTCACCACTCTATAATTATGCCACTACCTATCAAATTTCATTCAAATTTTTCCACCACTCACTTTAATAAAATTATTGAGAACGCTGGACAATGTAAAGATTTAAATTATTGGATATTGGAAACTATTTTATTTAAAAACATTAACTTCCTGCTGTATGTGACATCTATAATCAAGTAGAGTGAATGCATAATTAGTTCAGTATTCTAACTCCAAGGTTTGAGAAGTCCCCAACACTGCAGTACATTTTATAGCCAGAGTATTTGCCTAACCTGAGCACGAGGCTTCTTGTGTCTATCTAGTATTCTATTTCTATCTTATGGCCTAGTCACATAGCCCGGCCGATGAGGTTACGATGAGCCAGCGATGCAATTTTCACCGAACTCGGCCGAACACCGGCCGGACATCCGTGGCGTTTGTTGCTTAAAACCGCATCGGTGGTAGCTCGTTGAAATTTTAACTTCAGAGTTAAATTTCACCGGGCTCTCACCGAGCTCCCTCATCATGTCATCGCAGCCCCATCGTAACCACATCGGAAAACACGTCTGCCGGTGCACGGCCGAGTATCGGCCGGTGTCCCGTGTATCTGAGACAACCAGAAGACGAGGTTTTTTAACGGACAGCGGCCGAGCTCCGACCGAGCTCCGGCCGATGTGGGACAGAGCATCGGCCGGTCACTGTTCAAAGCCCGTTAACAACCCGGCCGGCGATCGCACGGTGTCCTGTTACCTGCGCGGGTACCGGCCGTATTCCTTCCGATGTCCGGCCGACCTCCGGCCGGTAGTTGCTGCCACATCGGCAGATAAAAACTACCATTTTGAGACAGACTCCGTACGGTCACCGGCCGGTGTTCGGTCGGTCGCCTGAAGATGTCCGGACGGAGTCCGTTCACGTCACCGAGCTCTGCTTCCGATGAGGAGAGCTCGGTGGCACCAAAAAAATCCACCGAGCTCTACCGATGCCGGACATCGGCCGGGCTATGTGACTAGGCCATTACTAGCCTGAGCAAGGGACTTCTTTTATATACAGACAGGACTTAAAGTCACAACGAACTCCTTTGTATACAGTCCTGAGGGCCTAATAGCCATGAAGGGTTTCTTTATATACAGACATGGGGGCCTAATAGACATGAGGGGTTTCTTTATATATGGTCATGACAGCCTAACAGCCACGAGGGGCTCATATCATTTATAAACATCAGGCGCGACGACACCAACGTGCAACAGTCATTGTATTTGTTATAAATCAAGCAACAATGGTCTTCATGACCTGTAATAAATACTCTGTATTAGTAATGTTATTATCACATTTAATGCCATTGCTGGTTTTTTAAAATAAGTTTCTATACATTAGTCTACGGTAAAAAGTAATCAAAAATAATTAAAATTGACCAGAGAAGGGAGTGAACAGAGGGAGTAGAATGAAAAACAAGACATCTGGGGTTATTGAAAATAAGTCAAGTAACATATCTTTTCATTTCTTATAGACACATCACTCCCTCCCCCTAAAAAATATCCATCACAGGTTGCTTGATTTATAGCAAAAATTTTGACAGTTTCACATTTCATTCAACTTAATTCCAAAAACATCAGAGACACAGACAATATACATAAACAAAGCATAACAAATTTCAATAAAGTACTATAAAATCAGATAATGCACTATAATTTTCATGTATCATCACTTCATTGTTGAAACAGATCACCCCATAAAATTTTATTGCTAAAAAAGTATGAAAAACATGTCAATTAACAAAAAACATATTCTAAAAGGACTTTCAATAATTGCGACCATTAAACCATACAGTTATTTTAAACTGAAGCAGACAATACACATGTGTTTGTTGTGTGGGATGTCATCATGTCATTGCAACACAGTATTTGTAAAATTGTTTTTTACAATTGTATCCTATGAATGCCTGTAAAAAAGCTTTACTCTATGAGTATACATATTCATGTCTCTGAATTTTACAAATTATGTGAAAAAGACATTTATTGGAGCCTTGGAATTATGAACGTTGTTAGTTGAGGAAAAGGATCATATCCAGGCATCAAAAGAACTTATACATAAATTAAAACAAAATTTATTTATTTATTTATTTGTACAAATAATACTTTTTTATAACAAGTGCACATGTGCTTATGGCTGGGCATTAGCATTATCAGCCACATTATACGATAAAAATCATTTAACAGTATTCAATCAAACATTAATATAGGGGTTGTATTTGTGGAGGGTTACAGTGATGGGAGTTAGGGGTCCCATGATACAACTATCTTTAATTTTGATACAAGCAACGATATTTACCTCAAGATACAATACAAACGATACAAGCAATGCGTAACCTATAGAGGTCCCAGTGTGTCCCAGAAGGGCCTCTGACATAAACTTTTTCCAGTTCAAGATCCTTTTCAATGATTTCTGGGCACTTTAAAATGTTTGAATCAATAGTGTCAATCAAATTAAATTCCAAATTTTTTCAATTGTTTTCTTTTTGGGGAGTGCAAGCGTGTGGGGTGCCAGAAATTTTCATGATTTCAATATAGCATTTGGTTATTGACTGTGTTTTGGGGGAGGGGTGCCAGAGGGGGAGGAAGGGATAGTCCACTCCCTTCAAAATATTTAATTATTTTACAGTGCTATTTGATGATGTCTAGGCACTTTTAAGTGACAATACTATAAATAAAATAAATTCAGAATTTATTTCAATTGTTTTTTTTTCGGGGGGGGGGGGCTGGTTTCTATTCACTGATGAGGTATCTCAGTCATGAATCAATCTCAGAATGTGGCTGGTGAGAATGTCAGTCCTTTTAAGTTGTGCCAGTTGTGTATACTTCAGAGAACAAACTTCAGTTTTTTAGAATGCTTGTAAAGTGAACTGGTCTGAGTTTCCAATTTGTGTTTCTTCCTTGTTTTTTATGTTAGTTTATGTTCTGGTAGGTCGATTGTGATGTGGTTTACTCCATCTTATTAGTTGGGGTTTGTAGAACATTTCGTTCATGTTCTAGTGTTGAAGTATATTCGTAAGAACAAGAATTTGATGATAATGTTCAATTTTGGATGTCTCCGACAAGTGTTTTCGAGCAATAATTGTGTTTAGTGACAAGATTCCTGGTTGGGTAACCTTGTAAATGGTTTCATTTTGTAGCAGTGGTTTGTAGCTAAATTTTGATTTGAATGTTTGGGTTAGTAAACAAACACAGTTGCCATAGGTTACAGCATTTATATACACCTTTAATGGATATTGAAATCCAAACTTATATCATTATTTAAAGCAGTTTCATCCGCTAAAGTCCAATTCCCTTTTCTATTGTCAATAAAACCTATAATAAGAAAACTGCAATTGACCCAGGGTGGTTTCCCTGAATCATCAATGTGTGAACAAGATTGCCATATTTTTGTCTAGTCAGTGTTCCTATAATGTATGTTCAAATGGTTGTTATAAGCAGCCAGTGAATCAATGGTAGTCAGTTGCACTAGATTTTTTCGTATGTTTTAATTTCTGTATGTGTTATTTTGTTTTCAAATATGTTAGAAATGGTTCTATTCAGTTTATGAGATATTGGTTATTTGGTATGTTATCTCGGGTTTCTGACATTGTTTGTTTCAAGTATGTATAAATAAGGTCCAGACTAGCTCCAAAACCAAGACGCAATTCAACTTTTTCATGTTTATTTTGAAGATCAAGGAATATATGTGTAAGTTCTGCTTGGTCCGTTCGGGTGGTTTTCCCAAAGAGGCTGGCTGAAAAAATGTGTTTGAAACACAAAGTGAGGTGAGATGGTTCAGCCCTTCTATTTAATCAGCTTTAAAGCTTAGTATCCTCATCATGTGTACAAATATAAAGAAAATCTAATGAGTAGTTTTCCTAGAATCCACTGACAAGATTAATGTAAAATAAAAAAAATTCCAAAATGGTTGCCAGAAAACAAGATGCCCCCCTCCAAAGTTAATCAGCTCTATACAGGTATCCTCTATCCAGTGGAGCAATAAGAAAATCCAATCTCAATGACAAAAATACAGAACGCCTCACAATCATGATCATGCCGTCAATATGAAAACTACATGTATAAAACACCCATGGTGTGATAAAAACAACAACTCCTGGGAACAACTGAACAAAACATTTTATCAAATCATTCAGTTTTGAAAGGAGCACGTAGGTTATCGCAAACAATTTCAGAAGGTTATATCTTTGATTATGACTATTTTCTGACAATGAAGACAGGTTTATCTTTTAGATCAATTCATTAAAAAAAATAGAAAGAAAATTATATACACTAATAATAAAGTCAAACAAACTCGGAGATATTTAACTAGCAATCTACCCATCAACACACTTTTTCAAAGATGTTGACCCCATTTTCACTATCATGTTTAATGCATTACTATTCTCTATTTTGATGTATCAAATAGTTCTTGAAAGAAAAACTTAATTGCTTTAAGATAAGTGTTCCCCATGTTATTTCCCCATTGAAAAATCTCATGCTATCCATTGGTTTCAGTTCATTTTGGTCATCCAAATTCAGTATCTTTATAAAGTCCCAGGAGCAATCAACTTTTCCTTTTAGGAAATCGAACATGTCTCAAAGCACATTCTAATAATGCATTCAACAATATAATAAAAGGTTGCATTTTTGGTGAAAATTAGGTCAACATTTTTGAAAAAGTATGTTGATGGTTCCATTGCCCCTTCAATATCACTTAGGTCTGATTAACTAAATTATCAATATATATACTTTTCTTGAAGATAATGAATGGATCTAAAAGATACACCAATGTTCATGATCAGAAAATATTTATAATTCAAGTTAGAATTGTTAGAAATTGTTTGCGATAACCTACATGCTCCTTTACTGATGGAAATAACTACAGGTGTCACACCGCCCCAAAGTCTAACCAAATCTAGGGTTGAAAGGCTTGGGTCGGGTCAGAAACAACTACCTACAATTTCAGTTGTTTCAATTGCTAGAACTATTAAGTCAAATTTATTTTGTTGTTTTCTTCTGAGCCGAATACATTTTTTCAGGCCTGGCCCTACCCGAAAAATATCTGACTCATCACACCTCTAGAAATTAACAGGCAGTGTATTATCTCCCATTGGCAAAATCTACGTGGGATGACATGACATGGCATCAATATTAGAAGTTCTTTCTCGAGAAGACGTCCTTTACATATAACATGTGTAGAATCGGAAAAGATAATCCTACCAAAAATAAATGAATTTGGTATAACAAAATTTGTAAGGTGGTATTTGTATAGAGTAGAATAATATAACTTATATATTTTGAACTACTTGGTTATATCATAATGCTTTTTTCTGTTATACATGTATAGAACTTAACTTATGTTAAAAGTATAGATATCAATTGAAATAAGGTTCTGGGGATATAATTTGAAATGTCATCCTGTCGCTTTATAACTAGAAAAATAGACGACGTGTATGTGTACACTGTTGTATTGCAGAGCAAACTAAGCAATACATGCATTTCAACAGGAACAATACAATGGCAAGGACACTACAGCATATATATAATATGGATCCTACGCAATTCTGCAGTTGGAGAAGGTTTCTACGACAGAACCGATCAACATGTGGAAACTCACTATGTTTGCGCTTGGTTAGTATAAATAAACTTTTACAAAATATAATTTGAATTACTAACATACACATTACATTTTATATATACAAATATGCCAAGAATTTATTGAATTAAATAATTTCAATGTTTTTAATTCAAGAATTTAAATGTTTTCAATTAAATATTTGAATTCAAGTCTCAAATACTGAATTATAATAATTATTATAATATCTTATACATAATCTAACATGAAAAAGTACAAATGTAAAAAAAATGTTTTCTTCAATAATATTCCAGGATTGTTGTGTGCAGTGGTGCTTCTTTGTCCATGTGAGGCTAAAATTGCAGACACGGGTGAGAAAATGCATAAAGCATTCATAATTAATATTGGGAGGGGTAACAGTATATATCCTTCATTATTATTAATATTGGTAAGGATTGGATCTTGGGGACTTATCTGAAATATAGACTTAATATTTTGGGCTTTGATCGAGCATAAAATTCTGCAGCAATTAAGGATGGTGTCCATGTGTCAACAGTTTTGAAGGTGTAAAGTTAATTTTGTAAGAAAGAGAATGTTTCTTTTATAAGATAGAAAAAAGTTGATTTTCAAGTAAAAATCAAATGAACAGCAAAGTAGAAAATACATTTCAAAGTAATATATATGTATATTCTAACTTTAGACATGGAGGAACCAGCCAAAGAGCTTAGTGTGAGGGGCGACCCCACTCCCATAGCTTTCCCAGGAGTAGATGCCATTATGGACGACCTCAACACATTCACCACAAGCTTCAAAGAGTTCCAAGCTATGGTGTTCTCGTCTACAATAGACATAATCATTGATTTTTTGAAAATGTTAATAATTCTACTCGAAGCTCTGAAGGTATTGTTCAACACATTGCTTAAAACTATGCATATCATTGACATATTTCATTGATACATTTATACAATATAGCGCATGTTTAACAATATTTCAGTTTTGGAGAGGGATGAGAGAAAAAGGTTTATTTTCCAATTTGCCAATATTTGACAAATAATTATTTAATATAATCAAATAAGTAGCTACCAAACTTTCAAGTAATTCATTATTATTATATAGGTACTATTCATTTAGCTGGACATGAAACAAACGTTGTACCATAATAATTCAATTTTCCATTATAAAACCATTATAAAAGTATTGTATTTGGAGAATAGCTCAAATGGGTGTAATTTTTTCAGGAAAAACTTCAGGCGGCCAAACACTTCCTGAATGGTCTGCCATTCACTGGCCCACTTGTTAAAGCCTTGGAGGAGCTTTGTAAATGGATAGAAAAACTCTTGAAATTACTCAAATCATTGCTTAAAGCGTTTGAAGCCCTGGAAAGTTTCTTCAACAAACTCAAAGAATTACTAGGAGAAGCAGAATCAAGTTCTCAAGCATTAGGTATAGTATTGTAACTAATAAATTAATATAAAAGTTGTTTAACTTACAAATAAATAAAATAAAATTTGAATGATGATTGTTCCTAGAGAAAAGTTTGGATTAAGCAAGATCATTCTAATATTTGAGAATACTGTACTACATGTATTTTTAAAGCTCTAGATCAGATTTTATAGGACTTATTGTAATTTTCCTAATTTAGGAGATAGTTCTAGTACACCATCTTTGAGTAAACTCTTCAAAATGCTGAGCCAGGTCTTGAAAGAAATTAGAACTGCAGTATTCTGTAAATGCCCATGGCCAGAAAAGCTGGCTCATTTCAAAAGACTACTAGAAAGCATTAGGAGACTAATTGTAAGTAATAACAACTCTCACTTGGCGAGCATGAGAAACAGGGCCACCATAGATTTAGATACATGATCAATGAGTGGTCTTTTGTTGATATAATAAAATAATTTTGTTGGGATAATAAAATAAGGCTCTTTCTACATTTTCTTGGCTTTTTTGAGGGATTTGCTCCCAATATGTCTTAAAATATGGATGACAAGAAATGTATGTACTTGTATGTAAGAAATACAGAATGTAAGAGAGTTTTTTGTAGTACTCTTACATGTATAGTATACTCATAATATTACTTTCAGGCATTGAAAGAGAGCATAATGGCAGGGTTAAAACCTAGCAACATCCTTTATCAACTGCTAGTAAAACTGGACGAGTACTTGGACCAGATTCTGAAATATATGCAGAATGCCATTTCACAGGAGAGGAACATCAGGAGATCATATAGCCAGGCTTCCAGAGCAGGTAATTCAAAATCTTATCATATTCCATTAACATTTTGACTTTCCCAACTTACTCAAATCTCATTCAAACCTACTTTACCATACTCCCCATACTTAAACCCTTGCCTAGCCCTGTGGTGTGTATTTGACACTGTTACCCCTGCTCTTCAGTCTATAATTCTTAAATAATGTAACAATTTACATTTCAGCAAGAATGATACAATGGTGCAAAATCCCTGGGATTATATGCATCTGTGACCATAATGTGAACCCACAAATGTTCTGGTGCCCGATGCCAAGATACAAGGGATGTGATTGTAGACCTCCCAACCCTCATTGCATCTAAACCAGATATATAATGCCGGCTTCTGAATGCCCTGAAATTTCAGTTTCTACGCTGTATATGTACATGTGCAGATGTATATGAAATAAATTCAGAATTAAAAATTAAATATTGTAGAGTTTTTATTGGAGAAAATGAAACTGTAACAGCAAATGACTATAATCAACAGATGTACTAGCTTGTTAAAGTTAAAGGTTATTTAATAGAGTGTCAACTTAAAGTTTGACAGTGTATCAAAACTATATAGCAAAAGGTCATTTAGAAATAGAGAGGTATTCAATGGTTGGCAACATTGTTCTGGGATTAAAATTACTTTTAAAAATTAATAAAAAAAATGATGAATTCTAATGTTAACCCCCACCTTTATGAATTAGTTTTTTCAGTATTTTTTTACCATAGTTAAAAAGGTGATTTGATTGATAGGCAAAAGTTTGGAACTGTGAGTAAAACATTTAATAAAGTCACTAATCAGTCGATATATATAAATAAATCAAATGTGTCATCACAATAGCTAGAACTATTGATTTGCTGGTCTAATGTTTGACCACTAAAGTTCATTAATGCAAATAGTTGATTTTCTTGTCTGTTTATCATATTAGAATTGTAACAAAGACCCCAATCTTATAATTTATGACATATATATCAATAATATATTGTGCCATAAATCATAATCTTTTTTTGCTTATATAATAAATAAAAAATCAGCCCCTCTTAAAAAAGTTTGAATACTCTTAGAAAAAGAACACTTCATCTTTAGATTTGTAGACTAATTTAAATTAAAAAAACTGCTTCAGGTCTAGCCTCCAATGAGGATTGAACTCATGACCCCTGGTTTACAAGACCAGTGCTCTGCCACTGAGCTATAGAGGCTTACTGAAATACCAATGAAAAATTAACTTTCACATTTTTAAGCATAAATCTTATGATTAAACACTCAGCTGACTGAGAAAATGCTAACATGTGAACTTGAGAAATCAATAATTATTAGTATTAAGCTATCGGGAATCTAGAATTGCAATAGAAAACTTGTAATCCTGCATACCATTATCTCCCATTTTATTTCCAACTTTTATTCCCATGCAGATTGAGAATTAATCTTATGTTAAATTGATCATTAAAATATTTTAGAGATCTTTAAAGGGCTTAAAGGAATATTCCTTGCCAAACCATCTCTCTCCTCATATGGTAGCTATAACCATATATATACTTGCCATGTTTAGCAAAACATGCAAAAATGTTTTGATATGGTTAAATTTGATCACTTAGAAATGTGATGCTCAATTCCAGTAAGCTGCCATCTTTTAAAATTTCACACAGGAAGTGATGTCATCGACTCTCAACTTTGCATATAGCATTAGGTGAGGAGCTATTAAGAATTACAAAACCAGCTAAATATTCTTTTGCAACTTTGTATCTTATTTAATCCTTCTGAAAATCTCTTCTTTTATTCTAAGTTGACACTCCACGAAAATATTTTTGCACAGAAAGTAATGATCACTTGTCTAGAAGTGATTTTGTGCTACTTTCCTATACTGTTATGAGCAAGGTTATAGAAGTGGAGAGTTGATGACATCACTTCCTGCAAGAAATCTTAAAAGATGGCAGCTCACTGGAAATAAGCACTAGATTTTTAAATGATCAATATTGACCATATTAAAATATTTTCCCACGTTTTGCTAAATATGGAAACTATATATATGATTATAGCTACCATATCAAGATAGAAAGGGTCTGGCAAGGAATATTCCTTTAAAGGTTTTAGATCTACAGTAGCAAGCATCCTCAACAAAAAATTATCTCAATTCTAAAATACACTTCTTGTCATGTCTACTTTCTAAAAAATCCCATGGTACAAGTACATACTTTATTTTAGGAAATCAATTTTTAATGCAGTGTCACCACATTTACTCTTAAGAAAATATATTGTATTTGAGATGGTAAAGAATACTAATAGTAGGTCATTGTAGAATTTTATTATCATCATAGCTCTGATTCTGTATCAAACATTGTAAAACAGAACATAAAAATCCTGAGAAATATAATACAAGAAAATAACTGTGTAAAACAAAATATACTTCTTGTGGTGACATAATAATAGTCGAAAATTGTGCAAAGAATTCAAATATGTCAATGAATAGAAGACATTTATGGATAAATATAAGTCTCCCAAAATCTTAAATCTAAAAATGTTCAAGACAAGATATCAAAGCTCCAAAGCAAATAGGGTCATTTAGACAATCTCAATGTATTTTAATATGTTTCAACAGAAGATTAGCACCAACTCACTTGTAACTAGAGACCAATCTTGAATTTCATTAACAGGCAATATGCATATTTTCTCTTCAAGCTTTAATGTGTTATGTTTTTGGAAAAACATGGACGATTTTTCATGATTTCAAGTGTTCATATCAGATTTTAAAGACAATGTAGCAAGTTTAAAAACTTTGGCTTAAAAATTGTATTCAAACTTTCCATGGGCCTTTAAGTGCTTGGGGTGCAACCTGACAGCTACATACAAATACATATTCAAGAAATAGACTAGAAACAGGTGGGACGGGGTAACAAAGCTTGCAGCAAGACTTGACAAGGTTTTTTTGTATCATTTCCATATTGCCTGTATTATATATCATTTCACATTTCAATTCTTCATACCTGCTGATTATTAGATTTTCTGTTAGCTGTGGTTTGCTTCACTCTAACAGGTATCTTCTTCCTTCCTTTACTTGCTTTGCTAGATGTCAATGCAACAGTAGTCTCTGAGCTGTCTGCTGTAGGAAACAATAGTGGACAATTAGTTTTATATATATAGTATATATTTATATTTATCCCATACTTGGACGTGTTACAGGTACATAAAGCCGGTTTGTAAAATCTTATATTTTCATCAGCGGGCAGATATAGCTTTACGTCCCGCTCCAAGCGGGCAGATATAGTATATCTGCCCGCTACGTCATAATCGCCGCTTGCATATTTGTTCATAATTTGTAACGTTCGCGTAATGACTGTAAACGACAATGGAGAAAACACAGACTATCGGGATCTGTTTGATGGTTTAAAAAAAGGAAGGAGCATCCACTTAATCAATGAAAAAATTCGAGAAAATAAATGTGGGAATATTTGAGAGAACAGGAAAATCCGCCCACGGCCAAGAAAACAAAACTGGACATGAATATTCTAAAATATTTCCACGATTGAACAATGTGAACCAGATGACCAAGATTGGTATGGGATAAACATATTATCCTATAGTCGGTTTAGGATATTGGGATTATCCCTTGGCCAATATAATATATTTTCCCTCGGGACCTGCGGCCCTCGGGCAAATATATTATATTTGCCTCGGGATAATCCCAATATCCTGAACCTCATATAGGATAATCTCTATATATCTTGACCCCTCCTCTTATGTACTTCACTTTCAAAAGTGAGAGGGGGGGGGGTTCAGCAAGATTAATTCATAATCAAGTTTTCATTTTATGTTCATATTGTGCAAAGTACAGAGTGTCCATAAAGTCTCTTTATAATTACAATACAGTCTGTGTGTAAAGACAATAATTCACTTGTTTTTGAACTAATATAACTTTAAGTGCATTATGTAGAGTAAATAATACCTTAAATATCACCATCAGTATTGATTTATGAACAATTCTGAACAAGTTACTAGAATTTATTAAATTGTTAAAATGGCTGCCTTGTAAATTACCCAGCATGCCCTAAATCTTATCAGATCCTGCAGTAGTGTGGTTTTACATACAAGTTAGTAACAAGGCATTAACATGCAAAATGTCACTACCTACCATTTGTTACAGTCACCGATGGCTGATCACTGACCACTAATTGCCAAACACCAACTGCCAAACACCATCCACAAAACGTTGGACACTTAAGTATAACAATATGTAACCACTCGTGTCGGTGACATGAAACGAGTTTTGATGGACAAGCGAGTAGCCAGGAGGGTTCAATCTGGCACGGCCAAAAATTCTTTCAAAATCATGCAGTTTTTCACCTTTCTGAGCACTTTTTAAGTGACTTTGGCCATTGTTGGACCAAAATTGTCACAAGTGAACCCCCTCTGGAATTTTTCAAAAAGTGAACCCTCCCTTGGCAAATCCTGGCTAAGGGCCTGATGGAGAATGCTTTTGCTGTATTGATGTGTTTTATTGACTTACCTTCATTCACTTTAGTTTTGAGGTAAGCATCCAGACAAGGCAGAAGCTGTTCATAATGTGGTGTAATAACATGCTTGGGTAGAGTGGATGACCAGTGCTCAAGGGCTTTGAGGCCAGCAACAGCCAGGGGCAGATAACTCAACCCTATTTTGAATGCACTCTGGAAATTAAGCATTACAAAGGCCATTTGGTCTTTCATTACATTAGGTCTCTGGATAGGTATATATAGATATGTGTTTGGTTGAGAATACAAGTGCTGTAAACCCATTCAATGCAAGACTACATTTCATTTCACCCTTCTACATTAATGGAAGGTGTTCTGGAGTGTGTATGTGTATAGGGTAACAAGCACATATAATTGGCTGGTGAACACATCTAAAACATAATATACCTCCATCTTATTGTGGGAAAATACATGAAATAGAACTGCCTGTATTATATAATTAAACAAGGCATTATCATGAAAAAATGTCACCACCTAGTTGCTACCAATATTATGAGTTCAATATTATGTCAGATTTGAACTTCTGAGAACTTGCAGATGATTTTGAAAAAATGGTCAATTTGAGGCAAGTTGAAAAAGACCTTTTTTAACCTTGTGAACGTCATTGAAGGCCAAGTCTTCAATCTAAAAATCAGATTTCAATTTCAATTTGAAGCAAGTCGAAAAATACCTTTTTGACCTTGAAAATGTCACTGAAGGTCAAATCTCAGATTTGATCTTCTGAGAACCTGTAAATGATTTTGAAAAAACTTGGTCAATTTGAAGCAAGTTGAAAAAAGACCTTTTTTTTATCTTTTTTTGATCTTGAGAAGGTCATTGAAGGTCAAACCTGAAATTCAGATTTCAAATTCTGAGAACTTATAGATGATTTTGAAAAAAAGAATTGGTCAATTTGAGTTGAAATAATGCCTTTTTTGACCTTGAGAAGGTCGTTGAAGGTCAAATCTCTGACTGCCCACCACCAACCGCTGTCACAAAAAACGGAAACCATAACAAATGAATATGTCACCACTTTTTGGTGGTGACATAATAGGATATTCCTAAACAGTCAAATAGTCTATGACATGAGCCAACACCAGAGAAATGCATCAATGAAGTGATGTTTGGATCAATAACACCTTGTTTTCTTTGGTCTGTGTAATACGAGTAGACTAATATACATGTACTCTCTTAAATTACCTGTAAGGCTGGTACTATGCTAGTCATGTGAAGCTCCACTATTTCTCTTGGAAGGGCAAGCACTAACATCAAACATGATGCCAGCAAGTCTTCTTTAAATTGCTTCATCCTACACAAGACCTGGAATCATTAATAAAAAAGTAGTGCATTCAAATTAAGCACAGTACCAAATCATGAAAGATATGATTTCACAAGACACTCTTATTTAATTGATAATTCAGAATTCAGTTATATTGGATAGATCCAAGATCTCTTGTCCAAAGCATAATTGTAATACTAAACCCACCTCCTTTGTGAACTTGCTGAAGAGTAGAAAGGCAGCTTGTCTCTGAGAAATGTTCGATTTGTCATATACATCCACCTCCATGCTGTCATCTTCTCCAACATGCGTCTCACTAGAGTTTACTCCCTGAAAAACAGAAACATTGTATTCATATACATCCACCTCCATGCTGTCATCTTCTCCATGTGTCTCATTAGAGTTCACTCCATGAAAAACAGAAACATTGTGTTCATATACATCCACCTCCATGCTGTCATCTTCTCCAACATGCGTCTCACTTGAGTTCACTCCCTGAAAAACAGTGGCATTGTGTTCATATACATCCACCTCCATGCTGTCATCTTCTCCTACATGCGTCTCACTAGAGTTCACTCCCTGAAAAACAGTTGTATTGTGTTCATATACATCCACCTCCATGCTGTCATCTTCTTCCACATGTGTCTCACAAGAGTTCACTCCCTGAAAAACAGTGGCATTGTGTTCATATACATCCACCTCCATGCTGTCATCTTCTCCCACATGTGTCTCACTAGAGTTCACTTCCTGAAAAACAGTGGTATTGTGTTCATATACATCCACCTCCATGCTGTCATCTTCTCCCACATGCGTCTCACTAGAGTTCACTTCCTGAAAAACAGTGGCATTGTGTTCATATACATCCACCTCCATGCTGTCATCTTCTCCCACATGTGTCTCACTAGAGTTCACTTCCTGAAAAACAGTGGCATTGTGTTCATATACATCTACCTCCATGCTGTTGTCTTCTCCATGTGTCTCATTAGAGTTCACTTCCTGAAAAACAGAAACATTGTGTTCATATACATCCACCTCCATGCTGTCATCTTCTCCCACATGTGTCTTACTAGAGTTCACTCCCTGAAAAACAGTGGCATTGTGTTCATATACATCCACCTCCATGCTGTCATCTTCTCCCACATGTGTCTCACAAGAGTTCACTCCCTGAAAAACAGTGGCATTGTGTTCATATACATCCACCTCCATGCTGTCATCTTCTCCCACATGTGTCTCACTAGAGTTCACTTCCTGAAAAACAGTGGTATTGTGTTCATATACATCCACCTCCATGCTGTCATCTTCTCCCACATGCGTCTCACTAGAGTTCACTTCCTGAAAAACAGTGGCATTGTGTTCATATACATCCACCTCCATGCTGTCATCTTCTCCCACATGTGTCTCACTAGAGTTCACTCCCTGAAAAACAGTGGTATTGTGTTCATATACATCCACCTCCATGCTGTCATCTTCTCCCACATGCGTCTCACTAGAGTTCACTCCCTGAAAAACAGTGGCATTGTGTTCATATACATCCACCTCCATGCTGTCATCTTCTCCCACATGTGTCTCACTAGAGTTCACTCCCTGAAAAACAGTGGCATTATGTTCATATACATCCACCTCAGTGCTGTCTTCTCCATGTGTCTCACTAGAGTTCACTCCCTGAAAAACAGTGGTATTGTGTTCATATACATCCACCTCCATGCTGTCATCTTCTCCCACATGTGTCTCACTAGAGTTCAATCCCTGAAAAACAGTAGCATTGTGTTCATATACATCCACCTCCATGCTGTCATCTTCTCCCACATGTGTCTCACTAGAGTTCACTCCCTGAAAAACAGTGGCATTGTGTTCATATACATCCACCTCCATGCTGTCATCTTCTCCCACATGTGTCTCACTAGAGTTCACTCCCTGAAAAACAGTGGCATTGTGTTCATATACATCCACCTCCATGCTGTCATCTTCTCCCACATGCGTCTCAATATAGTTCACTTCCTGAAAAACAGTGGCATTGTGTTCATATACATCCACCTCCATGCTGTCATCTTCTCCCACATGTGTCTCACTAGAGTTCAATCCCTGAAAAACAGTGGCATTGTGTTCATATACATCCACCTCCATGCTGTCATCTTCTCCCACATGTGTCTCACTAGAGTTCACTCCCTGAAAAACAGTGGCATTGTGTTCATATACATCCACCTCCATGCTGTCATCTTCTCCCACATGCGTCTCAATAGAGTTCACTTCCTGAAAAACAGTGGTATTGTGTTCATATACATCCACCTCCATGCTGTCATCTTCTCCCACATGCGTCTCACTAGAGTTCACTTCCTGAAAAACAGTGCCATTGTGTTCATATACATCCACCTCCATGCTGTCATCTTCTCCATGTGTCTCATTAGAGTTCACTCCCTGAAAAACAGTGGCATTGTGTTCATATACATCCACCTACATGATGTCATCTTCTCCCACATGCGTCTCACTAGAGTTCACTCCCTGAAAAACAGAAGCACTCTGTTCATATACATCCACCTCCATGCTGTCATCTTCTCCTACATGTGTCTTACTAGAGTTCACTCCCTGAAAAACAGTGGCATTGTGTTCATATACATCCACCTCCATGCTGTCATCTTCTCCATGTGTCTCACTAGAGTTCACTCCCTGAAAAACAGAAGCACTCTGTTCATATACATCCACTTCCATGCTGTCATCTTCTCCCACATGCGTCTCATTAGAGTTCACTCCCTGAAAAACAGAAACACTCTGTTCATATACATCCACCTCCATGCTGTCATCTTCTCCTACATGTGTCTTACTAGAGTTCACTCCCTGAAAAACAGTGGCATTGTGTTCATATATATCCACCTCCATGCTGTCATCTTCTCCATGTGTCTCACTAGAATTCACTCCCTGAAAAACAGAAGCACTCTGTTCATATACACCCACCTCCATGCTGTCATCTTCTCCTACATGTATCTCACTAGAGTTCACTCCCTGAAAAACAGTGTCATTGTGTTCATATACATCCACCTCCATGCTGTCATCTTCTCCCACATGTGTCTCATTAGAGTTCACTCCCTGAAAAACAAAACATTGTGTTCATATACATCCACCTCCATGCTGTCTTCTTCTCCCACATACGTCTCATTAGAGTTCACTCCCTGAAAAACAGGAACATTGTGTTATATACATCCACCTCCATGCTGTCATCTTCTCAATGTGCCTCACTAGAGTTCAATCCCTGAAAAACAGTGGCATTGTGTTCATATACATCCACCTCCATGCTGTCATCTTCTTCATGTGTCTCACTAGAGTTCACTCCCTGAAAAACAGTGGCATTGTGTTCATATACATCCACCTCCATGCTGTCATCTTCTCCCACATGTGTCTCACTAGAGTTCACTCCCTGAAAAACAGTGGCATTGTGTTCATATACATCCACCTCCATGCTGTCATCTTCTTCATGTGTCTCACTAGAGTTCACTCCCTGAAAAACAGTGGCATTGTGTTCATATACATCCACCTCCATGCTGTCATCTTCTCCCACATGTGTCTCATTAGAGTTCACTTCCTGAAAAACAGTGGTATTGTGTTCATATACATCCACCTCCATGCTGTCATCTTCTCCCACATGTGTCTCACAAGAGTTCACTCCCTGAAAAACAGTGGTATTGTGTTCATATACATCCACCTCCATGCTGTCATCTTCTCCCACATGCGTCTCACTAGAGTTCACTCCCTGAAAAACAGTGGTATTGTGTTCATATACATCCACCTCCATGCTGTCATCTTCTCCCACATGTGTCTCACTAGAGTTCACTCCCTGAAAAACAGTGGTATTGTGTTCATATACATCCACCTCCATGCTGTCATCTTCTCCCACATGCGTCTCACTAGAGTTCACTCCCTGAAAAACAGTGGTATTGTGTTCATATACATCCACCTCCATGCTGTCATCTTCTCCCACATGTGTCTCACTAGAGTTCACTCCCTGAAAAACAGTGGTATTGTGTTCATATACATCCACCTCCATGCTGTCATCTTCTCCCACATGCGTCTCACTAGAGTTCACTCCCTGAAAAACAGTGGCATTGTGTTCATATACATTCACCTCCATGCTGTCATCTTCTCCCACATGTGTCTCACTAGAGTTCACTCCCTGAAAAACAGTGGCATTATGTTCATATACATCCACCTCAGTGCTGTCTTCTCCATGTGTCTCACTAGAGTTCACTCCCTGAAAAACAGTGGTATTGTGTTCATATACATCCACCTCCATGCTGTCATCTTCTCCCACATGTGTGTCACTAGAGTTCAATCCCTGAAAAACAGTGGCATTGTGTTCATATACATCCACCTCCATGCTGTCATCTTCTCCCACATGTGTCTCACTAGAGTTCACTCCCTGAAAAACAGTGGCATTGTGTTCATATACATCCACCTCCATGCTGTCATCTTCTCCCACATGCGTCTCAATAGAGTTCACTTCCTGAAAAACAGTGGCATTGTGTTCATATACATCCACCTCCATGCTGTCATCTTCTCCCACATGTGTCTCAATAGAGTTCACTTCCTGAAAAACAGTGGTATTGTGTTGATATACATCCACCTCCATGCTGTCATCTTCTCCCACATGCGTCTCACTAGAGTTCACTTCCTGAAAAACAGTGGCATTGTGTTCATATACATCCACCTCCATGCTGTCATCTTCTCCATGTGTCTCATTAGAGTTCACTCCCTGAAAAACAGTGGGATTTTGTTCATATACATCCACCTACATGATGTCATCTTCTCCCACATGCGTCTCACTAGAGTTCACTCCCTGAAAAACAGAAGCACTCTGTTCATATACATCCACCTCCATGCTCTCATCTTCTCCTACATGTGTCTTACTAGAGTTCACTCCCTGAAAAACAGTGCCATTGTGTTCATATACATCCACCTCCATGCTGTCATCTTCTCCATGTGTCTCACTAGAGTTCACTCCCTGAAAAACAGAAGCACTCTGTTCATATACATCCACTTCCATGCTGTCATCTTCTCCCACATGCGTCTCATTAGAGTTCACTCCCTGAAAAACAGAAACACTCTGTTCATATACATCCACCTCCATGCTGTCATCTTCTCCTACATGTGTCTTACTAGAGTTCACTCCCTGAAAAACAGTGGCATTGTGTTCATATATCCACCTCCATGCTGTCATCTTCTCCATGTGTCTCACTAGAATTCACTCCCTGAAAAACAGAAGCACTCTGTTCATATACACCCACTTCCATACTGTCATCTTCTCCCACATGCGTCTCATTAGAGTTCACTCCCTGAAAAACAGAAACATTGTGTTCATATACATCCACCTCCATGCTGTTATCTTCTTCATGTGTCTCACTAGAGTTCACTCCCTGAAAAACAGTGGCATTTTGTTCATATACATCCACTTCCATGCTGTCATCTTCTCCCACATGCGTCTCACTCGAGTTCACTCCCTGAAAAACAGAAACATTGTGTTCATATACATCCACCTCCATGCTGTCATCTTCTCCATGTGTCTCACTAGAGTTTAATCCCTGAAAAACAGTGGCATTGTGTTCATATACATCCACCTCCATGCTGTCATCTTCTTCATGTGTCTCACTAGAGTTCACTCCCTGAAAAACAGTGGCATTGTGTTCATATACATCCACCTCCATGCTGTCATCTTCTCTTACATGTGTCTCATTAGAGTTCACTCCCTGAAAAACAGAAACATTGTGTTCATATACATCCACCTCCATGCTGTCTTCTTCTCCCACATGCGTCTCATTAGAGTTCACTCCCTGAAAAACAGGAACATTGAGTTCATATACATCCACCTCCATGCTGTCATCTTCTTCATGTGTCTCACTAGAGTTCACTCCCTGAAAAACAGTGGCATTGTGTTCATATACATCCACTTCCATGCTGTCATCTTCTCCCACATGCGTCTCATTAGAGTTCACTCCCTGAAAAACAGAAACATTGTGTTCATATACATCAACCTCCATGCTGTCATCTTCTTCATGTGTCTCACTAGAGTTCACTCCTTGAAAAACAGAAACACTCTGTTCATATACATCCACTTCCATGCTGTCATCTTCTCCCACATGCGTCTCATTAGAGTTCACTCCCTGAAAAACAGAAACACTCTGTTCATATACATCAACCTCCATGCTGTCATCTTCTTCATGTGTCTCACTAGAGTTCACTCCCTGAAAAACAGTGGCATTGTGTTCATATACATCCACCTCCATGCTGTCATCTTCTCCCACATGCGTCTCACTAGAGTTCACTTCCTGAAAAACAGTGGCATTGTGTTCATATACATCCACCTCCATGCTGTCATCTTCTCCCACATGTGTCTCACTAGAGTTCACTCCCTGAAAAACAGTGGTATTGTGTTCATATACATCCACCTCCATGCTGTCATCTTCTCCCACATGCGTCTCACTAGAGTTCACTCCCTGAAAAACAGTGGCATTGTGTTCATATACATCCACCTCCATGCTGTCATCTTCTCCCACATGTGTCTCACTAGAGTTCACTCCCTGAAAAACAGTGGCATTATGTTCATATACATCCACCTCAGTGCTGTCTTCTCCATGTGTCTCACTAGAGTTCACTCCCTGAAAAACAGTGGTATTGTGTTCATATACATCCACCTCCATGCTGTCATCTTCTCCCACATGTGTCTCACTAGAGTTCAATCCCTGAAAAACAGTGGCATTATGTTCATATACATCCACCTCCATGCTGTCATCTTCTCCCACATGTGTCTCACTAGAGTTCACTCCCTGAAAAACAGTGGCATTGTGTTCATATACATCCACCTCCATGCTGTCATCTTCTCCCACATGCGTCTCAATAGAGTTCACTTCCTGAAAAACAGTGGCATTGTGTTCATATACATCCACCTCCATGCTGTCATCTTCTCCATGTGTCTCACTAGAGTTCACTCCCTGAAAAACAGTGGCATTGTGTTCATATACATCCACCTCCATGCTGTCATCTTCTCCCACATGCGTCTCAATAGAGTTCACTTCCTGAAAAACAGTGGCATTGTGTTCATATACATCCACCTCCATGCTGTCATCTTCTCCCACATGTGTCTCACTAGAGTTCAATCCCTGAAAAACAGTGGCATTGTGTTCATATACATCCACCTCCATGCTGTCATCTTCTCCCACATGTGTCTTACTAGAGTTCACTCCCTGAAAAACAGTGGCATTGTGTTCATATACATCCACCTCCATGCTGTCATCTTCTCCCACATGCGTCTCAATAGAGTTCACTTCCTGAAAAACAGTGGTATTGTGTTCATATACATCCACCTCCATGCTGTCATCTTCTCCCACATGCGTCTCACTAGAGTTCACTTCCTGAAAAACAGTGGCATTGTGTTCATATACATCCACCTCCATGCTGTCATCTTCTCCATGTGTCTCATTAGAGTTCACTCCCTGAAAAACAGTGGCATTGTGTTCATATACATCCACCTACATGATGTCATCTTCTCCCACATGCGTCTCACTAGAGTTCACTCCCTGAAAAACAGAAGCACTCTGTTCATATACATCCACCTCCATGCTGTCATCTTCTCCTACATGTGTCTTACTAGAGTTCACTCCCTGAAAAACAGTGGCATTGTGTTCATATACATCCACCTCCATGCTGTCATCTTCTCCATGTGTCTCACTAGAGTTCACTCCCTGAAAAACAGAAGCACTCTGTTCATATACATCCACTTCCATGCTGTCATCTTCTCCCACATGCGTCTCATTAGAGTTCACTCCCTGAAAAACAGAAACACTCTGTTCATATACATCCACCTCCATGCTGTCATCTTCTCCTACATGTGTCTTACTAGAGTTCACTCTCTGAAAAACAGTGGCATTGTGTTCATATATATCCACCTCCATGCTGTCATCTTCTCCATGTGTCTCACTAGAATTCACTCCCTGAAAAACAGAAGCACTCTGTTCATATACACCCACCTCCATGCTGTCATCTTCTCCTACATGTGTCTCACTAGAGTTCACTCCCTGAAAAACAGTGGCATTGTGTTCATATACATCCACCTCCATGCTGTCATCTTCTCCCACATGTGTCTCATTAGAGTTCACTCCCTGAAAAACAAAACATTGTGTTCATATACATCCACCTCCATGCTGTCTTCTTCTCCCACATGCGTCTCATTAGAGTTCACTCCCTGAAAAACAGGAACATTGTGTTCATATACATCCACCTCCATGCTGTCATCTTCTCAATGTGCCTCACTAGAGTTCAATCCCTGAAAAACAGTGGCATTGTGTTCATATACATCCACCTCCATGCTGTCATCTTCTTCATGTGTCTCACTAGAGTTCACTCCCTGAAAAACAGTGGCATTGTGTTCATATACATCCACCTCCATGCTGTCATCTTCTCCCACATGTGTCTCACTAGAGTTCACTCCCTGAAAAACAGTGGCATTGTGTTCATATACATCCACCTCCATGCTGTCATCTTCTTCATGTGTCTCACTAGAGTTCACTCCCTGAAAAACAGTGGCATTGTGTTCATATACATCCACCTCCATGCTGTCATCTTCTCCCACATGTGTCTCATTAGAGTTCACTTCCTGAAAAACAGTGGTATTGTGTTCATATACATCCACCTCCATGCTGTCATCTTCTCCCACATGTGTCTCACAAGAGTTCACTCCCTGAAAAACAGTGGTATTGTGTTCATATACATCCACCTCCATGCTGTCATCTTCTCCCACATGCGTCTCACTAGAGTTCACTCCCTGAAAAACAGTGGTATTGTGTTCATATACATCCACCTCCATGCTGTCATCTTCTCCCACATGTGTCTCACTAGAGTTCACTCCCTGAAAAACAGTGGTATTGTGTTCATATACATCCACCTCCATGCTGTCATCTTCTCCCACATGCGTCTCACTAGAGTTCACTCCCTGAAAAACAGTGGCATTGTGTTCATATACATCCACCTCCATGCTGTCATCTTCTCCCACATGTGTCTCACTAGAGTTCACTCCCTGAAAAACAGTGGCATTATGTTCATATACATCCACCTCAGTGCTGTCTTCTCCATGTGTCTCACTAGAGTTCACTCCCTGAAAAACAGTGGTATTGTGTTCATATACATCCACCTCCATGCTGTCATCTTCTCCCACATGTGTCTCACTAGAGTTCAATCCCTGAAAAACAGTGGCATTGTGTTCATATACATCCACCTTAATGCTGTCATCTTCTCCCACATGTGTCTCACTAGAGTTCACTCCCTGAAAAACAGTGGCATTGTGTTCATATACATCCACCTCCATGCTGTCATCTTCTCCCACATGCGTCTCAATAGAGTTCACTTCCTGAAAAAGAGTGGCATTGTGTTCATATACATCCACCTCCATGCTGTCATCTTCTCCCACATGTGTCTCAATAGAGTTCACTTCCTGAAAAACAGTGGTATTGTGTTCATATACATCCACCTCCATGCTGTCATCTTCTCCCACATGCGTCTCACTAGAGTTCACTTCCTGAAAAACAGTGGCATTGTGTTCATATACATCCACCTCCATGCTGTCATCTTCTCCATGTGTCTCATTAGAGTTCACTCCCTGAAAAACAGTGGGATTTTGTTCATATACATCCACCTACATGATGTCATCTTCTCCCACATGCGTCTCACTAGAGTTCACTCCCTGAAAAACAGAAGCACTCTGTTCATATACATCCACCTCCATGCTGTCATCTTCTCCTACATGTGTCTTACTAGAGTTCACTCCCTGAAAAACAGTGGCATTGTGTTCATATACATCCACCTCCATGCTGTCATCTTCTCCATGTGTCTCACTAGAGTTCACTCCCTGAAAAACAGAAGCACTCTGTTCATATACATCCACTTCCATGCTGTCATCTTCTCCCACATGCATCTCATTAGAGTTCACTCCCTGAAAAACAGAAACACTCTGTTCATATACATCCACCTCCATGCTGTCATTTTCTCCTACATGTGTCTTACTAGAGTTCACTCCCTGAAAAACAGTGGCATTGTGTTCATATATATCCACCTCCATGCTGTCATCTTCTCCATGTGTCTCACTAGAATTCACTCCCTGAAAAACAGAAGCACTCTGTTCATATACACCCACCTCCATGCTGTCATCTTCTCCTACATGTGTCTCACTAGAGTTCACTCCCTGAAAAACAGTGGCATTGTGTTCATATACATCCACCTCCATGCTGTCATCTTCTCCCACATGTGTCTCATTAGAGTTCACTCCCTGAAAAACAAAACATTGTGTTCATATACATCCACCTCCATGCTGTCTTCTTCTCCCACATGCGTCTCATTAGAGTTCACTCCCTGAAAAACAGGAACATTGTGTTCATATACATCCACCTCCATGCTGTCATCTTCTCAATGTGCCTCACTAGAGTTCAATCCCTGAAAAACAGTGGTATTGTGTTCATATACATCCACCTCCATGCTGTCATCTTCTCCCACATGTGTCTCACTAGAGTTCAATCCCTGAAAAACAGTGGCATTTTGTTCATATACATCCACCTCCATGATGTCATCTTCTCCAACATGCGTCTCACTTGAGTTCACTCCCTGAAAAACAGAAACATTGTGTTCATATACATCCACCTCGATGCTGTCATCTTCTTCATGTGTCTCACTAGAGTTCACTCCCTGAAAAACAGTGGCATTGTGTTCATATACATCCACTTCCATACTGTCATCTTCTCCCACATGCGTCTCATTAGAGTTCACTCCCTGAAAAACAGAAACATTGTGTTCATATACATCCACTTCCATACTGTCATCTTCTCCCACATGCGTCTCATTAGAGTTCACTCCCTGAAAAACAGAAACATTGTGTTCATATACATCCACCTCCATGCTGTCATCTTCTTCATGTGTCTCACTAGAGTTCACTCCCTGAAAAACAGTGGCATTTTGTTCATATACATCCACTTCCATGCTGTCATCTTCTCCCACATGCGTCTCACTCGAGTTCACTCCCTGAAAAACAGAAACATTGTGTTCATATACATCCACCTCCATGCTGTCATCTTCTCCATGTGTCTCACTAGAGTTTAATCCCTGAAAAACAGTGGCATTGTGTTCATATACATCCACCTCCATGCTGTCATCTTCTTCATGTGTCTCACTAGAGTTCACTCCCTGAAAAACAGTGGCATTGTGTTCATATACATCCACCTCCATGCTGTCATCTTCTCTTACATGTGTCTCATTAGAGTTCACTCCCTGAAAAACAGAAACATTGTGTTCATATACATCCACCTCCATGCTGTCTTCTTCTCCCACATGCGTCTCATTAGAGTTCACTCCCTGAAAAACAGGAACATTGAGTTCATATACATCCACCTCCATGCTGTCATCTTCTTCATGTGTCTCACTAGAGTTCACTCCCTGAAAAACAGTGGCATTGTGTTCATATACATCCACTTCCATGCTGTCATCTTCTCCCACATGCGTCTCATTAGAGTTCACTCCCTGAAAAACAGAAACATTGTGTTCATATACATCAACCTCCATGCTGTCATCTTCTTCATGTGTCTCACTAGAGTTCACTCCTTGAAAAACAGAAACACTCTGTTCATATACATCCACTTCCATGCTGTCATCTTCTCCCACATGCGTCTCATTAGAGTTCACTCCCTGAAAAACAGAAACACTCTGTTCATATACATCAACCTCCATGCTGTCATCTTCTTCATGTGTCTCACTAGAGTTCACTCCCTGAAAAACAGTGGCATTGTGTTCATATACATCCACCTCCATGCTGTCATCTTCTCCATGTGTCTCATTAAAGTTCAATCCCTGAAAAACAGTGGCATTGTGTTCATATACATCCACCTCCATGTTGTCATCTTCTACATGTGTCTCATTAGAGTTCACTCCCTGAAAAACAGTGGCATTGTGTTCATATACATCCACCTCAATGCTTTCATCTTCTCCTACATCTTACTAGAGTTAAAATCAAAACTCATGATATTTCTCAAGGGGAACTAGGTGCAGAGGGATTTCCATCACAGCAAAATTGAATGAAATTGGTTATTTTTAAATTTCAACGGGTGCAGGATCCTTTCGTTTGAATGCATGGAAATGCCAGATGAAAATCTGATAATTGGTTAACATTGAACCATATTTGATCAGCATATATGGGTGCACTTTTTGGTGGTGACATAAAAATGATATTTTCAACACAGTGGCAATTTCAAGCGGTATTCAAAAGCTGCATTTAATGATTTCGAGACAATTCAACAACAAGGCATTATTAAGATGCTCAATATTACCACCATTTGTTACAGACACCAACCGCCAGTTGCCAACCGCCGTCACTTTTTGGTGGTGACATAAAAATGATATTTTTCCACCAGTTAGGAAACTGCTGTATTTATTTAGACATCATATCTGTAAATACCATGGTAACTACAGAAAAGAGTAATTATAATGTGTTTACACATGTGTTTGTAAGTATCACTATAGTTAAAGTCCTTACCTTGAAATAGTGAGTTTTGCTGGCGATTGTCATACATACAGATAACAGCTTGTACAGACCACTCACAAGGGGCTGCCTGAAGTTAAAAAAAATACAGTATGTCACTTTTAAATTCTTTATAAAAATTGCATCCATGTAACTTGGGCTTCGGTAGTGGAGCAATTAATCTTTTAGTTGGGGGGTTAGGTCTGTCTTTCTCTGATTTGGAATGGTGAAAAGCTTAATTACACTTAATACTGTGTCTTGTATAAAGATTCAAAGAAGTGATATGTACATAGAAAACATTGATATTACATTACAATGAATTCTTGGTGGATTTTTTAAACCCAGTGCAATATATGACAAGCTGACTTGACAGGGTCATGTCCTCGTTATAGGGGCAGTAATCTAGTATAAATTGAAGTAAACTACAAAATAGCCTAAAACTGAAAACCTTTTTAGCTGTATGATCATAATGTTAAATAATGATTGCAGGCTCTGTTTATTAAATGGCAAGTATCAAAACTTACTTGGTGGAAAGAATGATGATATCTTGGCCAAATACTAGCACCCAACTTGTGAATAGCTCACACTGCTTCTCAGGTAGCATATCTCTGCAATATATAATCATTCTCACATGACGCACCAAAATGCCTGACATTTTATCATATGACTTGTGAATAGCTCACACTGCTTCTCAGGTAGCATATCTCTGCAATATATAATCATTCTCACATGACTCACCAGAATGCCTCACATTTTATCATATGACTTGTGAATAGCTCACACTGCTTCTCAGGTAGCATATCTCTGCAATATATAATCATTCTCACATGACGCACCAAAATGCCTCACATTTTATCATATGACTTGTGAATAGCTCACACTGCTTCTCAGGTAGCATATCTCTGCAACATATAATCATTCCCACATGACTCACCAGAATGCGTCACATTTTATCATATGACTTGTGAATAGCTCACACTGCTTCTCAGGTAGCATATCTCTGCAATATATAATCATTCCCACATGACTCACCAGAATGCGTCACATTTTATCATATGACTTGTGAATAGCTCACACTGCTTCTCAGGTAGCATATCTCTGCAATATATAATCATTCTCACATGACTCACCAGAATGCCTCACATTTTATCATATGACTTGTGAATAGCTCACACTGCTTCTCAGGTAGCATATCTCTGCAATATATAATCATTCTCACATGACACACCAAAATGCCTCACATTTTATCATATGACTTGTGAATAGCTCACAATGCTTCTCAGGTAGCATATCTCTGCAATATATAATCATTCCCACATGACTCACCAGAATGCCTCACATTTTATCATATGACTTAAGAATAGCTCACACTGCTTCTCAGGTAGCATATCTCTGCAACATATAATCATTCCCACATGACTCACCAGAATGCGTCACATTTTATCATATGACTTGTGAATAGCTCACACTGCTTCTCAGGTAGCATATCTCTGCAATATATAATCATTCTCACATGACTCACCAGAATGCCTCACATTTTATCATATGACTTAAGAATAGCTCACACTGCTTCTCAGGTAGCATATCTCTGCAATATATAATCATTCTCACATGATTCACCAGAATGCCTCACATTTTATCATATGACTTGTGAATAGCTCACACTGCTTCTCAGGTAGCATATCTCTGTAATATATAATCATTCTCACATGACGCACCAAAATGCCTCACATTTTATCATATGACTTGTGAATAGCTCACACTGCTTCTCAGGTAGCATATCTCTGCAATATATAATCATTCCCACATGACTCACCAGAATGCCTCACATTTTATCATATGACTTGTGAATAGCTCACACTGCTTCTCAGGTAGCATATCTCTGCAATATATAATCATTCCCACATGACTCACCAGAATGCGTCACATTTTATCATATGACTTGTGAATAGCTCACACTGCTTCTCAGGTAGCATATCTCTGCAATATATAATCATTCTCACATGACTCACCAGAATGCCTCACATTTTATCATATGACTTGTGAATAGCTCACACTGCTTCTCAGGTAGCATATCTCTGCAATATATAATCATTCTCACATGACTCACCAGAATGCCTCACATTTTATCATATGACTTGTGAATAGCTCACACTGCTTCTCAGGTAGCATATCTCTGCAATATATAATCATTCTCACATGACGCACCAAAATGCCTGACATTTTATCATATGACTTGTGAATAGCTCACACTGCTTCTCAGGTAGCATATCTCTGCAATATATAATCATTCCCACATGACTCACCAAAATGCCTCACATTTTATCATATGACTTGTGAATAGCTCACACTGCTTCTCAGGTAACATATCTCTGCAATATATAATCATTCTCACATGACTCACCAGAATGCCTCACATTTTATCATATGACTTGTGAATAGCTCACACTGCTTCTCAGGTAGCATATCTCTGCAATATATAATCATTCCCACATGACTCACCAGAATGCCTCACATTTTATCATATGACTTGTGAATAGCTCACACTGCTTCTCAGGTAGCATATCTCTGCAATATATAATCATTCCCACATGACTCACCAGAATGCCTGACATTTTATCATATGACTTGTGAATAGCTCACACTGCTTCTCAGGTAGCATATCTCTGCAATATATAATCATTCCCACATGACTCACCAAAATGCCTCACATTTTATCATATGACTTGTGAATAGCTCACACTGCTTCTCAGGTAGCATATCTCTGCAATATATAATCATTCCCACATGACTCACCAGAATGCCTGACATTTTATCATATGACTTGTGAATAGCTCACACTGCTTCTCAGGTAGCATATCTCTGCAATATATAATCATTCCCACATGACTCACCAGAATGCCTCACATTTTATCATATGACTTGTGAATAGCTCACACTGCTTCTCAGGTAGCATATCTCTGCAATATATAATCATTCCCACATGACTCACCAGAATGCCTGACATTTTATCATATGACTTGTGAATAGCTCACACTGCTTCTCAGGTAGCATATCTCTGCAATATATAATCATTCCCACATGACTCACCAAAATGCCTCACATTTTATCATATGACTTGTGAATAGCTCACACTGCTTCTCAGGTAACATATCTCTGCAATATATAATCATTCTCACATGACGCACCAAAATGCCTGACATTTTATCATATGACTTGTGAATAGCTCACACTGCTTCTCAGGTAGCATATCTCTGCAACATATAATCATTCTCACATGATTCACCAGAATGCCTCACATTTTATCATATGACTTGTGAATAGCTCACACTGCTTCTCAGGTAGCATATCTCTGCAATATATAATCATTCTCACATGATTCACCAGAATGCGTCACATTTTATCATATGACTTGTGAATAGCTCACACTGCTTCTCAGGTAGCATATCTCTGCAATATATAATCATTCCCACATGACTCACCAGAATGCGTCACATTTTATCATATGACTTGTGAATAGCTCACACTGCTTCTCAGGTAGCATATCTCTGCAATATATAATCATTCTCACATGACTCACCAGAATGCCTCACATTTTATCATATGACTTAAGAATAGCTCACACTGCTTCTCAGGTAGCATATCTCTGCAATATATAATCATTCCCACATGACTCACCAGAATGCGTCACATTTTATCATATGACTTGTGAATAGCTCACACTGCTTCTCAGGTAGCATATCTCTGCAATATATAATCATTCTCACATGACTCACCAGAATGCCTCACATTTTATCATATGACTTGTGAATAGCTAACACTGCTTCTCAGGTAGCATATCTCTGCAATATATAATCATTCCCACATGGCTCACCAGAATGCCTCACATTTTATCATATGACTTCGACTTGTGAATAGCTCACACTGCTTCTCAGGTAGCATATCTCTGCAATATATAATCATTCTCACATGACGCACCAAAATGCCTCACATTTTATCATATGACTTGTGAATAGCTCACACTGCTTCTCAGGTAGCATATCTCTGCAATATATAATCATTCTCACATGACTCACCAGAATGCCTCACATTTTATCATATGACTTGTGAATAGCTCACACTGCTTCTCAGGTAGCATATCTCTGCAATATATAATCATTCTCACATGACTCACCAGAATGCGTCACATTTTATCATATGACTTGTGAATAGCTCACACTGCTTCTCAGGTAGCATATCTCTGCAATATATAATCATTCTCACATGACTCACCAGAATGCGTCACATTTTATCATATGACTTGTGAATAGCTCACACTGCTTCTCAGGTAGCATATCTCTGCAATATATAATCATTCTCACATGACTCACCAGAATGCGTCACATTTTATCATATGACTTAAGAATAGCTCACACTGCTTCTCAGGTAGCATATCTCTGCAATATATAATCATTCTCACATGACTCACCAGAATGCGTCACATTTTATCATATGACTTGTGAATAGCTCACACTGCTTCTCAGGTAGCATATCTCTGCAATATATAATCATTCTCACATGACTCACCAGAATGCCTCACATTTTATCATATGACTTGTGAATAGCTCACACTGCTTCTCAGGTAGCATATCTCTGCAATATATAATCATTCTCACATGACACACAAAAATGCCTCACATTTTATCATATGACTTGTGAATAGCTCACAATGCTTCTCAGGTAGCATATCTCTGCAATATATAATCATTCCCACATGACTCACCAAAATGCCTCACATTTTATCATATGACTTAAGAATAGCTCACACTGCTTCTCAGGTAGCATATCTCTGCAATATATAATCATTCTCACATGACTCACCAGAATGCCTCACATTTTATCATATGACTTGTGAATAGCTCACACTGCTTCTCAGGTAGCATATCTCTGCAATATATAATCATTCCCACATGGCTCACCAGAATGCCTCACATTTTATCATATGACTTGTGAATAGCTCACACTGCTTCTCAGGTAGCATATCTCTGCAATATATAAGCATTCTCACATGACTCACCAGAATGCCTCACATTTTATCATATGACTTGTGAATAGCTCACACTGCTTCTCAGGTAGCATATCTCTGCAACATATAATCATTCTCACATGACCCACCAGAATGTGTCACATGACTCATCAGAATGCGTCACAATTTATCATATGACTTGAACAGAATCTAAACACATGAATAAAATCAGACAATTTTTTCAAACCTTACATCGGTCTACAATATATGATTTGAATTTGTTCTTGCCAAGTCAACTATTCCTCACCTGGTAAAGTCCACAAGATTGATGAAGATCTGGAAGTCTTTGGGTTTCCTTGCTTGTAGACCATGTGCAGGGTCAGAGGACATTTCTTCTGAGGGTGAAGGTGTAGCAGCTCTATCAGATGGTCCAGCAACTGGCTCCTGAAATTAACAGTTACCTATAGAGGAGTCTCTCCATGATATCTTAAATGGTTTGACATTTGAATATACAAGGGAATGTGGAATATCCTTTTTGCAACAATTATGTTGTCAATTCTGACTAAAAAAAGTCTCAGCTGGATAGAAACATAAACTGTTTAGTAAAGAAAATGTGAAATGCTTAAGAAATGTGTCTCTCATTAATGAAAAGTGCCTCTTTACCTCAAGTGTATTCTGAATTTCAGTCACTTTATTCGATGACAGGTCTAGTTTGTGGAGCATCCTCAAGATGGCACTGATCAATTCATCATAAATTGCACGTGTCATTGCATCACGTTCACTCAGGCTAATTCCAATAGAAGCCAACTCCTATGAGATTGGAAATCAGAGATACATATGTAGACAAAAGCTAGATCAAACTATTGTTTCTAATGTTGAGAGTGTAGAAATACTTGCAATCTTTACAAATATTTCTTTCCTTATTCAAATTTAGTTTTTTTCCAATGAACAAGATTCGGCAAGAATTGTATTAGTGTAGTGTAATGAATTAGCCATTATTTGATAACAAAATATTGTGACACTTTAAATATCCAGAAGGATATCCAGCGGATTAGATTTATTTTATTTTGGTGCTTCTATCATAAAAAGAATTATTGGGAGGGTTTTTCAAGTGATTCAGTCTAACTAATTAAATATATGTAATATTACTGCTGAAAGAGAGAGAAAAAAAAAAAGGTTTACCTTCAATTTGGCACTCTGAAGGAGAATCCTCCAAAGTTCAATATAATCTTTGTAGGTGACTTTGTGTTGTTCTTCCACACTCTCAGCACCTGTATCTGTCCTCTCATCTGTCACTATAGCAACTGGATGTGAGCATGTCCTTATAAGGCCTTGATAAACTGAAAGTGAATGTGATCCTTATTTTTAGGAGTTAAATAAATTTTTTGTTGTGTTCATTTTTTTTTAATCTTCCAGAAAACTGTCTCAGAAGCATAAAATGATACAAATTTATTTGTTGCTCATTTTGTTTAAAAAAACGAAAAATATTTCATACCTATTTGGCTGAGGAACTTTCTCAAAGTTGGTCCTTTTGTGTTTAGGGCAAAAAGGACTTTGAGAATGGCTATAGGACAAATAAACTGTTGTGCCTTTGAGAAATTGGGGCAGTGTTCAATCAGTACAACTACTAGCTTGACCAGAGACACCAGGAATATATCAGATATCTAAAATGTACATGTAAAACAAGGAAGTAACACAACAAAATGGCATCACATGGCTGCAATTTTTCAAATCTGAAACAAAAAAAGACTGATTGCCATATTAATATTCTGGGGATTTTTCAATTTTCTATTTATGAGTCACAATGAGCAAAATCGGTTGAACAACAGTCCACTTCTAAAATTGAGATTAACTCTTGAATTTTATTCAAAAACAATTATTCTACAATACATGTATTTCAAAATTCATACTGAACTTAGGAGAATTTATCAAAGCCAATTTTGACGCTTCGTAAAAAAAGGTTTTCTAGAAGACAATAGTTTAAAACCTACCTCACTCATCTCATTCACTATGCTGGCCAATGACTCTAGGAAAGTAGGCAAACTCTGAATTTTCTCATCAATTACTTCATTGTTACTGAAAATCATAATAATGCAGGTATATATATGAGGTTCAGGATAGTGAGAGGCTAAAATAATGGTGCTTAAATAATACATTAGTGTGAAGACTGGTACATTTACACATGCAGATTATCGTTGAAGGCATATACATGTATCCTTTTTTTCTTTCAAATCATACATTTTTTAAAGTTTTACGTAATAATCATATTCACCACAGGTAAACCCTTTACTTGAAGTGTTGTTTTTTATGAAAACAATATTTGCATCTACCCCACAAAATGTTACTACATAGTTGGAATAACGAAAATGTAACAATTTGTTACAAATGCTGATGTCAAACACTGATGCCAAATGCGGATAAAAAAGGTATAGCTTTAACAATATATTGTAAGATTTCTTGTTTGTGGCATAAATATTAATCTAAAACACAGGAGAATCAAGAAAATGATGTGTTAGTGTTGAGTGTTACAAAAAGTTTAAGGGCTACATGTACAGGTATGTTACCTGAAGTAGATCTGCTCACTTCTCTGAATCATTTCATTGAACATAAACTTCACATCCTCTTCACTGAGGAAGATCCTACATGGCTGAAAAACAAACCATGCATATAATTCTTTAATACAGTGAAACATTTGTGTGTCAACACTTTTCCAAACAGTCTGCTTAATGTGTTTTATAACCAGCCCCCCCCCCCTACACAAAACTGATAAATTGATATTTGACCCAGTTTCTCTAGTGCCAAATGTTGAAATATCATATACTGCAAATAACCATCATTTCAGTATCTCTAAATCATTGCAAGATGCTGCAACTCATTTACATGTCATTAAGTCATGAGTCTTAGTAAATAGCATAATTATCTGACTGAGCTACGGAAAATGATGATTTTATTCAAAACATCTTGAGACAGTCTAATTCACTTACTGCAGCAAAAAAGCCATAACCCCTAGTTGCTATGGAAACCTCTTTTCCGGTTGAATTTGGATTGTCCATCACTTCTCGAAACTTCTGGATGAAAAACTGAAATGAATGAAGTTTTTAAGTAATATATAATGATCCTGTCCCTAGCCTCTCTGAGCTTACTCGGATTTAGAATGAAATAACTTTTGATTTTCTTTTAGAAGATACCCTGAAGTGTAGGAATCCATAAGTTATTTTTTCAGGTTTGGGTAAAATCAATTTTTATGGCAGGTTATAGTGGCGCCATCTAGTGATTTTAAAGTTGCAGGGTGATAATCTTAATTAATTTTTTTTTCAGCCAAACCTAATTTCATATTTATTTTTTTGCTGTTTCCTTAGAGACTACTTCCTAAACTATGCATTTGAATTTTTAGGTGATCCTCGAAGGTCATTTGATGGGTCATTTTGCCTCAAATATACAGAAGCGCCACCTATAATCAAGGGTCTACCTTATAAAGTTTATTATTCTGAGGCTGTTATGGTAGATAAAATTGTTATTATTGGTGTAATAATTAGAACCATAAAGGGGACATATGATGCAGTATCAAATTAATATATGTGGGACATGGGAACTTAGAAAAAATTTTTTTTGTAAAAGTGGAAGAAATTTGACAAAATATCAGTTTTTACATATTACCAAATACATATGCTTTTTTATTTCTAAGGTAAACCTAACATGATGTAACAAGTAGAAAAATATATATTTAGACAAGTTAAGCTTATGGTTGACAATTACGGTTATTAATGAATACATTATCACAGGCTGGTATCGAAATATTTGTCCGCTGTGACGGACCATGCTATTTCTCATAAAAACACTAAGAATTCTTCACGATTTATTTTTTAACTTATATGTTTCATTATACCAAAGAAAATTACTTACTCCATGCAATGGATATATCATTTGCTGGTAACTTTCACTTCTTTTTGAAGTCCAATTACGCTGGGATGAAAAGCTATTAAAAATGGCGCCGGAGTATCATACTTCAAAATGTACCATTTCTTGTTTAACTTTCTAATAGCACAATATAGTGACAGGATAATATTTACACATGGTTTCAGAATTACTATGAATGTATAAATGAGATGTTGATGTATTTGGTCTTTTTAATTCTTTTATAAAAAATAAAGTTTAATTTTTTTGTCCGCTGTGACGGAGCAGTTGCAAATGTAAACTATGAAAATGCTCCGTCACAGCGGACAAACAATATTCGTATTATTTTTTATAAAAAAATTAAAAAGACGAAATGCACTAATATCTCATTAATACATTCAGAGTTATGCTGAAAACATATTTTAATATTATCGTGTCACTATATCATGCCATAAAAAAATGTAAAAAGAAATGGTACATTTTAGAGTTTGATACTCCGCCGTTTTCAATAGCTTTTACTCCTAGCGTTATTGGACTTCAAACAGAAGGGAAGGTTACCCACAAATGATATACCCATTGCATGGAGTAAGTAATTTTCCTTGATGTAACGAAACATATGAGTTAAAAAATAAAGTGTGAAGCATTCTTAGTGTTTTTATGAAAAATAGCATGCTCCGTCACAGCGGACAAATCTTTCGATACCAGCCTGTGATTATAGACAGAATGAAACCATGCATAAAAGGCGCCATCTATAGAAAATATATTTTTCTATAAGTTTCATTTGTTTGTAAATCATGTATGATTTTTGAAGGCAAAGTAAGAAACATAGAGAACAATGACAAAATTGAAAGCAAAATGCGCTTTTAGCCTCCCCAAGTCTTCCTGACCATTTCAAATATTGTACCTCCTAATAGATACATGCTATTTTATGAAATAATATAACCATATTTCAGATTCAAAGTATATATATCCACAGCAAAACACTTGAACGTATTAACAGAAATACCTCTATTCTTTAATAAAGAATGCACTGCTTTGAATTTCTAGAAAATAGATGTGATTACGAATATGACATAAATATTTTTGAAAACTGCTCCCTGATCTGATTCTACCTAAATTCCAATTCATTGTAAAATAAGAGACTAGAAAACAACTGTTACATTCAATTTGTTTTGTGATATTTGATTAAAACAGTTCATTTTATCAGCATAAAACATTAATTAAGCATTGCCTCCAAAAGTTCACTCTCTTTTAAAAAGGGATTTTTACATTTATTTGTTTGTAAACTTGTGCATTTGCAGAATGATATGCAGTGTTGCCCACTCTGTTTGCATCCACATGATGCCTGGCTGCAAGTTTTGCATGTACATTGCTTTATCAAATCTTCAGGCCAAATCCTTATGTCCTGCTTTGGGATAAGAGAATAATTTGTGGGGTCCTTCATGTAGCCATATTGTAGGGGATCAAGTGTTACAGCTTCTTCATCTAGAACATGCTGGACTTGATATGTGGCTAAGTGAGCTCGTTTTATGTGGTCTGTTAGTAGGTGTGATGTGGGTGGCAATGAGCTTATTTGAGCTGATTTTGAGTGATGGTACATCCAGTTCCTAAATTTATTCATGGTCATACATTTTGACCCAGATTTCAAAACTTGTACAAGAAACACTTCAGCTTTACTGCAATTTTCATCACTTAGGTTCTCCCCAAAGGTTGCTAAACCTTGAATGTATTCTGGTTTTACTTTCAATGCTGCAGGTTTTGTACCAACTTTACTTGTAACATCTGAACCAGTAAGGAAGTGAATTGCAGGTAAAGCTTTGCTTATATTCTCATCAACTCTCAGTGCTAATGTATGCATAGGAAGATATCTTGTTGAGTCCCCGATGCCAGCTCGTATCCATATCTCTGATGCTCCATAGTCCTTTAGTTTTTCTGCATAGTGCAAAACCATGACAAAGACATCAGTGTCATTTGATATGACAGACACTCTACATAAGTTATTCTTTAAGGCATCTACTATATGGGGAAGCATTCTAGTATCTGCTTCTTCTATTGGTTTATTGATACAATAATAATTTTAATTCTTCTATTTTGTCGAAGATGAGCAATCTTTATATCTTAAATAAACCTTAAGCTTACTTACTTTAATCACATTTTAATAATTTTGTTTCCACCAATTCAATACATGTTCATCTGTAGTCTCAAATATATACTAAATACAAAAACAGAGGTTAGTCAATAAGTCAATTATAGAGGATTACTGTTTTAAACAACCTTCATGCTAATAAGATGTAAATTACCCCAAAATTAGCTGCCATGGCTTTTAACAGGAGTTTCAGTTTTGAGTTTGATATTAACTTATGATGGTATAAATATAATATAAAATTAGATCTAACTCCATTTGGGTGGGATAGATTGAAGGATCATTTTTTATTTGAAAAGTGTAGATACATCTTTTGAGAAGCTCTAATTTTATACAAAATGTTTCTGGCAAAAATTACCTGTAAAATAAAATATAATTTATTCTAAAAGTGCACACTTATGGAAATGATATGATTAATACATGTTATACTCTATTAATACAAAGAAACTCAGGAAAAGCTTTTCATACATTCATTAAGTACCGTGTTGTATTTCCAGAAGTTGAGTCTTTGATATAATAAGGGGTGTATATCAAACACAGAATAATTAAATAATAATAATGGGCCAAAACCAAAATTCAGCCCTACAATTACTTCATTCATATTCTCAAAAATCAAAATGTATTTGTTTGTACTTGTTACATCATATAAGGATTACCTTAGAAATAAAAAAACATATGTATTTGGTAATATGTAAAAACTGATATTTTGTCAAATTTCTTCCACTTTTACAAAAAAAAATTTTTCTAAAGTTCCCATGTCCCACATATATTAATTTGATACTGCATCATATGTCCCCTTTATGGTTCTAATTATTACACCAATAATAACAATTTTATCTACCATAACAGCCTCAGAATAATAAACTTTATAAGGTAGACCCTTGATTATAGGTGGCGCTTCTGTATATTTGAGGCAAAATGACCCATCAAATGACCTTCCAGGATCACCTAAAAATTCAAATGCATAGTTTAGGAAGTAGTCTCTAAGGAAAAAGCAAAAAAATAAATATGAAATTAGGTTTGGCTGAAAAAAAAATTAATTAAGATTATCACCCTGCAACTTTAAAATCACTAGATGGCGCCACTATAACCTGCCATAAAAATTGATTTTACCCAAACCTGAAAAAATAACTTATGGATTCCTACACTTCAGGGTATCTTCTAAAAGAAAATCAAAAGTTATTTCATTCTAAATCCGAGTAAGCTCAGAGAGGCTAGGGACAGGACTATAACTAATAAAGGAATATTTCACCAGGAAGAAATACTCCTATCATAATTTTATATACTAATTGTTCAAATAAGTCAACCAAAACATTTTTTCTAATTTAGTTAAAATCAGAGCCAACAAACTTCAATTTACCTGAAAAGAAACAATTCAAAATGACAATGATGGAAAAGTAGCAACTCACTTTGAATGTAGCTCCATCCCTTTCTCCATCTGATGCCTTGGCAACCAGCATATCAGATAACTACAAAAGAAATATATTGTTATGACATTTCACAAAAATAAATAAAATAACAGGGGAAATAAGTAATTGCCTTATAATGAGAAAAAATTTAGTTTAGATTCAACTAGGCTCGAAAACCTTAAGAACGAATAATATATAACAAATTAGTATCAATGGATTACCAAATGACTATTTAATACTTTTCACAATTTCAAATAGTATTTCATTTTCATTTCATTTGAGTTACATATCTCAAACAGACACCATAGGGCATATCCGTGTGGTAGGATAATGTAACTTGATATTAGGGCTGGCACGGAACGGAACGGAATCGGAACGGAACGGATTTCGGAACTTGGCTTCGGAATTCGGAACTTTCGGAATTTCGGACCTTATTTAAAATAGTTCCTACTTCTCCCCTTAAGTTCTCAGTTTTGTCACCATTGGAACAGCAGTATACAACTACATATATATAAGTTGTATCATGTTTATTAAATACAAACACTAACACTATCTAACTGCCAGAACAAGTGGCATAAATGTTCAAAACTAATGGCAAAATGTTAATGTCCTTGCCTTCTTGGCACCTTGGCACACAACTGTTACTGTCTTTCTTTCAATAATAATCTTTTCTTATAGGTGCAGAATATATATAAAACAATCATACTTTATTTATTTCTATCATTTATTACATATAAAACAACTTTACCAAGTGAAAATGTTTAATAATTATACATATTTATTGATTTCGTTTCATAATACTAGTTCGCTATAGCGAGTTAGCTTCACAGTATAACGATAAGGGAATGTTCTTTAAGGAAATAAAAGTTCCGAAATTTATCGGAATATGATAAGGTAGGTCCGAAATTCCGTTTCCGAAGGCAAAATCGGACGGTTCGGACAATAATTCCGTTCCGTGCCAGCCCTACTTGATATCCTAAGGTAGATACAGCTCTCCGTATTAATCTGACAAGAATTGGCATCTTTATCCTGGCTAGGACCACAGACAGTTCAAGCCAGCACAGGCCATTTATCGAGCTAGTATCACTCTAGTAATCAACTCTCTGGTGTACAAGTCAGCACAAGCTGGCGCCGCAAGCTGGGATTGAACCCAGGACCATTTATGCATCACTGTTGATGTATTCAATCAAACTAACTATAATTGCAATATATCATTTGAGGTAATATAGGAGATATACAATACACCAATATACAAGTGAAGTACCTGTTTGAGAAAGGCTTCGAGTGCACTTATTCCAAGGTAATGGACATCTCTGTTGTGGTGTGCTGACCAGAAAACAAGGTAGTCATGAATTTGCTGAAATGCAAAGTACAAGTGGTCATGCATTCACTAAAATCAAATTTTGCGAGAACAAATATTGGTTTTCATCCAAATTAAATCAAATCTTATCCACATTTAACTTACCAAATGAATTTAAAGTTCTGATCCTGATAAGATTTTGAACAATCTCAAATGTAACCTTCAATGGCAGTTTGATTTCGAAATAAATGTCTCGCAAGATAAAGAAAGCAAATGTAGTGACATGCTCTTCTGACTACACAACCTGATTGAAAATTTTTCTCTTTAGACAGTACAACATTGAGCTCTTTGAAATCTTCCAGTTGGGTTACAGTATACCTTGTGGTCCTCATAGAGGTATTCATTGAACTGGCCAGCATGCTTTGTTATGAGATTCAGAGCTGCTCTGAGGTGATCGTATTTGGAGTATACATTAGCCTTGTTAAGAATCTGTCTCACCACCTTGTAGATATCATAAGCATGTTTAGACCCTGAAATAGTTGAACCAGTACATGTAGTACAGGCCCGTAGCCAGGACTTGGAAAATTCCAGGGGGGTTCACATTTGACAATTTTGGTCCAAAAATGGCCAAAATCACTTAAAAAGTGCTCAGAATGGTGAAAAACTGCATGAATTGAAATGTTGTAGATGATCAGATAAAAACTGTTCTATTGCTCAATTGTGTAATACTAATATACCCAATAATAACATACCACAAACCCCCAACCCCCAAGTAGTTTGTCAAACTGTATCAAATAGAAGTTACATTATTCCCTTCTCAATGTTATTCCTTTAATAAAACCTGGCTTCTCGCCCTCTCCCTAACATTATAGGATGTATGTTTCAGAAAAATCATACACATACATTCATATTTTGCTGAGCCTCCAATAAAACCAAATAAACTTGAAATTGCTTTTCAATAGTAAAGTCCCAGCAAAAGTGTTAATCAATGTTTTAAGGATCATGATATGTGACAATAGTAAAAATCCAATTGTGTATGTTATGAGTTATGAGTTTTGCAACATTACCTTCAGAAGCAGATTGTGTAAAGTTGACTAAGTAAGAGACAAGACCCTCCATGCAACCAGCTATCACTCCCCACTTCACTGTCTTAGATGTCTTCATCTACAATAACAACATACAATGTAAACATACAATAACAACATAATCAGCTATCACTCCCCACTTCACTGTCTTAGATGTCTTCATCTACAATAACAACATACAATGTAAACATACAATAACAACATAATCAGCTATCACTCCCCACTTCACTGTCTTAGATTTCTTCATCTACAATAACAACATACAATGTAAACATACAATAACAACATAATCAGCTATCACTCCCCACTTCACTGTCTTAGATGTCTTCATCTACAATAACAACATACAATGTAAACATACAATAACAACATAATCAGCTATCACTCCCCACTTCACTGTCTTAGATGTCTTCATCTACAATAACAACATACAATAACAACATAATCAGCTATCACTCCCCACTTCACTGTCTTAGATGTCTTCATCTACAATAACAACATACAATGTAAACATACAATAACAACATAATCAGCTATCACTCCCCACTTCACTGTCTTAGATGTCTTCATCTACAATAACAACATACAATGTAAACATACAATAACAACATAATCAGCTATCACTCCCCACTTCACTGTCTTAGATGTCTTCATCTACAATAACAACATACAATGTAAACATACAATAACAACATACAATATAAATACAGAATAAGAGGACAACATCAGAATACACCCAAGTATAACTCAGGACTTAAGGTTTTACTGTACTATCATTTGATTTGTGTTTTTCTCATGATATACACTTTGCACTTTCTCAATTATATGATGATCTAGGATACAACCTAAATTCAGACTTCCATAATATGAAGTCTTACTTACTTCTTGGTTAAGTGTCTGTAAGTAAATTCTCAGCAGTTTTTCGTTGTATTTAATCATTTCACTAGGGTAGACCTCACATATCATCCCCAGAAGCGCATAGATATTTCTTCTAACTAAATCATAGTTAAATCAAATTATTGATTAAATATATAATTATACAAAGGAACATCTATACACATTTCAATCACGAGCCATTTTTTTCTTCAAGATTTGAAAATGTCCTAAAACATTGTTAAGATGCTTAAGTATCTGAACTACTGTACTCCCAGTTAATTTTGCGAGTTTTAATTTCGCGAATTTTGAGAAAACATGATTTCACATATTCTAATTTTGCAGATTCCATAATTTAAAACTCAATTTTCTCTGAATCCTCAAGCTCTGCAAATAAAGTAACCTCAAATACAATTAGTACACCTACCTAATGTCATATTTGGATAAGATTTACAATTACTTCTAGATCTTGGCCAACGGCACGCTGCACCTTAACTTCTATAACATTGTCATTTTTGGGTTTATTTGATCTATTTGACAGAAATCATTGCTTTGCATCGCATTTATTGCCCAATTAAACTGGACAAACGTTTTACAAAACATGAAACATTAGTTTTATTGGGCAATAAATGACTTTTGGACAAATGTTTTCCAAAACATGAAACGCAATGAAGTCCCAGGTAACAAAACATTTCACAAACCCCAAGGGATTTAATTTACAATTTTGCAAAGATTAATTTTCGCGTTTATACCACAATCGCAAAAAGCTTGAAACTAAATCACACACAAAAAATACTGGGAGTACAGTAAATTACTGTTTTATATTTTATCAAGGTATCAGTTACATATCAACATTTTTAGATTTTTTTTAAAATCGATACAGTATGGTATGCTCACCCATTTGGACCTGTTTGCTCTCTGGTTTAGCCAATTCATTGAAGAACCTTAGTATCAGTTTAGCTACATCTAGCTCAGCCTCCATCTTGGTTCCCATGGTAACCTCCATCACCTATGGCAAAACAGGATTCCTCAAATCATATAACATTACACTAAAGGTATTTACTTAATTTTAATGAAAACAAACCAGGGGCTATCATTTGTCAACAGAAAATATTTATCATTGCCAATAGAATAACTCATTTTTACTCATTTACATTGCAACTGGTAACTTAGTAACTTTACTTAGTAACTGGCATAATCAGTTAATGGAATGTATCATGCAAATTGTCACAAGCTGCCATTCGTTACAGATACCAAATGCCAACCACTAAACACCATTCACCAAAAACATTGGAGATTATAACAGTATGTCACCACTTCTGATGATGATATAATATCGAGGCTTACCCTGGTAAGGAGTGGTAAAGAGTCTGCTTTAACCTTGTTGGACTTATCCCTAGTAAACAGTGAAATACACACATCCTGGAAGTCATATTCATACACATCAACATCAATTGATTTCAGCAACAAATTCAGCAACAAAGACTAATTTACAAGATAATGACACAAATTGTTGACAAGTACGAGTAATATTTGAGTTATGATAATATAGCACTATATATTTATATAATCTGACAACTCCTGTTTTTTATCTTATTAAACCATATGAAATTATTTAATATCACATCACATTGCATTATGTAGTATTGATTCCAAAGCTTCCCTCAATCACTCACCTTGATATCCACTGTGTATGGCAATATTTTCTTGCCCACATGCTCAATGAGAACAGAAAGTGTTTCAAGAAGACATTTCTTTGCATTTGCATACTCTACAACCTGAAATTTAAAAAACATACTTTAAAAACCACAAGATGGTGCAACATGATGGAATGTTGGAAGCAACATTTAAAGTATCAGATCAAATATGCAAGTAATCAAATTCTGCAAGCATTGTTTAGAAGTAGTTTAAAAAATGAACTCACTTCAAATTGGATCGCACTTCTCAGAAATGGAATAACACCAGTAGTGGCATCAAATAGCACAGATAAGTTGTGATCTGCAAAGAAATAATAGGCCAATTTAGTCACTTTACACATGGTGAAAAGAATATGTGAATTTATGTAAGAAAAAAAAACAATCACTGATGTCAAATGCATGCAAAAGGTATATATTCAATGGAGCATGAACTTCAAAATACCAAGGTCATTCAAGCCTCCCATATGGTGTTGCATATGGATCAACTGAACAAAAAACAATAAATTAACAAGGCATTCACATGCCCAAATGTCACCGTCATCATTTGTTACAGTCCACCCGCTATGGCTCAGTGGCAGAGTCAAGGTTGCCACTATCGCTTGGCCCCGGGTTCGACTCCCGGTTAGACAAGTTTGTTTGTGCGTTATGTAATTCTGGGTGTTTGACTGAGTGGTTCACAACTCGTATAAAAGGCTGTGGTGTGTACTTGTATTTCTATGTACCCCTGCACACAAAAGAACACAGGCCTCCTCCAATGAGGGGTTTCTGGCTCTGTCTTCGAGTGTAAACAACGTAAAATACGGAATATACAAATGAGATATTGCTCGACAAATATGGCAGTCCAAGATACAATACAATACAGAGACCAATCACTGATCGCCAACCACCGATCATCAACCACCGTCACAAAAAACAGAGACCATATAACAATATGTCACCACTTTCTTGTGGTGATATAATGACATGCAATCAGTCTACTATTTGGAATAATGCACATCAGGATACTCTTAGATATTTGCAAATACATCTTTCCAGTTTACAGCCATCAAGCTAAACAAGTCAAAAATCTGGAAATAAAAAAGTAGACTGCGTACATCTTCATGTAAACATCAATAATCTGCAAAAGGCTAATATGCCCGTGGATATGCCTGCAGATACGTAACAGTTCGTTGGGAAATAAAAAAGTTATCAGTTACAGTGCTGATAATAATAAAGGGTGCGTTTTCAAACTAAACAGAGTGCTCCTACCAAAATGAATTTGCCTACATACCCCTGAAACTCTTATCTGATGGATAGAATGAACAAATAAAACAAAAGTTTTGCTATTATAGGTAAAAAGTTCTGTTGAAATTTCGAAGTGATTTTACCTATTAATTCTGTTCATGGTCCGCCATTTTTGCGGAAGTTACACTGAAACGCAAACTCCATGAATCGAAACGAAATCACTAGAAAAAAACATGGCACACTTTGTGCGCATGTGCAGCAAAGTTTAAACCAATCAGATTATTTGATTATTTTGCGCACATGAATTATTTGCTTCTGAGCACTTACAAGCTTACCACAATAAACAAACCTGGCAGAGACTACCCTTAGCCTACCTCATTTTGGCGAAATTTCAGCTCAAACTCGTGACAAATGCATTATGCATACGCTGGTGTGAAGCCTTGGAGACACTCATTTTGGTAAATATGATTTATGGGGTATACTTTTCTGCAGTTTGTGGGAGTGTTGGACATTAAGGTTCAACTGGAAAGTAACATTTTGATAAAAAATTGCTATAGCTGCACATGTTATTTTCTGGTACAAAATTAAGTATGAAGGCATATGTGTATTTCCTTGCTTTTTTCAGGAAAGTATCATTACACTATCTTCTTTTAGAATATCTGGAAACAGGTCAATGGTAGCTCCTGTGTTGTCTGAACTTTGAAAGAAAATTTGGAAAAATAGAAAGTGTGAAATATCAGAATTTCCTGGAGTTCCCATTGAACGCCTACCAGATATTTTAAAAGAAGACAATGCAATGATACTTTCCTGAAAAAAGCAAGGAAATTGACACATGCCTTCATACTTTATTTTGTACCAGAAAATAACATGTGCAGGTATAGCAATTTTTTACCAAAATTTTACTTTCCAGCTGTACCTTAAAGTCCCCGTCTAAAGTTTGAAAATATTTTTTTATCATTCATTTACTATTTGGCAGGACTTAAAAAGTGATTTAAGAGATTTTTGAACAAAAAAAAAATTTGGAAAAAAAAGTTGTGAGCATTTCATTTCTCAAATATTCAAATTTCCCGCCAATTTTCAAAAAAAGTTGAAATTTCTTAATCATCAAATATTTCTTAATGCATTTCAAAAAAGATTTTCTTTTTAACACCAATGCAAAGGTTGAACAAAGGACACACTATTTCAATAATAAAATGCCATATTTAATGGGCTACTTCAATGTTTTAACATATCAAAAATATTTTGAAACATTAGTGATGTCACTAAGGTACCAAAAACTTTTTGAAAAAAATTGAAATTTTTTTTCGATGTCAATCTTTTCTAAATATGTTAGACTTTCATAAAAACCAATGTTGATTGTCTTACCAGGTTAAAAGGAAAAATAAATTATGTTTTAGATATCATTGTACCATTGGTTTCTATGAGAACTAAAATTTTGAAATGCATTTTTCTCAGAACCATTTTCATGCACTGATAAGTTCATTTCTCGCTTATTTATGAACCGATTTTCTTAATTTTTTCGGCAAAAAACATGGGAGGATGAATGCTATGCATTGGTATGAATTGTGGCTAATTAGAAGATATGAGTGACCTCTAAAAGTGGGTTTTAAATAAATTCACAAATTTTGGAACAAAAAGTCTATCAAAAAACACTTTTTGAAATTTAAAAAAAAAGTTTCACATATCACACTTTGATAACATTGGGTAAGACTACAATATAAGCCAAAGTGGTTTAAACTTTAGATGGGGCCTTTAAATGTTAAAAATCAATGAAATATTCCAATTAAACGACTAATCAATTAATATATACAGTGGGGATCATAAAGAATTGCAAAAACTATGAAAATTACATGCTGTCGCACATGTAATAAATTCTTACCTCAGTGTATTCAGTGCTCTATTTTCTCCGTCTTAGTAAGTCCAAATATAGTGGAATTTGTGTCCCTAATGACAAATAAGAACTTCAAAAGTTGAATTGGATATTCACATGTTATGCCGACTCTTCAAATGTTGAGGTGATTTTGTCGCCCGATTGCGCCGGAACGGAGGATTGGCTCCCAGAATGCAACATGACACGTGCCAGCTTTCAAAATGCTGTTCCACCATTTTGAAACCTGTCATGAGTAAATACGGTTAACTGATGTTGCATTCTGGTAGTCAACCGTCCTTGGATAACAAACATGGCGATCCATGAAAACATTCATTCGATTTGGTAGGGATTTATCCATTATTTGCAGGTAAGAAGCTTTGGATTCATTTATTGTGCTACTTTAGTGAACGGGAATTATTTTTCTATTTTTCTACCGCTTGGGAGAGTTTGAGACACGAAACTTGGAAATAAGCTCATTGTGACAACTTGTGAACGTTGAGTTTTATTTTTGTCCCCCACTGTACCAGCACTAGTGTTGTCGCGATGTGCCATAATCGTACATCGATGCATCGGCAATTTTCAGTAGTAAACATCGATGCACATCGCGATGTACATCGAGAAAAAGTTTGAGAAAAGTGCACTGAAATACCGAACGCTAATGCACTAAAATACCGAACAGGACAAATTAATAAGAGCAGGCTGGTACATCCGGGAACTTCTAGTAACGGTGAAATGAAAGTAAAGTAAATTATTTTAGATTAATGGTTCATTTCGACTAGCTAAAACAGTTTTAAAGCGAAAGAATATCAGAAAACATTGGGAAATGAAATAAGACATGAAAAAAGGTAAGCAATTTGCGTCAAAATAAGATAAGAAAGGGCGATTTTTAGCAAATTAATTTTTTTTAAAAACATCGATGTTTTGTTTCAGACATCGATGCATCGCCAAAACCAGCTTTGGCGATGAATATCGCGATGTATCGATTAATCGCGACAACACTAACCAGCACTGTTATTTTCTTAAAATAAAACGACCGATTATCTTTCGAAGAAATTCTGACTGGTGTCCACCTTCTTTTTCCTTCTAGACCAATTCCTGTGCTGGCGTCTTTGATGGTAGCGAACAAAATTGAGAATGAGATAACGACAGTGCATGGGCTTTCAGCTAGAAGGGTATGCAATTCTATGTAATAACATGAGACCTTCAAAATGAGCAATGACATGCTTCCCTTTTATGGCAATATTTCAAAAAGTATTAGATAAATGTATATGTTTTAGTATTATTTTGAATAAAAATCAATTTCTAATATGATTTAAGCATAAAATGTAAAATATATTCAATATCATATAAAAGTAAACAAAAGAGACCAATAAGAATAAGAGTTATCAAGATGTTCTCTTTGAGTATTGCATTGTGGGTAATTATTCAAGAACACATTCCAATAAAAACATAATTTGTGGGAGAATGTTCACTTTCTGTATTGTCATAATTATGATGAATTCCAATTTTTATTAAATTATCAAGATGTATTTAGAAGATCATGTTTTTATTTTTGAGTTATTTCTTTTAATCATCAATAAAAAGTACAAAATAAGATTTTCTTGGAATGTGTACATTCTCCAATTTTGAAAACCCAAGGCAATGTTTATGTATGAAATATGGGAAGTTGCCTACCCTTCTAGTTGAAAGCCCATGGACAGTGTAAAGACAGATTTTCCAAAAAATTTCCAGATTCTATGATGCATTACAACAATATTTCAGATGAACAGTATAGTGAACATAAACTGATTCTATGACCCAAAAATAAAGATTGGAAACCATACAGTTCATAATTAAGATCTACTTTTAAGTTTCATGAAAATTTCCGGGCGGGAATTTTAAAGACGAAATTTTTCTTCAATAAAACTTAATTTTCAGTGATTTACCAGTTTCTTTTGCATTCGAGTCAACTGTCAAAATAGTCCTTATATCATCTGCCGCTAGTTGCACCCTTTCGTTGTCTGAAGGATTGTTTCCTTCTTCCAAACAACTGTGTAAAGTGGCCAGGAGGCTCCGAAGATCTCCACTCATCTCTATTATCGCCCACCAGTTTCCCCAACCTGGTTATTATGAAACGAATATACATTTCATTCTTACATTTGAAAGCGCACCTTCTGGAATTATCCAGTTATCATTTAAAAGTGATCTAAAAAGAGAATAGATATTGTTATATCCTATATCAATCAAACGAAAAACAGTTTGTTTGACAGTGCTATTTTTCACCACTCTAAATTTGATCGGTCCCTAAATTATGATCACGTGACGGCACAACAATATTGACCTACATTTGAAAGGGAAAAGTTCAACCCACCTTTCGAAATTGACCGTGAGAAAATTCCATTTACCGAACAAAAACAGGATAAATCAATATAAGATTTTGATTATTAGCAGTTAGGTATGTATGGATTATTTATACGTAAAATTTGATGTAATCTGGAATGATATATATTGATAATTTTGACCATTTTCTGAGAATCAAACCGTCTTATTTTAATTTTAGCAACTCAAAGCCATTCAAATCAAAACATTGATAGATATAGGTCAGTGGTTTCATTCATATGGACTCATGTATTCATATTCTATTTTAGGATCCAGTGATCACAATGAGTCCACAACCAGGCTACAGCCAAGGCAAAATACAACAAATGGGTGTAACACTATGATTAACTTTTCAACGTTTCATCCATCGCAAAGTTTTGGAGACTGGATTACGAGCCTAGTGATCAACAGTCAACTCATTAGATGAATAATATAGAACTTTAGGGACTTTGTATGATTTAAGGATTAGCTGTACACCTGAAATGCAAGTCCCGACATGAAGGGATGGGAGGGAATCTATCGAAGATTGGAGCATTGCACGTAGTTATGCTGGGACTAGATTCGGCTGGAAAAACCACTGTCTTGTATCGTTTAAAATTTGACCAGTATGTCAATACTGTGCCAACAATTGGATTTAATTGCGAGAAAGTGAAAGGCCAACTTGGAAAAGCTAAAGGCGTTTCTTTCATGATTTGGGACGTCGGTGGACAAGATAAGCTTCGACCATTATGGAGGTCATATACGCGTGCAACAGATGGTATAGTGTTTGTTATTGACTCAGTAGATCATGATCGCATGGAGGAGGCAAGGATTGAACTTCTTAAAGCTGCACGGTGTCATGAAAATTTAGGTGTACCCATTTTAGTCATAGCTAACAAACAGGATCTACCTGGTGCAAAAACACCTGAAGAAATTGAGCAAGTTATGGGTCTCAAGGAACTAACGGGACGTTTAACCCACGTTCATCCGGCCTGTGCCATAACTGGGGATGGCCTTGATGAAGGGCTAGAACAGTTGCATGACATGGTAATAAAAAGGCGGAAGCTAATAAAACTAAGTAAGAAGAAACGGTGATAATAAGCCTAACCATTTATTTAGTGGCTCAATTTGTATATTAGTGAACATTAGCGTGTAAATACTCATTACAAAGAAAATGCTGAGCATTTTGGTCACAATTTTGTATTACATTGAACTAATACGCCTTAATGGTGTTCTTTCATGTATGTATTCATAATCGTTCAAGATGGGTGGTTTTGACATTTTGGAAATAAGATCTAGATCTCAAGCAAAGTACTTATCTGGTCATGTAATCTGTTCAATGTACAAGTACATATTCCATGTAAGGAACATTCCATTAATGGAAAACATAGCATGTTTAATACAGACAGGCGATGCCGATACTTACAAAAATACACTTAACAGACTGCCTGAGCTTGTGAAAAAAGTAGTACAGTGTACTTCTTTACATCAGCTTAACATTCAAAGTATGTTTGATAAGATATCAAATCAACATAAGTAAGAATATATGTAATTTTCCTGCTGAATATCAAGTCTCGCCAAGAAGTAATATTGAAAGCCATGAAATGGTAGGCCTAGCTAGAATTGAATCACCGGAAAGGAATGATGTAACTTACTTTACAGTTTAAGTCAAAACACATCACATCATTGTTTTCATACGTTATAACAGTTTTTTGTGATAGACATTGAACACCCTGAAGAGCGAAGGGTTATCATTGCTTAAAACTGTATATTATTGTTAATGTGTTGAAATATCAGCTAAATTGTTTTTAATAAAACAACAGCTGTTATAAGGAAGAAATCAAGATCTGACATTTGAATTAAAAGTGAATGGAAAAATCAATGAAATTATGTAGATTGCGCTTTTGATAATGTAAATGTTACATATTGAAATCCAAATATGAATCTATAGGTTATATGATCCATCGTACAAGAATTCCCTTTTTAAAGAAAGTCATCATTTATTCTGTACAAACACATGCTTTTTTAGAGTGTTCCCTTTCCAAATATCAAAGACAAAGTGGTAGAATAATTTGGCCTGTGATTGTGAAAGTGAACAGTTTAAAAAGAATCAGAACTGACCTTTCCGTTAGTATGTTATGAATTTCAGTATTGTAGCGTCCTTGAATCTCAACACATAAAGATTGTGGTATTGGGATTATGTGTATTCATATAAATAAGGAATCCAGCCTTGAGCAATTGGTGGAAATAGGGTTTTGTTTTGAAATGAGTTTGATATAACTTTACAAGTACATTCAACTTGTAACCTGTTTGAACAAGGAATGGTACAATACTTGGGAGCTTATACTGTACAATTGTTTGAATGTAGTTAAAATTGGCATATCTAAAAATCATGCATTTTATTTTCATTTCTTGTTTTTTTGGAGTATTCGGAGGCCTAACGTGGATTAGCTCGCCAAAAATTCATTCTGAGAATTAACTTTTCTTTTTAGCCTTAGATTGAACATGAATTTGATATTATTTTTTGGGACATACAGGGTCTCCATAAAAGTAAGATTATGCATAAACATGACTAACTAATGTTATACATTTCAACCTTATTATTGATTAATGACCAATGACTAGAAACAGAACTCTTTTTAGATATTAAAGAGTGAACTGTGGTTGCTGGAGTAGCACAATGATAACAGGACAAGTAATCTCACTTATGGGATACCCTGTATGAACATTGGTTATAAAAGATGTTTTAAATCTTGCCATGTAGGGTGCCATGATTGTTGAAAGAAAATAAACAAAACATTAGAATATGTCAAAGACCACACATGCTCTGAAAATAAACTGGATATATACATGGGACTGTAGCTTAGAAAGAAATACAGGTCATTGGGTATGTAAATATTCAAGGCTTCATATATATGTAATTTAAGTAACTTGTTTAACATAAACAATGGAAATATCACAAAATACAAGTACAGTACTTAAAACATTAAACATCTGGTTTTTGTAACAGGTCCCTTTGTTGCCCCCTCCCCCATTCTCTTTCATATTTAACCATGTGGAAAAGTAAATGGGGGGGGGGGTCAGCCAATACAAGACAAGTGACATCAAGCATTAGCAAATATTAGCTATTTATGATAGTATTGTACATTTATTTCTTAGAAGCTGACAAATGTACTTGTTGTTTTGTAAACAATATCTAAATGTGTACGTGAACCAGCTGCTGGGACTTCATATGTCATATGAAATAATTAATTTGATTACAATACAAGATTTGTATTCTACACATTGATTGGAGTAATTTGCATTTTTTAAAATTGAATTTATTTACTTACCACATTTTGTTGTACATGCATTTTAAATAGTTATGAAAAATGAAATATATCATCGAAATGATTCAATTATATAACTACCAAAATTTCTTGTGAAAATTATTTGGCAGACTGTCTAAAGCATAACCCCATGGAAAACATGGAAAATGGCTCATTAGGAAGTTATAAATGGATATATTGTCTCAATTTGAAGTTTTAAGGTAGCTCAGTGTTGAAAAAGAAATTTGGGGGGGGGGTGTTGTTTAACAAAAAAAATTGAATTGAACTATTATTCTGCCATCCACATAATTCCAATTTCATAAATTATGGGAGTGTTCACTAAGAAAATTGACATTGGTGCATTAACTTTAACATTTTGAATCTCAGAATATAAGAAACGGTTAAACCATAAATGATGCTAAACATAGCAACACAGCATCACTTCTAACTTTGAAAAATGAATCACTTGCTAAATTTTGTAGTCTGGATTATCACAAAGTCATGAAATGGATATATGTATGTGATACTATAAGGCTAGCACAAGTTGTTTATTTGTTTATTTCAAGATGATACAGATCAGATGAATGCCTCCTTGTAACTATGATAGTAATTTACCCGGCTTAATCATTTAATCATTCATTGTATTAGTCTCCAAGAAAAACTTTATCCAGTGAGAGTTACAAGATATCAGAAATTTGACTAATCATTTTAGTATCTGTCTGAACCGAATCCCAAATGATTATTCTTATTTTACTTGGACGGAATTGTGAACGTGAACCAAATATGCAGTAAAGGCGAGAAAACTTTATGAAAATGCACCTTTTGCAGATTACAGACATGTTCAAATCTTATTCTACTGGAATCCTTATTCCACTGGAATATAATTTCAGGCTGTAAGTTAGTAGACATAGTTCTAAGTATTGGTTCATCAATCAATTTTTATTAAACCCAAGTGTAGATACTGGACATTGATAGACTTCCACAGATCAATAATGGATCAATTTTGCACCAAAGCTAATCAAAACACTCTCTGATCACTCTTATTTCATCCTTATTTCACCTCATTTCTCTTAAATTTGAATGGACTGCTTCATTTTCTTGCATTTTTTTATACAATTAAGGGTCATGGCTGATTCACTGTTGCTAAGGTTTTCAGTTTCATCCATGGCTTTGGTTTATATGTAGATTACCATGTCTTGGCCTAGCAGACTCATGGTGCCATATCTTTAAAGTGTTACCCTGCGGGAACTAAGTCAGTGTTATGGTCAATCAACCTGATAACCAGATACCCATAGAAAAAACTCATGGTAGTCATCATTGTAAACATGAAATAACCCAATAAAAAATAAGATTAAATAAGGAAAACTGCACATAATTATAAAGTAAATTGGCACCTTAATGTAATAAAAATGCAGTAATATCAAACATATCATGCTCCAAGAG